CCAAACCCAAACCCAAACCCAAAACCCAAACCCAAAACCCAAACCCAAACCCAAACCCAAACCCAAACCCAAACCCAAACCCAAACCCAAACCCAAACCCAAACCCAAACCCAAACCCAAACCCAAACCCAAACCCAAACCCAAACCCAAACCCAAACCCAAACCCAAACCCAAACCCAAACCCAAACCCAAACCCAAACCCAAACCCAAACCCAAACCCAAACCCAAACCCAAACCCAAACCCAAACCCAAACCCAAACCCAAACCCAAACCCAAACCCAAACCCAAACCCAAACCCAAACCCAAACCCAAACCCAAACCCAAACCCAAACCCAAACCCAAACCCAAACCCAAACCCAAACCCAAACCCAAACCCAAACCCAAACCCAAACCCAAACCCAAACCCAAACCCAAACCCAAACCCAAACCCAAACCCAAACCCAAACCCAAACCCAAACCCAAACCCAAACCCAAACCCAAACCCAAACCCAAACCCAAACCCAAACCCAAACCCAAACCCAAACCCAAACCCAAACCCAAACCCAAACCCAAACCCAAACCCAAACCCAAACCCAAACCCAAACCCAAACCCAAACCCAAACCCAAACCCAAACCCAAACCCAAACCCAAACCCAAACCCAAACCCAAACCCAAACCCAAACCCAAACCCAAACCCAAACCCAAACCCAAACCCAAACCCAAACCCAAACCCAAACCCAAACCCAAACCCAAACCCAAACCCAAACCCAAACCCAAACCCAAACCCAAACCCAAACCCAAACCCAAACCCAAACCCAAACCCAAACCCAAACCCAAACCCAAACCCAAACCCAAACCCAAACCCAAACCCAAACCCAAACCCAAACCCAAACCCAAACCCAAACCCAAACCCAAACCCAAACCCAAACCCAAACCCAAACCCAAACCCAAACCCAAACCCAAACCCAAACCCAAACCCAAACCCAAACCCAAACCCAAACCCAAACCCAATGATTCAACCAATAAACTTGTTCTTGTTCTGTTGTATTTCCACAAATATATGGAACTCCAAGTCTTTCGGCATATTGTTGTAATGGAAACACAATGTCACAGAAGACAATAATCTTACCTCCTTGCTTTTCATGGTATCTGACCAAAAATTCACATTCTCTGAACTTGTTTGGATTCATCACATAATACAATGGTTTCTTCTTTGCATTTGCATTGAGATATTCGGCGTAAAAGTCAACTGTCATTGGGCACCAAACTTCCACACAATGAACAGAGGCAAGATGTCCCTTTTTTTGAAGGTCTAGCCAGTTCTCTTCGTAGAGCTTTGGTCCTATCAAAAAGCACAAATCATCAATTTTAGAATCTTCACGAACAAGGGTTGCAGTTTATCCAAGTTTACAATGAGATTTCACTTTGAACGCATTTCTAAACTTGTTTGCTGGAACGACATGTTTTCTTTCCTGTATTCGTAAGCATGGCATAGGTTGTAATAATAATCAGCGATTCGTCATCATCTTTGGGAAGAGGAGTTTTCTCTTGAGATGTTAAAATAATGATACGATTTTCGTTAATGGTACTCCATAATAGAAATTGGTTTTTCCATTGCAACACATTCACAGAGTTGATACATAATACAAGTGTTCTCTTTTTCACAGTGCATGCAGCTGTCACTCTGACAAGAGTTTTTCCTGGTGGGTTTCTTACTTTGTTTTGATTTACAAATCACGGAGAACGTCTAAGAATGACTAGTTGGTGATTTTTTTGAATTCCTCCGTTAAAAATAGCTTCAACGATACTATTCAAAGCAAATTGCGAAAGGAATTCACTTCATAAACACCCCCGTTCAAACAATACGGTCCAAATTCTCAACTCTACAATGATTTCCACTGATAATGATCAATATTTATTTATTTCACCTGTGAAATTAACTTTTAGTATTTGTTTTGATGTGGCAACCGCATGTCATCATTGTGTCATCTCACTCATGTGACGCCTCGAAGCAACCAATGGCAACAGGACCATGCATGTGATGATTCTTGGCAAAGTTCAAGGCAAGAAAACCTGCACGACTTTCATTCGAAGGTCCCCAATGATGTTCTGGCAAATGCACCAACTTTCCCGTATGATAAAACAAGGAAAACACATATCGATGATAACCAGTTCCTTTTGGAGGCATAGATCCCATATAATCAGCCACATTGGAAACCTCTTTCATGCTCACTGATCCATCTTCATTGATTTTCATGTTTGCCTTGATCCAATGCAACCATTCACGATTTCTGGGATCTCTTCTTGAGGGAGCATCTGGATCGCTCAAAATCATAGTAAAGTAGTGACCAGGTTGATACTTGTTCAAGTCTTTGACCTTTAATTGAATTGATGGTTCATGTTTGACAAGTGAAGGTGTGAGTTTACTTTCAAACATGACGGTGACATTATTTGGATAGATAATTTCCATGGAAAGACCATCACCAGAATCGATCTTATCTGTGGATGGAAACATGTTTGGCACAATTTCCAAATCCTTAATTTGTTGTGGAGTGAGCAAGCTGGACATTTTTGAAAGGTGTTGTTGTTGTTGATGCTGGTGAAGATGAGTTTGACTACTGAATGATCTTGTGACGAGTTTACAGAAGGGACGACTAGGACAAGAGATTGCTTTTTTTGAAAGCATTTTCATTGGACACACAAGGATGAAGCAAAGAATTAAGGGAAGTATGCTAAAAAGAGCCAATTTCCAATTTCTCATTGTTTTGTGGCTTTTTTAGTGGCGTTTCGAAATGCAATGAAGGACAAAATGGAGTGAGAGACAAGGAAGTGAATGATCCATCATTGTGTGATTTCCTCGTGTAGGATATTGTTATGGTTAATGTACATTCTTGAAGAGGTGCTTATATTCATCGTGAAATCAAAAGATCTTCAAAGTTAGAAAATTTCCAAATACAAATGACCATTCATGAAGATCAGCAATTTTCCAAACAATTAGGGGCAAGTTTCACAACCTGTGAAATCATGAGTGATTTTCAATAGCACTTGTTTGTTGGATGAATGAAGTTCACATCAGTTTGTTTGTAGTATCAATCTGTTAAAACGTGGAACGTTATAGTATGACCATAGCTGAATCACAACACTTCCGTTTATTGGAATGATATACAAACCATACAAGCTTAATTGAGGGTTTCAGGAGCAGATGATGTGCTGGTAGTGACGATCGCTGCATGATCATTGTTAATTGATGTTGCGAATGGAATGGTTGGGCCATCTCTGTCGACTTTTCTGGTGCATTCACCGACCTTACAAAAGACAACATGGCTGTATTTCCTCTGGACAGAGTTGCTACTGATTTGACCAGTTGCCATTCTAACGTAGAATTTGAACATACTACTAAGACAATCGTTGATGGTTATAACCAGCTGTTGATCCTCCAATGTGAGTTGCGAAGAGCCTTCACATGCCTGAGGTGAAAATCCGAAACATGTTGCTAAATCACTGGTCCAAAAATTCAAATCAACCAAATATAAGGCAAGCATGATCGAACATGATGCAATCACTACTGGAGAAAATTTCAATACTTGATAATTCTGTAGTTGCAATTCACAAAGGTAGTATGAAAGGTATTTGATAATGTTGTTGTCTACAACACCACAATTTTCTAAGAACTTTTCAATGAAATCGTAAGGCTGGACAGAGCAGAGTTCAAATTCGATCTCGTTCAAAATACGTTTCTCAATTGCTAAAATTTCTTCTCTTCCATATGTATGGTCTGCAATGTAGATAAACTCCTTAATGGGAGGAGGACTAATTTCACAAAATTTTGAAGAAATGAACAAAGCGGTAACTCCAACTGCTTGTAATTTGTTTCTTCTAACAGCTATTTTAGAGAGAGCTCTATCTAAAATGTTCACACTCAAAAAGAGTGTTTCAGGAATGAGATTGTAGGAAGAAGCCACTTCATTCATCCAATCAACTAAAATACATCTCATTTGTTCATTAATGTCTGTTTGTACTTCACTAATATAGTTGGGATTTGGTTTGTTTTTCAATTGATTCATTCGCATGTTGGAGAGAACATCACTCTCAACGTCTTTTGCAAATATAACACTTCTCATGGAATGAGCTTGGTCAAGAGTTTTTGGTGCTTGTTGTATTATCATACAGTTAGTACTATCTATCGTACCACTTCCAGAATTGTGCTGTCTAAAGTAATAGAGTGGTTGAATGGAGGGTAGCAAGTTAACTGGGTCCTTTTCTAATTCGTCGTCATTTTCTGACATTTGTTTTTGGTTGTATTGGTTTTCAGAATGAGTGCGCACTGTGGTTGCACCTTGTTGTGAAGGTTGTGCTTGTTGAGAAGGTCGTTCATGATGAGAAAAATATGATGTAAAAGGAATGGTTGTTGTCGTTGAAGGCTGTGCAAAGAATGAGGTTGGTGGAATGAAGCTACAAGCAGAATTAGTCGAAGAAGTATAGAGTGGTAGACTGGTAAATGAGTTACTGGAAATTGAAGAATTATAGTTGTTGTGACTATTACAACCACCATTGTAGCTATACTCGGAGCAAGATGATTCATCATAACCCATGGAGACGTCATCGTCATACTCCTCAGAGTACATAGATTCATCACCATACTCTGAGTCTGAAAAATCATCATCTTCAGCAATTGCAGCCTCAGCATTCTTGACAGCATTAAACTCTCTAAGGTTGGTATTGTGAGCAGATTTTGGAGTATGATTCTCCAAAAATGAGATTTGGCTGCAGTTATGAACAGAATGATTCACATTGAAAATTCCATAACCACTTCCTTGTGATGAGAGAGACATGTTAGATGTTCTATTCGTGAGATAATTCATGGTGTGAGCTTGATGATGTCCACCCAATAATGATGAGACAGATGAGGAAGAGGTGGATGATGAGGTGTAGCAACTGTTGACTTCATCATCATCGGCCAATAGTTCTTCTTCTTTCAGTAAGCGAAGTGTGTTCGAATGGCAAGATTCCCGCCTCGAGAAATTTTCTGATTTCCCGCCCAATTTACCGTTACTCGAATTTGAAAATGAGTTTTGTGGCAATAATGCAAAAACGTTGTTTACGCTCGCAGATGAGTACAAGGATTGTCGGTTCGTATTCGTTGGGTTCATTGATGATGGTGGTGCCATTGATCCAGCATTGGAGTTGTATGGAAATCGTTGTTGTTGTTGTGGTTGATTGGTAGTGGTGTTGCTGCCAATCGTTTGACTCATTCCTCGATTGTTGTTATGATTGATTTGTGGAAGGAGAGAAGGCTGTGCTCTCGAGCCTTGTCCTTGATGATGTTGATGGTTAGCTTTATGTGGTGGATGTGCAATTTGTGGTTGCAAAGTGATTGATGTTGCACAAACGGGTTGTTTGGTGGGCTGTTGTAATGAAGATGAAGACTTTATCTTTCCACTTGGAGGTAAATTTCTTTGGCTTCCAGACGATGAATTGGTTACATCTTTGAGTATTTCTCTTGTGGGTTGGTGTTGTTGTTGTTGTGGATGAGAGTTGTATTGTTTATGGGCATGAATATTCATATTTTCATCGTTTGGATAGGAGTCGACTCGCTTCAAAGTACCACCTGTAGAGTGGTTGTTGTTGTTGGATTTTCGAGAAAGGATAGGATTTTGCATCATCCAGATATGTTTCGACTTCGTCGTGTTGGAATGTAGTGTGTGTGGTGAAATAATCAGACGGGTAAAAGTTACGTAGGCCTGATTCACTCGAGAAGGATGAAAGTTGTTACAAGGTACAGGTACCAATCGTTCTTGGTGTGTGTTTCACGTAAATTCGTTTCTGAAAGAAGAAGAGAAGGATGACCACACCCGATAAAGCAATAAACAAAACAGGTCCGAGAGAATAATCCAATAAAACTCAATGAATCGTGATGATCTTTCAAAAGCTCGCACAAACAAAGGCTTACGTGGTTTGTTTTCACTTGCTCTCTCAAGATGATTACAACTATCCAAGACACACACCGTTTGGGGTGGAAGAGTGGATGATTGAATCGATTGGGAAGTAAAGAGAGGAGAGGGAAAGAGGCTTATGGAGTTTTTTTTGCTGGTGTTGTGCTGAAAAAAAAAGAGAACCGGTTCGAGGAAGGACCAAGCACCTCGAAAGAGCGGTAAAACAAACCGTTACAAAGATGGCTAGAAATATTTGTGGGATGAATTAATTTGGAAATTGCTTGTTTGACTTTTTGATCCTGGTGAATATGTCAAGCCATGTTTTGGAATCAAGAGTTGTAGAGAATGTTGAATAAATTTTCATTTAACATTTGAATTCTTTTGTGTAAATATTTACATGATATTGCACCGGTTACATTACACTAGACACAGATCTCTCAGTATTAATCATGACAACTCGAATGTGAAAATGACATGTCTCAAACAACACACAGTGGGAACTCCTTTGATCTTATCACCTTTCTCATGTGAAAGGAGTTTGGCTTTCCAATGGATTCAAAGAGATCAGATGTCATCTTTACGGACCATTTAAAATTATCCAAAAATGTTCATCCACATTACCACCCCTGCATAAAAAAACCCGTGCAAGTGTTTGTTTTGTGCTGGTTATGTATCACTCTTTTTTGTAAATCATCCAATCTCCCTTAATACTTTCGCTTGACTAGAGATGATAAGGTTTCAAGAGCATTCAGAAAACATAGCATCGCATCTCAGGAAAAAAATAAAGCAAGAGAAGTAAACAACAACAACAACTATTGATTCTGGTAATGGGTAAAAAGAATTGAACAACCATATTAAAATTCATGATTGTGTTCATTCTGATAGCACTCGGTTCTTGCAATTTATCTGATTTGGATCGGTTTTATTATTGATTCTAATTCAAGAAGTAACGATTGTATTGTCCTCCAATTTAATAATAATGAATACTATTACCGCTTACCTTCCGCAACAGCAACAACAACCACCTCAGATATCTCTTCATTTACAAGGCTTGAAAAGAACATCATCATCATCAAAAAACAACGATGAAGCATTTGAATACGATCTAAATAGCTCGAGAGGAAACAAAAAAACACCTAGATCGGAAAGTTTTAGCAATTTGTATTTGAGAGGAGTAGCGAAACCAAGGACTTCATCCAACACCATCACAGGTCATTTGCATTATCACCATCCTGCGAGAGCGAGATGTGTCTCAATTCCCTCGACACCTATTATATATCCTAATTTTGATCTCTCACCCTCCATTAGCCCAAGCACTCCAACACCATTCAATGAAGATGATGTATTTTCCATGGAAGGAGGAAATAGTCCTCCCAAAAGATCTCATAGCTCTGCATCCACTCTTATCAGAAAGAAACAACCTCATCAACAACAAAGACCAAAATCAGTTTCCACAAATCACAATCCAAAACAAAGAGTTGTCAAACAACCTCTTAATTTGAAACCTTCCACAATTCAAATCCAATTTTTTCAAGATAACCTGAGCAATAACACCCAACCACATTCGCAGCTCAACAACTCGAGTGCAAATAATCGCAGCTCCTCATCAATAATAGGATTGGAGAATCAACCAATAACGAGTAGTGTCTCATTAGACCAACATTACCACTGCAACACATCCATAGTCACCTTACATGATCATCTCCCAGATACAAATCCTATTCCTTCCAACAGCAGCCGACCTGGAAGTGGGGCAAGCTCCAAAACTGCAAACTCTCTGAACAGCAGTAGAAGAGCCTCTTCAGCCGACTACCGAAGATCCAGAGACATTTCTAGAATTTCAACAGATGTCGAGGACATCAGTAAGCCTTCATCATGGAAACCAGGAGGGACCAGATACACTCCAATTGAAAAAGTGTGCCCCATCAAGCAAACAGTGCTCACGAAACGAAAGTCCTTGTCACAACTTTCACCAGCCTTAAAAACCCAACTGGAACAAATTAAATCAGTACCCTTGTTCGTTTCAGACGACATTGACACAAAGAAGAGCGTAAAAGAAAGCGTCAGCCCTCTATTTCTAGATCGAATCATTGAATCTCTATTTGCGAAAGAAGATAAACTGATAGAAAAGGCACGTATTTACAAAGAATTCAAGGAGGGGGAAGATAAAATGTCGAGAGCTTCGTCCACCATTTCGAATTCATCTCCTCGATCTTCCTCTCTCTCATACAGACAAAGTATGTACACTAGTATGACTCACAAAGATATGCCCTCTTTCACTGGAGTGAAACAATCTCAATTGGCTGAAGAAAATCCGTTTTTTATTCCTTTTTCACATTATCAGGATCATGATACAAATAATGCTGTGACTCCAAAAAAGAAACCTTTAACAGCATCTAAGGCAAACCGAAGAAGTGGCTCAACATCAGTCTTGAAAAAGAAATAATTTGAAAATCAAGATATAACGCATCAGGAGCAACGAAAAACCAAAAACTATACATTTTCAGCTTTCAGAAATCCAAGGTTGTAACGAAGAATTATTTGAGCAACTTGTTCATTCCTCCCAAAGAAAGGATAGTCTCTGATTTCTCCTTCAAGAAAGAAACAAAGTTCTCACTCTCTTCTGAGCAATATTCCACACTTTGGATCAGAGAATAAAATGTTTGTGATGTGTTTGGGTGAGTATCTTCTTCCCCACCGGAATCATCAAGAGGAGATGTAGCAGAATAATACGTTTTCAATAGTGTGGGCTTGGGAAGTAAAGTAGAGTTAAGAGATTTGATTGCCATTAAAAAGTATGTCAAAGGTAACGAGGTTGAATACAGGGATTGATCCAAATGTTCTTCGCGTTGGCGTTTAAACTCTTCAAGAAATTGTAAATTGTCTAATGGCGTTACTACGATTCGTTGCTTATTGTTAACGTTTGAAGTTTTCACAGAATTATAAATATGCTCAACCAGAACTGCATGGTAATAATTCAGCAAAGTATTGTTGATAACCTCAGAGAAATGCTCCGAGGAAACAATCGATGAAAGTGATGAGTCTGTCTCCAAAGCAAACAACATCTTCTCATAATAATACACATCTCTATAATCTTTGTCATGAAGTTTTTGAATCAGTGTTCGAATTAAATAAGACCACTCTTTGGAGTTATCATGATGGTAGAGCCCAAATCTAGTAGTTCCACTATTTTTAAATTGTTGAGATTGCTTTTTGACAACTTCTGCTAACACTTGGTCCGTGACAATGAAGAGGTCTCGACTGATGTATTGAGATAATGTAGAAAGTGGTAACAAGTGCACTCCAACCGTAGCAAAATGTTCTTGAAAACCAGTCGGCGATGGAAAATTGGTTTCCTCCAAACTCACATGCAATTTTTGTAATAAATTAAAATACCACATGGGATACGTTTGTTGTAATGATTTTGACTTGTCCAAATTGTCATTTTGTGACAATTTTTGCATCATTTCCAATTTCCTTTTCTGATTGAAAGTGTGCAAAATTTCAGTCAATGTTGTAAATAAGTGCTGTGAGAGTTGAAACAAAGTTGTGGTATAATCTAGGATTGTTTTCATTCGAGTCGCTTTTGTTGGTCCTGATGACGTGTATTCTTGAAGCTCAACAGCTTGATATCTGGAATTATTTGCCAATAAAAAGTGACTCAAAATATCAATAAAGTCCGTTTTTGATTTCTCTGAATAAAAATCAATCTTTTTGGAGAGAGGTGATTTCTTTGGAATGGTAATTTGTGGTTCTTCGTCAATTTCATCCTCTGGAAAAGAGCTACTAAAAGCGTCTTCTGTGCTGTCGCTTCTTGAATGGAAGAAATTGTACCACTTTTTAGCATATGTTGAGTGTTTCTCTTCAAAATATTTCATTGGAGAAACATTTCCGGAAGGATGTGACGGTGATGCAGACCCTTGAATAATATGATTTTTGTTATGAACAAGATAAGCAGCTAGAGGAATGGATTTTGGATCATTACTAATGTTGGTCTTGACTTGTTTGAAAAGATCCAAAGCACATGATACTCCATCTCGTGGAAATGAAGATACTCGCACAATGGCATCATACTATTTTACAACAAGGCAATCACAAGTAAAATTATGGAAGTATAATGAGGGCACCATCGTATGAAAACACTCAATGTATACCAAAATCTCAATATATATCTGTCAAAAACTTACAGTACGTGTGAAGCTTGTACTTCCCATGACATGACCAATTTTAGTGGTAACAAACGGATTCTGTTCACAGTAAAAATTGTCTAAAAAGATGCTATCTCCTCCACATTCTAGCAGTGATATTGGGATATGTCTTAAGAATTCCTTGTCAGGCACGGATGTACTGGCAGTAGATCCCTGAGTCGACGAAGAATGAATTATAGCTTGCAATTCCATATATCCGGCACCTATTAAATATTCCATAAAGAGGACTTCATCATCCACAAGAGTCAAAAATTCATCACACATTCCACAATTCGTTTTAAACGGCTCGCACAGTGTTCGTACGATTCGATCCGTAAAAATATGATTTCTAAAATGTGTAATGGCCAAATGTAAAAATTGTATGGTAATCTTCCTAATATTTACAGAGTCGTAATCGCAAAAATTTTGATGAGTGATAAATTGGTGTTTCTTCAGCCGTACAATCCAATTTAACATGTTATCCAAATTAAAATCATAATTGTACAAATATCCACGAGATAAATCTAGGACATAATTGGTAGAGTTCGAGAGCGAGTACAAACTAAGAGCTTGCTCTATTTTTTTCCCCTTACTTTTAGACTCGGCAATAGGATGAGTCAAGTGAGGAACTGTGTCTGGGCCTATAAAATTCATGAGAGGCCAGGGTTCATGATCCTTGGAACAATCAATAATTTGTAAATACCATCCAGGTAGATAGACAATCACGGTGTCTCTACATGATCCAAAAAATAATCGTGGATGTTTTCTGGAGTAACGAGCAGGAACTGGTACTGAAAAATGCATCTTTTTCTTGTGATGTAAAATAAAAATAACAGTATCGATATAATTATCTGGAAGGTTGTTGGAGAATTTTGGTTGTTGTTGACACAGACAAATGCCATTCTGTGAATACCAAAAATTATTATTAATATTATTAAACAATTAGAATTAAATGATAATCCAAATATTAATGTTTGAGAATTCCATAGTGAATTACGAAATGTAATACCTACGTTTTCTAAACGAATAATTTGAAAATGTGAATTAATGTCATGAGAACTTGGTCCTGATCGCCATGGCATTCGAATAATGTCACTCTTCATTTTAGGGCTATCGCTGAGCAGCGATCGATGAATATTCACAGGAATTAAGCATTCAAATAATTGGTTGGGCTTTTTTTCAGAAATTGAAATGCACCTTAGAGAGCAGTTCGTTTTTCTAAGTTCGTTATTCAATATCTCATGAGCATCGCGCGAATTATTCATATCCTCTCGCACTAACATGTAATAAAGTAAACTTCTCACTGGATCGTATTGCCACCAAACAAAATGTTTCACAAATATTACAAGTTCTTCAATATTAATACTCGATTGTTGGTTTTTTTTGAAAATATTGATAAAAAAGTTGCTGGATGACTCCGTTATGGAAATGTTAAACATTCGTATTGACTGTTTTTCTGTCACTAGAAAAAATCTACAACTTTTAGTGTCAAAACTGACATTTGAATCTGCCGTCTGTGGAGGATGAATAAATTGTACACAATGGAAAATTGAATCCGATGTCTGAGGTGGGCTAAAAACATATCTATTTTGTTGTTTTTGAAAATTGGAAATTGAATCTTCACTTTTCAGGTCACTTGCGCTCAACATGGAATTAATTTCAACAATGAAAATTTGAAAATGTATCTGATTGTTGCTAACAAAAAAATGTGTAAAAGCCAGGAGGTTTCTCTGGTGACTAATGGAGGCATATAAGCACTTCATTTTCGTGTTATGAATATAAATTATCTTTCGATCACCTGTATTGTTTCCATCAGTGGAGCCGTTCAATAAATTACTGTTTGAGTTGGTCATATTGTTATTTCCTTGAGTTTTGTTTAATAGAGGAAATTCCACAAGCTCAATACATGTTTTTTCCTGTCAAAATAAATTGGAATAACAAAATTTAGTCCAAAGTCATAAGTAGGTCCATTTAAATTGGATCGACACCATTGTCAAACATACCTGTAGTAAATCATCTCGAGCAATTAAGAAAAGATTTGCTCGCTCCTGGCCGACCACATAATATGAAATTCTTTTTCGTTTAGAAGATTTCAAATGTTGTTGCTGTTGTTGACTATCACTGGATGACATGATAGATGATTGTTGTTGTTGTTGCTGATGTTCCTCCGATGATATCACTATTTGAGATTCGCTACTAGTATCCGTGTTATTGGTTGTAATTACAATCTCTTCGGAACGTATCCTCCGGTTAGTAGGTGGTTTTTGTTGTGCGCTCTCAAAGCCGTGCGATTGTACTTGGTGATCTTCTTCCGTACTGGCGACGGATGAAATATTATTATTCGTATTTGAAAATCTGCCCAGATTTGAATCCTCCGATAGTAATAGGTTGCTGTTAGGTTCGTTGTTAGGGTTCTCGCCTGGGTTTGAGAGATTGTTTGTGTTCATCACTTCCGATCCATCAAGAGTGAGTGATGGGCTCAACTTGGTGGTTTCCGAATTTCTAGTTTCGTTCGTATAATGATTTGAAATGAGAACATTTGATGCTTGTTGTATCTGATGATCAGACAAAGGTGATGATGAAAAGTTTACATTCTCTTCCGTGGTGATGGTGGTGGTGAGTATTCCTCCTCCTCCGATCGAACCAAGTTGAGCCGAAGGAGCCGGAATGAGAGTGGTGCTGAGTTGATGACCCAAAGAGTTTGAGCCTCCAAACAGAGCAAACACTTCTTGGAATTTCAGCATTTTTATTTTGGGAAATTTGTGGTGTGGCTCAAAAGGAAAGAAAAGCTTGACGAAATGAAAGCAATGATCTTCCACATTAATTCTTCCAACAAAGAAGCTCGGTTCAGTCCCATTAGTCATTCCAAATTCCAAAGCATGTTCCTTGTTTCATTAGTGGTTCCAAAATTCATAAAAATTAAAACATTCCTTTAAGCTTGGGATGTTTCAAAGGTATTGGGTGGTTTCAAAGATTCAGGGGCGTTTCAAAGATTTTGGCGCGTTTCAAAGAATCCGAAACATTCCAAATCAGCTTCTTTTCAACTTAGCTTGGGAGTTTCAAATAAAATTTTGAATTGAAAAAAATGTCTCTCGATATCAGCAAAGAAGACGCTGTGAGATTGAGGGAAATCGAGGTCAAAAAATTGGTGGCCAATGAATGGAAGGTATTGCATGAAGAGCTGCCAATTATTCAGAAATCAAAAGGTAGAAAGGATATCAAGGATATTCCTACAATGAATAGAATTAAAGAAATAGTCTGCCAAAGAATTGGATATGTTGCTACATTCATCTTCTTACATACTGTTGGTACTATCTGTGGATGGTTAGAAGGTCCTTATCGTAATGTGGGCAAAATCTTATTAATTCTTTACATGTTACTTGAAAATGAAACATTCGGATCCTTAAATGAGAGGAGAATTATCGCAAGGTCTACAATATGGAGAATTCATCACACAATTTTCGTTGAATTTCATGACCAACTTAATGAATGGGCTGACACTTGTTTGCAAAGAATGTTTTCAAATCCTATTATTCGATGTCTTACTGGTATAATTGAAAACGAAAAAGGCTTCAAGGATGGAACCACTTTTTTAGATGGTCATGATACACGTATTGAATATAGTAATTTAGCCAAATATCCTAAAAGGGAGTATTGGAGTTACAAATATAAAGATTCTGGATTAAGAACTCAAGTATTGATGGATAATCAAGAATTAGCAATTGCTATTTCGAAATCCCTACCATGTGCTCCTAATACAGACATTGGTATGTTCAAGCAAATGGAGAGAATCCCAAAACTATTAGATCCTAGTGTGGATGTATTGTATTTTGATGGTGGTTATTTCTTGGGAATTCCTGATTATATTGAAAAATTGCAAGAAAAAGGATATGATTTTGATGAGTCAAATTTCAGAACTCCAATTAGAAAACCAAGAAATCAAGATCTAACATACAGTGAAGCACAATATAATGAAGAATTTGGTGCTTTTCGTGGTATGATTGAAACATTATTCTCTCATATTGGTGAGAAATTCAAATTTTTTAATCCTCATTCAGTTGCTAAAATGAGTGGAGATTTGGAAAATGTGTGGAATTTAAAATTGCATTTGTGTTGTTTGACATTCATAGATTCGTAGAAAAATATAATATTCAAGTATTAGATCACCACAAGGAATGGATGCGTTCAGACTTTGATTTTCCTATAGAAAAGCCAAAATTATTAAGACCCTCTGTTAATGTTGTCCGTCAAAAAGAATATGCAGAGGAAAAAAGAAAAGCTCAATGTAACCTTATTGCTAAAATGTTGACAATGAGTGACACTGAATTAATGACACTATCAACTCGTGAAATTCTAGAATATTCACATAATTCTAATCCAGTACAAGTCGGTGATGAAGGGTCAGAAAGCGGCTCGGATAATGAACTTCCAAGAAATCTACAAGAAAGTGATTCTGATAACGAAGGATCTGAGAGCAGTTCTGATAATGAAAGATCCAATTCGCAAGCCTCAAGATCAAGATCAGAAAGCGATTCGGATAGTGAAGGATCAGAAAGCAGTTCTGATAATGAAGAAAGATTGATATCACCAAGAAAGACACAATTCCCAAGAATAACCTCAGGCTCGGAAAGAAGTTCACAAGACTACACACCACAAAAACTTCCACAAAAAACTCCAAAATCAACTCCACAACCAAGAACTCCACAACCAAACACCCCTATCCAAATCCAAAGGCCGGCTCTGCAAGCCAAGCTTGTCATAGACCTCCTTCTTCTGTTTTGTCAGGATCCACATCAAGTTTGTAAGCTTTTGCAAACTCAAGAGCAGACTCGACTTGGGTCTATCCAAAAGGTCTGACACTGGAGCTATTTAGGAACTGGTTGGCACAATCTGGCAACAACTTTCATAACGGGCACATAGTCTCTTAAACTTGGAAAGGTCGTTCTTCATCTCATGTTCGGAAGTGTTTCAAGTTGAGAAACACTCTCAGCAAGGGGTTTAGCCAGTTCCTTGAGTGCACCATTTTGCTCAGTAAGAGCTATATTATGTTTCTTAAGGATTGCAATGTTCTGGGCAATCAATTCAACAGACTCGGTTAATGCTTCTTTCACCTTTTCAGAAACATCTTGAAGAATAAAACCTGTCCCTTTCTTTCTTGCATTTTCAAGGACTTCATTGATGAGTTCAGTATTATATCTCTGATCTAAAAGTCTTTTCCTTGATTCATTTAGCTCCTTGTAAGCAGAAAGTATAGAAATACTGTTGCTCCTAAAAGCAAGAATCGTTTCCTTTGGAAGTTGCTGTTGATTGGCATACCAAACATTTTCTCCAGAGCAAGAAAAGTATCTTTCGGAATCACCCATAAGATGTCAATTTTTTTGTTAAAGATTAACAACAATTTTTATTGTTGAAACCAAATCAACTTTATTGATGACCATCAATTCAAACCCAAAATCATCCAAAGAAAGACGACAATTTGGAAAAAAACATCGAAGGGTTTGCATACATGGATACTAAATGGTTCGCACAATTAAGACGGGATAATTTTACATGAGGAGGGTACTGAACTGTGTCTAAATAAGACTGCACTTTTTGGTCTGGGTTGAGACCTTGCTGTGTGGCTGAAGCTTTAGCAGCAGTGACACAGAGTTGCAGATTGAAATCTGGTACAATAAAATCGTTTGAGGTTTGGAAAAGAAACATCTTTCGTGGGCCAGACAGGTCGACTGAACCCATCAACGTCTGTGGATCTAAACTAAATGGAGGGAAACCCATCTTTCCTTTTACATTCACGACACTCATGGCTGTGGCAAAAGCAATCTTTGCCAAAGCTTCAGAACTAACAATTTCAACGGCATTTGTGAATATGGTTTGGTAAACATTACAAGCAGCAGAATCAGTAAAAACTGCTCTGAATCGTTTTTCCACTTGAAAACTCACTAAGACTGTACTTCCTCCCATGCTACTTCCAAACAGAGAGACATTTGGCGTGGATGTGTTCAGAAAGGCAAATCTTTCAGTAAGATAATCCAACGCTCCAAGAACGTCACGATGCTCGTACAATCCGAAGGATCCATATGGATTTGCCCTATATGAGTCCGAGTCACCATGATTCCTCAAATCGATCATGAAAACATTGTAACCCATTTGATAGAGCATGCTGGCAGGTTCCACTGAGGCGTAAGTGAATCGGCATGCACGAATTCCATGAACGATAATTACAAAACGACTTGTTTCATTCACGACAGGCTGCAGCACCAACGTTCCACGAATTTTTCCACCTCCTTGAGAGATCCATTCGGGGTCTCTCGATTTGAATGTGACGGTTTCGTATTGAGCAGAAGAATTAATGTAATATGGCCCAAATCTTTCACTGGCATTAAAGATGGTAAAGTTATTGCCTGTACAGGTTGAAATCATTTCGTCAGCAGTATAATTCCATGGTCGATTCGTTCGCATGGTGGCATCACAATCAACAAGTGGATCCACACGAAAGGCAAAATCATAAAGAAAGGCTCCCGCGCTGAACCACGCAATAATAAAAACCCCAATAACGATGGCCAAGAGAAGAACCAGTCCTACAACAATTCCTATCAAGCAGCATTTCATGATTCGAGAGCAAGGCCATTTCTTTTGCCTTTTCGTGGTTGTATCCAATGAGGGAATATTCTTCTGCCATCCCGATTCTTGTTTTGCAGGTGATGATGAGGCTTGCTCGGAATCCCTCAGTTGTGTGTTATGTTTGGAATCTTGAGCTTCCGCTTTTAAGTCTTTGAGCTCAATCTCTTGTTCTTTCAAGGAGGAGCTATTCGTCTTGGCCATTTCAAATCGATGTATATATGTGGGTGTTTCAAAATCGCAAAAAATCAAAAAGAGGCTCAAAGGAATGATTCGAGTCGTCTCGTGGCTAGAGGTATCGCTCGTCCGTCGTTTTTTTTAATTGGGCTGCACACAAACAATCAAATGATTCGAGTGTCGTATGTCTTGTGGTATTGCGATCACCCACTCGAGAGTGGGTCGTTTTTTAGTGTGCTACATTAACTCTTCAGAGAACGCGCCAACTTTGTTTAAGGGTTCCAAATTGTTCATCAAAATTGAACCTTTATTAGAGGCAACACTGATGATGAACAAAAGTACACCACAACCTCTCTCCCTAGTAGTATTGGAAAGGAATTTATCGCTTGAAGTAAAAAAAGCAAATATATTAATACCTTCCTACTTTCTCTCCTACTAAGGCCCTTGTTCATGGAGATCATTGAAAAACCATTAAAAAAAAATGCCCTCTCTCGTTCAAGCATTTTCATGTTCTCTCCATGCCACAAAAAATCTTCAAATCACTCTGCAATTATTTGAGTATCATTTGGAATTGAGAAGTGCCTTCGGAACGAGTCATTCCTCAACAACGCATCGCAAAAATTCTCTTGTTAATATTTCTATTCAGGAACAGTATCATGAATCATCCCGATCATCGTTCTTTGAAGGGTTTGGAGAGTGTGGATTGCCTCCTAAAAAACCCAATTGTTATTTGGCTGATTTTGATGATATCAAATTTTATTTTGAACAATTTTGCAAACATGTTGAACGAGATGTAAAGAGTGAAAAAATTCAACAGCTCCTCAATTTTGATGGCAACACTGATGATGCACATGTCATTTCACAAATGTTTGATGAGTGTTTTACTTCAACATGTGGTACCCAATATTTCTCAACTCTTAAGGAAGAACTGGCCAAGTGGTCAACATTTGTCAAAGAAAAAAACTCTGCCGCCACCGTGTCTAATATTCGATCAAATGCACTTGTCACACCACTTTTATTGTTGTACATCTTGGACAAGAATGAGTACGTAGATCAATGTGGTAAAACGCATCCTGAATTTGAACATTGCGCACAGTGTGTGATTGAAATGGCCATTTTGGATTTGTGGTCAAAAATTGTTTCAAAACCACTCTACTCTGTCATTGGAATTCCTGCTCCTATTGGCAAATTTTCATTCTACACAGCTGCTCTCAACGAGGACATTCAGGAAATTGTTAAAACGGCCAAGCTGGGCCTCACCAAAACCAAGCATCTCAAAATCAAGCTCGATTCAAATATTGACAGAGGTATTCTGATTGTGAAAACTCTTCTTGAAACCTACGAAAAAGAATATGGTTCTAACAATGGCCATGACGTTACTGCGACGAGATGGTCCATTGATGCCAATACTGTATGGACTCCCGAACTCTCTCTCGAATTTTTGAGGCGGGTCAAAACAGAAGTACCACACTTTCTTCCTTATTTTTACATGTTGGAGCAACCATTCCCAATTTCATTCGAGAGCTCTTCCACAAACAATGAAAATTGTGCTACTTTTGAAAAAGACATCTCACTTATCAAAAACAAGTGGATTCAAGTCAAGCAGGAATATGAAAATGCAGGAATACTCATTTTTGCTGATGAAAGTGTCAACACTTTTGAAAACATTCCTGTCCTATGTCCGTTCATTCATGGAATCAACATCAAACTTGAAAAGGCAGGAGGTATTCGAGGAGCCTTAAAAACGGCTATCATTGCTCAATCTGAATATCACTTAAGGTTGTGGTTTGGTTGTATGGTATCGAGTCGTTTGAGTTGTACATGTTCCTCACATCTCATGTCTCTCTCTGAAATTGGAGGAGACTTGGACGGCGATTTACTCGTGACTGAATCAAGCCAAGCATTCGAAAAAGGATTCACTTGGAAGAATGACTTGACATTTCATTCAAGTCTGCCTATGATTGGCCCACAACATGGGGAAATTATTTTACAATCAGACCAAATACCAGGAATTGGAGTGGATCGAAACTTCTAGAACTAAAAGAATCATGTCACACCATTGAGTCCATTCGAATTACAATCATTCAAAGAGGAAAAAAATATGACATTTTCTTCGTCGTGATCGATCATCAGGATGATATCATTAATTTCGGCTTTTAACGACAAATTCATTTCGGACAAGAAGAACAATCATCATAATAATAATCATATCATCATCATCACTACTACGACCACCATCACTACTAACACGACCGAAGATTCTTCAACTGATGTACCTGCTCGAATACTCGATCATTTTCCTCCATGGATCAATTTATTCACTCTATTCATTGCTAGTTTCTTCTTTGTATTGTGCTTGATCCAAACCTATTCTAGACGTAGCTTTTTCGTTCGGAAAACACAATCATCAATACGCTCAAAGTTCCTCAACAAGATGATGAAACTCTTGTGTTGTTGTTTGTTTGATTCCAAATCTCAAATTTTGTATTGGACCATTCCCTTACAGTTTTCTCTGCAATACGTCATGGCGTATTTCCTTCGGACCATTCATACCTTCATGTTGCAATATGCATTCACACAAACGTATGAGCCTACTTGTTTTCATTATTTGGATGAAGCTTCTAATAAGAGAAGAAGATTATGTGCCATTTCAACCTTAATGGATCGAGGTACAGAGGCATTAATTAAGGCAACGTTTTTACTATTGTTTCTGTATTGGGTGGAATTGACCTATCATTGCATACATTTCAGAGATGCCAAGAAATGTAAAGTATTCGAAAGAATTGGACGAAGAATTTACTGGTCTCTATTTGGATTGTTTTACTTTGTAATGAGTGTTGGATTTTTGGCGTGTGTACTCACACACAGTAATGTTTCCTACTTTTTCAATGCTCTCATGATGATTGTGGATATTATTTTGCCAATATTGTTTTTAACATTTGGATTTCGATTGAGGAAAATCATAACACAAATTCGAATTTCTCATCCAGAAATGATTATCAAATTTCTTGCACGAATTGGATTATTTTGCAAAATTATTGGATTTTACTTTTTAATTTTACCATTCAACAGAGTGCTGAATATTGTACTGACAAATTTTGTGTTTACTTCAGATGGATACAACAGTGTCACTACGTTTATAATAGTGGCCGAATTTGTTTTGTTTTTGTGCCTTCCTTCTATTGCTACTTTTATCATGGTCATGCTGCCTTTGAGTGTGGGCTTGTTGAGCGACCTGTTGAATTGTTTTAGAGGGAGATGGTCCTTCAGGAATTTTGAAATAGTAACGCTCACAGATGACACTGTCCATGACCCTGCCATGGATGGCTTGTTTGAAAGCTCAAAAATTTCTCCCTTCAATACCGTGCAAGAGGTGAACGAAAGCTCAACTCCATATCAAATGGCAAATAGTGAATAATTTAATGAATAATAATCAGCTTCGTCTTCACACATGATTTAAACACAATAAATTTGGCATTGACAAAATTGTTTATTTGTGTAGCTTGCGTTGGTATGTGTTCAACACAATAGTTGTGCTATGGACTTGAAAGTGGAGGTTTGCAAAAATTGTGGTCGATTGATTGAGTGGAAATTAAGTCGTGTGACAGTTCAATGATGATCCTCCAAGAACCATCAAAAACTTCACAATAAATAATAAAAGGAAGAGTCAATGACTCCATTCTTTGGTGATGGTGTGTCAAACACAAAAATTTGGATATAAAAAAATTGGTGGTGGTGGTTGGGGTTGGAAGAAACGTAATAGTGGTATTGTGGTGGTGTTATGGTGGTAAAAACATAATTACCAAGAAGATGTTGTTCACTAGCCAGCCAGTCAAATGCTCCTCCAACGCAAACGAATATCAATGCATCTGGCTCCAGACTACCAATTAAGGAATTCCTCCTTGGTAAGGATGAAACCAGGACTGGAGGACTTCACATCTTGTTGCTGTGGTTGCGAATTGAAATACATTTCAACAACTTGTGAATGTTGTTGACAAACAAAATAAGGATCTCTCTTTTGAGATGTATTCTCTTCCACTCGACAAACTCTTTCTGAATAATCCCTCAAACGTTGCAAACAATCATTGAATGCATTTAAATTCTTTTCGCAACTCTCTTGTGATGAGTTTGATGACAATTGTCCATTCTCTTGGTGATGGACATGAATGGAAATGAGAAATCTCACAATTGGTAAATTTTTGTAATCAATTCCTAATTGATTCAAAGAGAGAATGAGTGAACAGAGAGCCAATAAGAAAGGTTTAAATTCAAGCAAGTCATAGCAGAGTAAATGAACATCTCCAATATAGAAGATGAGTTGAGATAACTCCTCTTTTTTCATGCTCATGTCATTGCTGTCACCTGTCAATACATGTTCTTCCATCAATTGCATAAAGAGGAACATGAAATCAACACAAGTGACAGAACACAATTCAAATCCCAGCACATCCAATACCAATCGTTCCAAATTCAAAATCTCCTTTTTTGCTCTCTCATCATTCTCACCCACCAAATGCATCAATCGAATGTCATCCCTTCCAAAATATTTGGCAGTAATGTAAAAACAACAAATTCCCAAAGCTTGAAAATTTCGAGTCGTAATCTCCAAATCTTGAACTCCAGTTCCATATTGTGCAAATTTGGAAAGTGCTCGATCCAATAAATTCACACAAAAATATTTCGTTTCTGGAACGAGTCCAAAATAAGAAACAAGTTCACAAATCCAATCTACCAAAATGAGTCGATTTTTAGCACTAATGTTTACATGCGATCTGTTCTGTTGTGGATCTTTGCAACAGAGTAAAAGATAGCTCGAGAGTGGAAGGAATCGTTCTTGGTTGGTCAATAGGTGAGTCAACCATTCTTGACAAGTGGCAGAGAGGCAGACAGAGGGATGATGACTTTTAAATGATGAAGCACTTGCTATCTCGAGAGATGGTTGTTGTTGGTAGGGGTGGTGTTGAGATTGATCAATGGTACCAGTCAATGTCGATTCGTGATTAACTTGATCGAAACTGTCACTCATCAAAATATCTTCTTCTGAATCCTGCTCGTTCAACATCAATGATTCATCTCGATCATCCTGTCCTTGTTGTTGTTCGTATGAGTCCACTTCCAATTCTATTCTCTCTTGATCTTGTTGTGGGTATTGGGAAGAGCGGCTATAAACTATTTGGTTCGATCCATTTTTGGAATCAATTGAAAAGTAGTCTGTTGTTCTTTCTTGATCGATCTTTTCAAAATCCTTGTCATGATCCATCAGCAATGAACAATAACATTCATCACTTGATTTAGCATCAGTAGTAATGCGTTCGAAGGAGAAAGAAGAAGAGGCGGTCTCTGTTTGTGGAGAAGAGTCTCGAGAGAATTTATCGCACGCACTTCCTGTCAGTTGTCGTTCTTTCGAATCTTGGTCATTGCTTTGTTCGATTCCTTCTAGAGTGTTCAAAGTACTAGTCGTAGTAGTAGTAGTAGTAAATTGGTCTTCAGTCGCGAAAGATCCTCTTCCTCTCCGTCTTGTGCTCTGCGAAAGTAACAAGGCTTTCATTTTGTGTGGATTTTTACAAAGTGAATTTCTTTTTTTGCCTCTTTGAATTTTGTTTACAAATTTCGCAAGCTGAACGTGAGGTTCCATATTTGGGGTATGACAGTCGGTGGCTTGGTCTTGAGAGAGGTTTGTTGGAAGATAGGTACTGGATGGTATGACGAGATTGGAATTAATAGAGAGAGCACCTTTGGAAGTACGTTTTGTGGAGAGATGGTGTTTTGAGTTTGAATGTTGATCTTGCAGGAGACCTTTGGTTGTTGTGTTGTGATTTGAAGAATTTTCATGACTTTTGGCAAGCGGCTGATTCTCATCAACAACAACAATCTTGTGGGAATTGTCATCATAATTCGATGAACAAGTATCCACAGTGTTATTTGGACTCAACATTTCAAGAGTTTGCAATATTTTTCAATACAAAGTATATTCAAAATTAATATTGCATCAAAGAAATCTTTGCTTGTTGCCGAATTTAGAATCCAACAAGGAAATTCAACAAATATTGATAGACTGATAATCGTTCACTTCTAAAAAGAGATTACTCTTGCAAGAATATAGTGTTAGATTGAATAAAAGATGATGATGATGATGATGATGAATCGTTCTCTTGTCCATAAAACTCCGCGGAGAGAATATTCCAAAGACGCCAATAAGAATCCAATTCGTGTGTGAATGTTGAAAAAGAGTGTCTGGTAGTAGTTAATGGTGCTCGGTAGTTAAAGGGTGCAGAGAAAGTTCCTTTCTATCGAATCGGAAATGTTTTTTTCACAGCGAAAATGTTCATCCAAAAAGAAGCTGCCAAGGAGTGTGTGAGGTGACAGTTGGCAGGTTCTGGCAGCTTGACTGAGCTTTCACCCATCCATGTAGGGATGACATTTGAAACTTTGAGTGTGGAAATTTCTAGTGCATGGAACTCTTTTTAATCGAACGGACTTGTCCGGTGGGTTTAGATTGGAGGGTATGAATGTTTGAAGAAACCCAACCCTTATTCTCATGGTGATTCCATATGATCGCTGGAAAGTCGTCCTCTTCCTTCTTGTTTTTCACTCAAAAGAGAGGAGCGAAAGTTATAATTGTTCATGACTACTTGCTGGAGAGAGATCTCTGATTGATCCCTGTAATGAGAGAAGTGTGTGTGATTTATTCAATGAGAGAAGTGTGAGTGTTGGTCTTGCGAAAAAAAAAATATTGTAAAGGAGTTGACTAGAACTTTGTAATGTGTGAAATTAATTTTACGTCCATGAATCAAAAGTGGGAGGAAGGATATCATTTATTGTTTTGTGTCATTGGCAGAGGGCAGTTCTTGCTAATTTAAAGAATAATACATGATTAGAAACTTCTCAAAATATTTTGACTTTCGTTCACACATCCAAATGGTCTCTTCGAATAATAGCCACCTTGTTTCATCCATCATTGAAAAAGCAACATGTTTGATATTCGATTTACAGTTGTTCTTAAGAGGTGCTTACATTCCACCTGAAATTCTCAAAAGAAGACACATATGGATAACACATATTGATTGGCGTACTGTTGCAACGATTGTTAACAAAGGTCTTATCAATTTACGTGATTATTATGGCCATTAAAATCGTCAGATAAAATCGCACGACATGAGGCAATACCACAAGACATAATGAACAAATATTGCAATTCCGAACTGTTCTTGTTGGACTCTCGACATTTCAAAAGTCAGCACAAAAATAATTACTGTGTGAATTAAAAAAGAAATGCAGATGGGTCCCACCTCGAGAATGGTATTATTTTATGCGTTGGATTTCGGACATGTCATGTCAATTTTCAATCCATATTTGATTGTGACAAGTGATTAAAATCGAAAAGACAAATTGTCGCAAATATGTTTTCTGAGCTAATTCTATCTAAAGGGTTTTCTCTACAGTAATGTAATAGAATTGTACAACCAAATTACAGTATTGTATTCAGGTCAAGAAAGAATAAAATCCATGTGTAAGCCTCAAGAACATGTCATCCTCAAAAATTTAATTCGGTTAAATACTTCAGAATATGTAAAAGTACTTTCAAACAAGGGAATGACCACAAAAACAGCAAATGACCAAAGTGTATAGTTTGCCGATGATTCAAATTCTTCTTCATGTGTAATACAATTTGGATTATTATCACGAACCTTGACGAGAATATCTGGGTGCATCTGTGTGGTCCCAACTCTCTTCTACGAACACTCCAAGAGTGTCCAATCAAACACAACATGATGATCATAATAATGACCTTCCATGACCAATTATTGAGAACATTACAATTCACACCTCTGATGTGTGTGTGAATCTCCAAATGTGATGCATTGAACACCCAAGATTTTTCATTGCTCATGTTGTATTTTGTCCTTTCGAAATGAATAGTAAAATAAATACTCAGAATAGTCTTTGTATATTGTGAGAAGAGATTCTTATTGTTGAATAGTATCTTTGAATATCATCTATTTGAAAATTGCCGCTTTCACTCATTTTCATTCTCCATTCGAACATCTCAACAACAACAGCAGCAAGACTTCCGTTGAAAAAGTCAAATTCAGAGACATATTCGACTCAAGTGGTTCATAAAGGAGTGTTAGTGACCGGCCAATGAAGATTTATTCTTTCAATAGTCACTTTCCCACAAGAGAGAATGCAATGGCCATTCTTGTTGGGGTGCGCTCCAAATTTATAAAATTGAACAACTTTCCACATGGACAAACTTGGGTCTATGAGTTTCCAAAGGAGATCCATTTGCTAAATTTCGAATGAGACAGTTGATCTCTCATAACTTGGAACTGATTGGCGCAATTCTAAGAAGAGACCACACTTCACATTTCACATCGAAAATGCAAGTCGGAACCAATTCCAATGATTTGGAACAAGTATTACACACTAAATTTTCAAACTTCTTTTCAATATCACAACCAAAATACCATGTACGTTCTGTGATGTTTAAATCAGACATGAAGAAGGATATTTTAGAAGGCTATTATTATTGTTGGAATCGATCGTGAGAATATACATCACCACCTAGGAGTTACCATTTCTATCATTCAGAAGCAACTCTTCGACATTTTCAATCAACAGTTTGGTAGCGCTCTCCATCCAGCACTTTCTCAGATTGAATACGGATGTATTGGACTCTTGTCGCAAAACCGTCCAGCCAATGCCCAAATTCGATGAAATTCGAATGGAAGTGTGTGTGCAGGGTGAACACTCCCACGCAGACGAGAGTCAGAGGGTTAGCATTTATGAAAGTGAAGAGTGAGTTGAGCACCACAAGAAAAAAAAGCAACAGCAACAATAAATTCATTGACCTCCACCACCGCCACCTCTGAGTGTTTTCATCTTCAACACCATCTTGCACAAGACGAACACACTTTGGGAATTTTGAGAGCCTTTGGTTTCCTATCGGAACACGGACTCGTGATAGAGATCCCCTCTTTCTCTTCTCTCTCTCTGGTTATCCTACAACTCTTTGAACGATCATCATCATCATCATCACTCCATGTATTGAATAGATATATACACATATTACCACTATCTATTGATCCATAACCATACATTCTCCGAGAACGCCTTTTTTCAATCCTCTCTGTTACCACCAACACCACCAACACCACCAACACCACCAACACCACCAACACCAACACATGGCCAAACAAGAATTATACTACAACAACAAGGAATCAAGACAAGCCTACCACCACTCCATGATGATGATATCCAAGAGTTCCTCGGAAGAAGAAGATTCGCTGATGTGTACCTCGCCGACATCACCAAGCCTTTTTGTTGAACACTATGCTCAAAAGATGAATCCAAGCTGCCAAAACAAGAGTCATAACAATTCTTCCAATGCTCACTCCAGTCAAACAGCACGAGAAATCCTTGCTGATATTACCTCTCAAGCTGTTGTCGCAGCGGCTTCACGCATGAACGGACAGGGAGCCTTTATCACCAGCACCACCACGGTCAATACAAGCCTGAAGACACAACAACCCTCCAACAACAGCAAGAGTTACCAACAGGGACAATCCACGAATTCCACCACTGCCACTCACTACTATCCTCCTTCGACTTCCACCTCCTTTCCATGTTCCCAGCCACAACCAAACATGAAATTTGTTCACACTGACTCTTGCACCACGCAACTGAGCTATTCCAATAACAACAGAAGCAACAACAACTACAATAATATCCACTACACCCACACCCACTCTGCCACTGGTAAGACAAAGGCAGCAGTTTCTCATGTTGTGGGCATTCATCCATCATGTCGAAACGTTTCCACAGAGCCTAAAATTTTCTCTCCCTCAGTCACCTCGCCTGTTCTTGGCCTAGACTTTGGTGAATTCCAAATGATGCAAGATGAAGATGACTATGATTGCGAAGACAATGAGGAATCGCTCAATGAAGAGAACAACGACCAAGATGAAGATTATCTTTTTTGTAAAGATGACGAAGAAGAGGATGACAGCGATGATGATTGTCAGCACTATTTCACCTTGAGCCAAGACAATTATTCTACTTCTCAAGTGTTGGGCGTCTCACGATCCACAACTTTGACAGAACCCTCTCGACAGCATGCCACATGCAACATGAATAATACAACAATGAACTCCCATAGAATGTCGAACCACATTCAAGCTCGACAAGATCCTGATCTCTACAATGATCATGATCGAATGAGATTGAAACAAGCACTGGACTACAATGTGGACCATCCAGTGAATTTACTTCCCAAGTTCAACAAGAATCAAGAGAATTCTCAGATTTCTCGTCTTCCCATCGAGGTAGAACAAGATGTTCTTGCCTATTTATTCGAAAATGAAAGCAGAAAACAACCTTCTCTTGACGCTCTCAGATCCACACAAACCATTGTCACACCTGATATGCGCTCGATGCTCATTGAATGGCTTGCTGGCATTTGTGTTGGATTCAAGCTTCGACCAGAGACATATTACACCTCTGTGAACGTTCTGGATCGTTTCCTTTGCCAACACAGAGTAGAGAACACCAAATTTTTACAGGGTATTGGTTTAGCAAGCTTACTCATTGCTGCCAAGTTTTGTGAGATTACATGCCCTCCACTCAAACAATTACTCTTTGCAGCAGACAATTTTTACACTCGTCGTGCAATTTTGAATTGGGAGAGTGAAATTTGCAATATTCTTGACTTTGAATTTTGCACTGTCCATGCTTTTGACTTTATTGAAAAGTTCTTGGAAATTTGTGGCTATTCTCAATGTGACCAAGTGAGAATGCTCTCCTATTTCATTTGTGAATTGCAACTTCAAAATTTCCACACTCTACAATTCCAGAGACACACCGTGGCCATATGCTCCATTATTATTGCTCTTTACATGTTCCGACAGCCATACCTCACTCCCAATGTGTTGTACTGTGTGAGGTTATCTGAAAATTTCTTTGAAAGCGCAAACGGCTCCTTAACAAGAGACGATGTGCAAATTCTGGACACCACCAACAAGTGCCTCTCAACCATGTTCAACTTTTATATTGGCATGATCACAGGAACCATCAAGTACAACTTTGTCGTCGATAAGTATAGCAAAGATTCCTTCATGAACATTGCCACATGGTTCCCATCACAGACCAATCATAATTTCAACATTGTACCTCCACAATTTAATTTACAAGGAGGGCAAAATCAATCTTGTTGATGATTTCATGATTTCTCAAACAACTTTGCTCCTGTGAGTATTCATATATGTATGAACACCATACATCCATTCATTACCATGAATATTCTCATACAATAAACAATTCTTTCAGGTCAAAATGAATTATCATTATTCGTTGTGTGTTTGATGCGTGCTATAGTATCCACGAGCGTTCTCTATAATGGTCAAATACCAAAAATGAGGCATTAAGGCGGGGAATCGTTTTTGAGGTGCCACAAAAAATGGGCAACTCATCGTCTGTTAGCCCGACCTTATCACCAACGCCTTCAAAGAAGAACCTTCTCCTCAATTCTTCTCAACGGCAGCAATCATGGCGATGCCTTTCAAAGAAGTCATCATCCTCCCAGTTATCATCATGCGCTTCAAACAAGAGCTTAAAAAGCGAGAATGCGAACAGTAAAATTTCTACTATTGAGGACACCAAAAGTAATATCTTGTCCATAAACAACACCTTTGACAAGAACAATAGCGATCATCATACGACCCTTGTAATTAATAACAAACTCACCGCATCCATATCAAGCAGCAGCCGATTTGCGGACAGAATCTCTCGGCTATCCTCAACAAACAAAGCCCCCAATGAAGCAAGTACCCTCGAATTTAGTGATACAACTTCAGAAGATTCGGAGGACAATGATCTGGACCGAACCAATTCTTTGGAAAATCATGATCTTATTGAAAGTGGCGTGAGTCTTGACTCTTCAAAAGACTCGAAACTGTCATCATTAAGGGAAAGTATTGGCTTTCTAAAAAAGAAGAAGAAGGTCAATCCCTCACGAAATAATTTATTAATTTCATCATCAACCAATGCTTCATCATCTTCGACATCACCATCGGAGCCATTACTAAGGAACACACACCATTCTAATTACACCCCCTCTCCCACCTCTCCTCATAATTCTAACAAGAATTCGATCAGACCATTGTCTTCGACCGACTCACTGGTTGATGAAGATTACGATGCTGACCAATCGTGGTTGGATCAACCAAGGTCTGCCCTGTTTTTGCATCCCTCGTCTTTATCACGATCATGTCAATTTCCAAATTCGAGTAGCACTTCGTCTCCAACGACAACAAAATCCAGTCTCCACCCAACAAACATCACTACCACAGTTGTCGAGATGAGCAGCGACGATATTTCTTCTCTCTCTGATTCCTTATCCTCTTCGATACCATCTCTTCCATCCACTTCTATTCAGTCATCCGTTACTTCCCCATCTTCTGCCTCCTCCAATTTTACAAGCTCACTTTCAAAGCAGACATCGTCTGTATCGCAGAATGACTTTCGCGGAAAGAAAGATGTTTCACAACAACAATATCTTTCAAAAAAGCCACAAGTATTCAAAAGCAAGTCAAATATTTCTTCATCTGATAAGAAAAAAGACGACCTACATCTCTTATCTGGAAGTCTTGAGCTTGGAAAAATGTTTTCTAAAGCAAAGAGCAATATTTCATTTGTTAACAATTTGACTCAATCTCTCGACTCATTTTCCTTGAAAACAAAAATCAAAGAGGCTTTGAAAGAATTCAGAGGAACCTCATTGACAAAACATCTAATCTCCAACGATGAATTATCATTTGCAGAGTATTTTCCTGTGGATGAAAGCGCACTTCCCCAAACGAATAATACATCACCAACCTCGAAGAAAACTAAGGAACGATCTGTGGCTGTGAATATTGACCGAATTATTGATGTGGTACAACCAGCTTTTAAAACCCCTGACATGACCAAAGCTCAAAGCGAAACTAACCTTAATACGTCACAGTCAACGACTCCCCAAAACAAAACTCATCCTCGTGTCACAAGGTCGAATGCATTAACGAATAAGGGATATTATATGGACTTTTGTGGAATCACAAGCAACGTCACGGAAATCATGAATGACTGTGAGGATTGGACAAGCATAAAAGAAATTAAATCTCCCTTCCAGATTGAAATTTCAGAGCCCACAAACAAGGCTGAAACCTTTCACTTACCTCCCCCTCAGGATGATCTTGAGAATCGTTTTCTTACGATACCCGATCTGAACGATGAAGATGATCGCTCAGAGCAAAAACAGCTCACTTGCAATGACAAGTCCATCAACAAGAACGTCTTTGACATTGTCACAGACATACACAACTCCTTTGTCGTTTGAAACGGTAAGCCTACTAATTTATTCATTAAACAACATTATTTGTTCTGAAGTGATTCAAATCTTTCATCACGTCATGAAATCCTGCTTTTCGAAAGTTTGAAATAGAACCACAAAAAATCTTTCCAACAACAAGAAGATGGAATCTCACTTTTATTGCGACCAACAATTTGTAACTTGTGAAATACTCTTTCCGCATACGGCTCGTGTTGTAAAAGATCCATCACCATTTCACGATCAACAACAACAAGCGGATCATTGGAATGAAGAAGAAGCAGAAACCGCTCATTCATTTCCTCTCAAAGCGGAAGAAGAAGACCTTGATTTAACCTTTTATGATTCCGATCGGAACGATTTATTATTTACATCATTCTCAGAAACCAATGGATATGATCACAAGGAAGAAGACTCTGTATCAAGATCAATCACCTCTATTCAACAAGATCAACAGGAACTCCCTTCACCACAGGATCATCCTCTTCGGAACGTCGACCATGAAATACATGAAATATCTTTGATTCAAAATCACATGTATTATTATTTATGTTCATCAGAAGAACATAATGATGAAGAAGAACATGATGCATTTAATAATTCCTTATTAGAGACTGAAAAAGAGAAACAGAATTTGAATGATATAACAACAACAACCACTAGTTGTTCCAAACTAATGGATGAAATGGATGATTACTTTTCTCTGATCGATCATGAGAAAGATGAAAATCCTAATGATGATCAAACAACATTCTTTCAACACAAAAATCAAGAAGAAAAACAAGAAATAATGATGATGGATAATTCAACATTCCGGAAATTAAGCAAACACGTGAGTCTTTTAGACAATGATTGGACTCTGATCCAATATGTTTCAAAAGATTCTTCAAAGGATTTCACTTTACATAACAAATCCACATATGACAACAATTATTTCAAAATTCAACTAATCTCTTCACAAACCATTCTTCATGCACACAGAAATCGAATGATACAAAAAGTACCATTCTAAAAACCATGATACAAAGTGAAATGATTGAATCCAAAATGAATGAAATGACCATTAACGATACACTTGAAGAAGAAAAGAATTTTATTCGAGTTATGGATTTTATTCATGTTGAAGAATTGGGAATTCCAATTCTTGGAACCAGTTTTGCCAATTTGGAATGGTTTCCAAGCAATTCTTTAATAGGACTGAAAGATTTATTAAGACTGATTGATAAGGCGGATGAATATGGAGTGACAAGCTTAATTCGTTCCATTCCAAATGTCATGAATGAGTATAATGTCATGATAATACTTGAAAAAGCATTACATATTTCTCCCGATCTCTCAGAAATTCTAATTTTGCAAGCCATTGATATTATTGCTTCGAATTTGCCATGTGTCATTGGAGGATATATTTACAACAATTGTTTGGATCTTGAATCGATACACATTCAAGCTGAATTGTGGATTTGTGATTTGAAAGATCGATTTGATTTCATTTCTCACAATCCTTCAATTGCTTCTCTGTTGTTACATTTGAAAAGAAATGCTATTGTGAATACTTTAATTGAACTTCCTTCATACATCCCAGAAACAGACAGCGATTCAAAACAACTACCTCTACTATTACGAATTTTCCAGTCATCTCATTGCAGAGCCAACACAGAACAAATATTAGCAATTATTGTTGTTTGGATTTTATCATGTCCTTTTCAGCCTTCTGAATTTTTGCAACAAGAATTCATAGAGCACAGAGACGAGAGTGTTCATCTTTGTGAAAATATTCTCAGTATTGAATTTTCAAAACGACTTTCTTCAGGTATTTCATTCGTTGTGAACCAGTTGGACTTGACAAGTTTATCATCGACAATGCAAGATCAAGATTATTTTGATATTTTTGTGCTTAAAATATTATTATCCATTGCTTCTTCACATCCTCAGTTCAAACATCTTCAACACAAGATCAATATGTGCGTCATGAAACAATATGGGAACTCATACCATGGATTTTCTTCAAGAGATTTGGCGGAAACATTTGCTTTTCGTATCATTGATCCACTTTTCACACAATTACTTTCACCTGAACAACATGTTGAAAGAGAAACAAATTCTATTGCATGTCATTGTGAACAAATGGAAGTGAATCAATCTCTCACAAATTCTAATGAAAGTAGTAGTGGTAGTAGTAGCAATAATGAAATTCACAACATCAGTAACAACCATTCAACCATTCCAAGCAGAATCGACCATAATTTTATTCAAGAAATATTTTCTCTATGTTTCACTGGAAACAAACAAAAAACACAAAAATTCCTTCAAGAAAATTCTCTCCCTCTACTTTTCACAATCCTTCGATCTATCAAGCAATACGACGAGAGATTTTGGGAACAATTTCTATTCATGTCCTCAACAGTGTGATGCAAAATTTGGAAGAACAATTTAATCATGAACAACAACAGATTGACGAATCGTCAAAATTTTCAGTAAGACAACAAAAAGTTCAAGTGGAACCATCTTCAAAAGTGTTACAAGCATGTATGGTGGGATTGGATGGGGCTGGAAAAACGTCGCTTTTAGAAAAGATGAAATATCCCAAATTGAAAAATTTGACAGAAACAATACCTACTGTTGGATTTAATACAGAAACCATTTATTATGGAAATGTGGAAGTATTTATGGTATGTGGAAGTGGTTGACATGGTTTTGGAGTATTGTTAAATTTATTATTTATTTATGAATGTCATGTGACATAAAATATTGACGCCACGTCACATTGTGAAGCGTGATATTGGAGGATTGCCCAAAATTCGATCCTTGTGGACACATTTTCTCAATTCTGCTGATTTATTGATTTATGTTATTGATGCTTCTGACAAGTCTCGATATGAGGAATCAAAAGAATGTTTAGAGCGATATGTAGATTTGAATTTAACTAAGAAGGATTGTAGTGTTCTTATTCTTGCGAACAAGATGGAATGTTTAGTGGAGGCATTTCCACCCAATCAACATCAACAACGAACCAAAATTCTGAAAGAAACCTATGAAGAACTTGTGGAGCTATTTGAAAACTCTAAATTGAAGCAGTGGTTGAAACAGCAATCAAATGTACATGCAGGTTCGTCGCTACTTGGTGAGCATCAAAAAACTGATTTTCGAACAGGCTCAAGAGAAGGAAGATTGAAAATTCAGTTATGCAGTGCCAAAACAGGAGAAGGAATCAATGAGGGGTTGCTATGGTTTTTTTCGAGCATGCTCATGAATAGTAGACTTTGGTCAACTTGTAAACATTAGCGATATCATTAAGGAATGCAAGTTGGGAGACGATAAAAGTTCTGCCAGTACGAGCCAACCCAACAACAGTCTTGGTCATACCAGCACACATTGTTTGGTAATGTAGAAACGTAATAACAAAATTTTTACAATGTTCGAGTTTTTATTAAAAACTGCTTAATAGGTCCAAGGATGGGTCTAATGAGTTCGATTGAGAGTCAGAGCCTTCGGAGGTATCTGAGTCGAAAAAGTTCAGAGAATCCATTTCGGAGTATCGAGAGATGTCAAAGTCATCGAATTGATCTTTCTTGAGAAGAGGCGAGTAAGGATCTTCATGAGAACATGACAATTCTTCACACGAGTAAATGTTTGAGGGAGAAGTAATGGCGTTGCTGGTTGAGGAGAGCTCTTGGGTAGTGTCACATTGAACAGAAGAGTGGAATGAGGACGAGTTTGGATCACACAGCCAAAATTCTGCATAGAGCGGATCTTCCGTAAGGGGTTCCATTGTTGGTGCTTCGTGGGTTGAGAAATTAGAGGCAGTAACCTCGTCTCCCTCATGCTCTTGCATGTATTCCAAGGAGGTAGTGGTTGCGTCCAAACATTCAGGTTGGTCACAACCATCCACCAAGCATCTGAAGGCTTGCATGAAGGCCAATTGTTGCTCTTCGTTGGGCAATGTTCTTAGTGTTTCCATCAATGATGCAAGTTGCTTTTCATAGAGTCGGAGTTTTTCATCATCGCTCATGGTTAACTTGAGCTTCTTGGAAAGGAAGGTCTCATATGGATCAACGTCCTTGGCTTGTTCCATGTAGAGTCTCTTTTTAGTGACTTCCTCATCTCTCTGTTCGGTAGTTCTTCTTCCATATACTTGGAATGGTGCACTTACCATAACAATAAGAGGTTTTTGCTTACCTTGAGAGTAAGCCTCGGGTGTGTACAAGCTAACTCTCATACAAACGTTTTCCTTTTGGTGATGATACGCAACATCACTGAATTGAAATTTAGTGTTACAAGTGAGCAGTGTTCGTGCTGGTTGTGGCGTATGATGGTTGTCAGTCGTTCGTTGTTGTGAAGACGACTGGCTGTCAAGAGAGTCCTCGCTATGAGTGCTGCTGTAATCGTCCTCATGGGTCATGTTGTCATTGTCCTTACCGTTATGTTGTTTTGAGGTTGTTGATCGACGATATTTCCTTTTGGCAATGATGGGTTTTCGCTCTTCGCGCGTTGATTGGAGAGAAAGATGTGTTTCTCCTTTCAGAATTTCCTTCTTCTTACCTGTATTGTTGTTAGATGTATGGAGAAGTGAAGTTCCATCTTGGCTGTTCACAATATCAATGTCTGCCAAAAGTTTTTGTGGTAGCGTCGTTTCTTTCGTTCCGTAGCTCTGACCGTTTGTATTCAACAATGACTTCATTGTTGTTTGCTGGTCATCTTCATCAGAGAGCAGTGCACTCGAGAACTTTTTCGTCGTCGTCTGTACATTAACGCTCTCTGCTTCAACTTCCATGCTAAACTTATATTTCAAGCTACTGTAAAGTTTGAATGGGACAAAGTCAACAACAGGGTCAGTACGACTCGAAATTAGAAACGTTACCTTTACAATATTGAACATCAAACTCTCCTGTGAAGCTTGATCATAGTGAATCAAGCTCCACTCTCGGTCCATAAACGAGGAGGACGAGAAAGAGGAAGATGAGAGTACATTTTCCTCATTTGTATTGTTGTGGATCATGGTGTTGATGATGGTTAAACGTATAGACAAATTTGAGTTTGAATTGGAGAAGAAGGTTTCCGTTGCTTTGTATTTTTGGGAATGGCTTTTGGGCTGAGAGGGGAGCAACAACGGAATGAGTTGAGTATTTTTTTTTGAAAATAAAAAAAATTAAAAAATTAAAAATATCTGCTTGCCTTTTTATTTCGTTGAAGGTGCAGCGCGGCCAAAGAATTGTGTCTTGAGCACTTTCTTCTTATTTTGACTTTTTTTCTTGACTCAGACATTGTCTGACTCCACACACTTTCGAAAGAACCGAGAGTAGAACAAAGTTCATACATTACTAAAAGTCAACTTGAAGTTAAAAATGAACCAACAAGATCAACCCACTGCTCGCATTCGTTTCTCAACGGGTGCTCTTCCTTCCCATCTCGTCTGCGAATCATCTTGTTCCGATTCAACAACTCCGAATATTGTGAGATCTTCTCAAGCCATCGGGACTCTCAATGAAGAAGATCATTCATCTCCATTTTCAGGATTGGCTCCGATCATTGAAAAAAGTTTAGCCAAGATTAAAATTGAGGAATTATTTCATTATGGATCTCCGAAGGGAGAAGAGTCATTGTGTAGAGCCATTGCATATTTGTACAACAAAACAGTGAGCAGGAATGGTGTTGAAGATCATGAATCGTACCAACAGCAACGATCATCGTTTGGAGCGCATTCACAACAACTTGTCGATCGAATGTCGATTCATGCTGAACATGTCCACATCACCTCTTCAGCTCAACAAGCTCTGAATATTGTATTTTCTGCTCTTTTTAACAATCGAATGGCAGGTTACCACACAAGTGATCAAGATAATCATGAGTATTCATCTGAAACAATTTTGTTTCTTCAGCAGCCTTGCTTTTTTGGAACGGTTAGATTGGTGAAAAAGTTTTGTCTTTCTGCAACAAGAGTGAGCAATAACAGAGAAGAGTCAGTCAACTCCGTGAAGGTTGAGAGTTTTGAAACTGTGGAAGAACTTGTTCGAAAATTAACTAGAATACCAGTATCCAATACCACAACGGGCGAATGCACTTCCAGAACATGTAACATGACAAGAAAGACAACACAACATCGCCCACGAATTGTAATTTATATTTGTTCCAATTATCAAGCATATAATGGTACAAGAGTTTCTGACTCTGAAAAACAATTGCTCTCACTCCTGATCAAATCGAGAAGAGAAGATTTTGAATTTATCATCATTGAGGATAATCCCTATGATTTCTTGTATTTGAGTGATACTGAAAGACCATTGACATTGTTTGAAATGTTGCCAAATCACACCATATTAATTGGAGGATTTTCTAAAATTCTAGCACCAGGTATTCGAACTGGTTATATTATTTTGGATCAAGAACAACAAAACAGTGAAGGTGGAAAGAACGACAAACATTCCTTGAAAGGGTTGATTCACAGAGAGAAACTTGATCAGGATTTATTTACCTCAACATTGTGTCAACAAGTTTGTACAGCCGCAATTTCAGAGGATGGAGGTGCCTATCTAAATTCATGGAGAAGGGTTGTGAAAGAGAGAAGAAATGCCACTTTACAATACTTGAACGAATTTTTCCATGACGTAAAAAACCATGTCGAATGGACGCAAGCAGATTGTGGCATTTTCATTTATGTGAGGTTTAAGAATGTCTCAAAGAACATCAACAATTCCAAAAACGAGCACACAGTTGAGAAAGAAAAAAACACGCCAGATGACATTTCTCAATTGTTAAAAATTGCCTCCTCAAGATATAAGTTAGATTTGGAGCCAAGTTGTTATACTTACCTGGATGGAAAGTCTCGTTTGGAAACACGTGTGAATTTCATCCTCCCACAGTCACTGAATTTATTGAGAGAAGGAATTTCGCGTTTAAGGCAAGCATACAATGAATGGATGAACTCAAATATTCCACTTTTGAAACAAATCCCTCTGAGCAACAAACAATTGAGGATTATTATAACATCTGGTGGAACAGCGGTACCTATTGATACGGTTCGTTACATTAGCAATAGCTCTATGGGAACTACTGGAGCACAAATTGCCAATGAATGTCTCGACAGAGGTCATTTAGTTCATTTTCTACACAGGTAAGCTTTTCATACAGGTTTCACGAAAATCAAGTTTTACGTTGAATATCTTCTTACAATACGCCAATAACAAACATATGTTGTTATATTATGATCTTGGATGTGAAAAATGATGTCAACTCCATAGCAAAGCGTCACGAGTACCAAATGAATTCGATCCAAAGCACAAATCCAATCTTCACAAACATGTCTATTTTACATTTGATGAATATCATGAACAATTGAAAAATCTTGTCACTACCACACAACCAGATGTTGTGATTTTGTCTGCAGCCGTTAGTGATTATGGAGTGGAGAACAAACACAACGACAAAATGAGTTCAGATCTCGAGACTCAAACACTTACATTAGTGAAATTACCAAAAATTATTTCACTGGTTAAAAAGTGGAACCCAAAAGTCTTCTTAGTAGGATTCAAATTATTGACCGGCGTTCAAACAGTGAAAGAGTTAATCAATACAGCATATAGACACGGAATCAAAAATCATTCCAATCTTACCGTTGCCAATTCGACTCTCACAAGTGATTCATCCAATTTTGCCAACCGAATTATTACACTAATCACTCCAGAAAAGAGTGTCATCCCATGCTCTCTCAAGAATCTATCCAGCATTCTTGTTACAAATATTGAAAAACGAGTTTCACACAAGCATTACAAAACCATTGTCCACAAGGAAGGAGATGTAACTTATTTTGATTGTGTAAAAGAAATGCCTCAAACACTCTCAAAAATGTTTGAAAATATGAAAAAAGCGTACACCTTGGGACTATTTGACAAGTATTTTGATGATGAAGGCGAGGAAGATTTAAGTACTTCTAAAAACTGTGTTGACAACTCTAAGCACAGAAATGTTCTCGATGAAGATGAGAACTCATCTGCTCATTTCGGTTTTGTGGCTATGCGTGCTCCAAGACCATATTCAGGATTTTTAATCACTTCTCGAGCTAGTAATAAGCTAAATCCAACATTGAAGGATATTGTCTATGTTTCAAATGCTGATTTTGGAAAACGAGAATTGCATGTTCATTCTCAACAAGGACAAAAATCATCGCTCAATGCAAACGTTGCTGCATGGCTGTTCGAGAATCGAAAAGAAGTGAATCTCATTTTACATGCACATATCTTCCCCAGTTGTGATAACATGACTGATTTTGATTATTCACCTGGAACTCAGGAAGATGTTGACGCGGTGGCAGAAAAGATGACACACGGAGAGAAAATTGTTGAAATTCCACAACATGGAATTATATCGGTATCAGAAAGCGACAATATTGAAGAGGCTATTCATTCTCTTGGAGAGGGACATGCTTATTTTAAATTTGCTCATTTATATGACATGATATATGCACGATTTCAGAGAGTAAGTTTTTTCAAGCTAACATATTAACCAGTTTACCCTACATTCATTCAGTCTACCGACTTGATTGATGTACTCGATCGAGAGTTTCCTGACAATAAGGAACATACAAATATTTGTGACCTTTGTTGTGGAACAGGAGAGGTCACTCGATTGCTCTATGAGAGAGGTTTTCGAACATTCACATTGGCCGATCAAAGCGACAAGATGTTGTCGTATGCCAAGAAAAAATTGAGCACTTGTTACGGAGAGGAATTTTGTCGCAACATACCGACACATGTCACATCCATGCAAGAGCTGAACCTAAAAGGCTCACATTTCGACGTCATTGTTATGAGGCAAGCCATTAATTATGCAATGAATTTAGAGGGCCTTTCCATGGTCTTTGCGTCATGTTATGAGCATCTTAAAAAGGGAGGCAAATTAATTCTCAACACGACCAATTTCCAAGTGGATCAAGCTGAAAAGTTTTCAAAAATGCGTGTTTTAAGATACGACTGTACAGATGGATATGTTGGACTAGTGGGAAAGAGAGATGAAAGAGATAATGACAACACCGTGCAACAATGTACACATTCGAACATTCCATTCAACGTGTACATTAGAGAAGGAAATTTGTTGAATATTGAGAACAACCCAAATTCGAAACATCCACGAAAAGAGACCCGCCTGCTCATTCACGCACAACATTGTGTGATGGAAAGAGTGAGACTCGACCAACATTCCAAAGAGGTACCACTTTACGAAAGACATTGCTTGTTCGATCTCAACAAGTTTGGAATGTTCACACGAAAAGAATTTCATGACGAATTGAAACAAGCGGGCTTTGAACATGTGAAATGTTATGGAAAGGGGCTTGAAGAGATCAACTTGGAAGACAATGCATTGAATAGCTCTAAAGATGAACTCAAATCTCCATCCTTGTACTTTGTGGCTATCAAATAGCATCACTAAACATCAAGACAACGTGTTATGGGATTGTGGAGTCAAGCCAAATTTGAAAAATTTTTTTACAAAACAACAAAAAAATGAAAAAGTTTATTTCTTTGGTGAGAGCCTCTTCTTGTTTCCAGCATCATCATCACCAACTCGGCACGAGTGGTAATGGATTGGCCACTGCTATGAGTACAACTCCTCGAGGAACACTCTCCGTACTCTTTCAACAACAATCACCATCTACAGCCAATAGTAAAATGTTTCATACGAACGTCCTTTCGTTCCAACAACAAGAACAACAACAACAAGTCTCTCTGCACTCCTATCCTTCATCAACCATTCAGGAAATTATGAATAATCTTCCCGACCCATCCACATTGAACATTAAACCCAGAAACAAGAAGACTCCTGTTGAAAGACACAAAACAAGACAAACATGGAGGGATAGACCAAAAATTACATCAAAATTCCTAGACACCCTTCCCACAGTAACATATAGACAAATTAATATTAAACAGGGCCCAAAGAAGGTGAATGAGGTTACCGAAATGTTGCGTGGAATTAGCGCAAAGGAAGCTCTCATTCAATTACAAAGTTGCGAGAAGAAAATTGCTCCTAAATTGTATACCTTCATTCGTAGCTGTATGCTCAACGCAGAAAACGTTCATGGTATGAATGCTGATCGTCTTCTCATCCGAGAATGTATCGTGAATAAGCAACAATACAGAAAACAATTGAGATATCATGCCAAAGGTCGTTACGGTGTCGAGTTGAACAGACGAACAAGTGTTGTGGTCAAGATGGTTGAAGTACCAGAGATTGAAGGCGAACACAGATTGGGTAGATATGGTTGGACAAATAAGACTTGGAGAGAATATGAGCAAGAAATGTTGAGCGAGAAGACGACTGAAACTGTGGACAATGCTGAAATTATTGAGCCAGAGGCAATCATGCAAGAAGAGAGTGCCACCACCAACTCGGCAGAAACTGTGGAAACAGTGGAAGTGAATGAGTCACCAAACTCCTCCTCCGATAAGAGTGCCAAGCAATAATTATGAATTCTTTTCTAAAGATTCCCTTCTTCCATTCATTAAGAAATGATCATTTTGAAAATTAATAACATTTGACGTTTTTATCAAGTTCAGCAATGATGTTTTCCGTCATAATTTTGATCAAACTCAAAAGCCTGACAACAACATTATCGTCAAAGAAAGCACTTTAAAAAAATAGCCTTAATAATATTCTGGGATGGTACGTACATGGTTGTTGTTGTGTTGTGGTTGTAAGGATTGTGAACCATCGGATCGAAATTCAATTTGAAAACAGAATGAGAAATCAGATCCAGCCCATTTTCGGCCACTCGGGTACTCTGAAAGTACCAAGCTCATTTACTCGGGAGAAATCGAGAATGGTTTGATGCATGGCAAAGGAGTTCTTCAATTTCCGAATCATGAGAGGTATGAGGTAGGTCTTTCTTTCTATCAATATTACATTAATATTGAATCAACAACATGGAACGCGATCTGCCTAAAATCCATGCTCTCTCTTTTTTTATTGACATCATGCATTAACATATCGACCGATCAGGGAGATTTTGTTTTTGGTAAGAGAGAAGGACATGGCATCTATTGGTTTTCCAATGGCTCAAAATGCGAAGGGCAATGGCAAAACGATTCCATGAATGGGAGAGGATCCATCTGGTATGCGAATGGCAACATGTACATTGGCGAAATACGAGAGGGTCAAATTAATGGTAAAGGCATTCTTACTTACTCGGATGGTGATAAATATGAGGGTGAATTTGTAAATGGAAGAATGAGTGGATTGGTAAGTCCTGTTACACTTGAATTGACAACGATCATAGTGTTTGGATTTTATGGTTTTCGTACTGAACGATATCATTTCTTTATCGATACTACTAAAGGGCACCTACATGTATGCAGATGGTGACAAGTATGTTGGAGAATGGAAAGATGACTTAAGGCACGGCCGTGGTACCATGATGTTCTATTCCAACAACGAGAAGGGTACTGTGTCGGAAACTTATGAAGGTGAATGGTTCATGGGCAAAATGCAGGGACAAGGAAAATACATCTACAACGACGGAAGTGTTTATAGTGGAGAATGGGTCGACAACAAGATGCATGGCCGAGGAATTTATCATTATGTGAATGGAAGCAAATATGAGGGAGAATGGAAGGAAGATTTGAGGCATGGACATGGTTGTTTCACATACATTGACGGCAGCTCCTATGAGGGATCTTGGAAAAACGACCGAAAAGAAGGAGAAGGAATTCTCACACTGGCCGACGGTTCCCTGTTCAAAGGAATGTGGAGGAATGGTCTCATTGATGGGAGTGGAATCTTTCAACCAGCTCCCAGCTCGGTATGGAATAAATCTGACTTGTAGAATGACGACAATAACAAAACGAGAAGTCGCCAATGAGAGCAGAAAGGATGGATTTGATTGAGAATAGCAAGAGTACATTCATTATAATTATTTTTTAATAGTTGACATAAAGCAAAGTGGCGCAGGGGGAGCGCGGTGGGCTCATAACCCACAGGTCCTAGGATCGAAACCTAGCTTTGCTATAAACTTTTTTCATTGCCTGGCATTTCTTTTTGTTCCCAGGAATGCAACTCTATTTTAAGCTCAAACACAAAATAAATTATTCAAATTAAAAAAAATGTTCTTGATGAGATCCGAATACGACCGTGGAGTTAATACATTTAACCCACAAGGAAGACTTTTCCAGGTCGAGTACGCAATTGAAGCAATCAAGCTCGGTTCTACAGCAGTCGGTATTCAAACACCTGATGGAGTTGTATTGGCTGTTGAAAAACGTTTAACTTCTTCTCTTTTGGATCCATCATCGGTAGAAAAGATTATGGAAATTGATTCACATATTGGATGTGCCATGTCTGGCTTAACAGCTGATGCTCGTACATTGGTGGAACACGCTCGTGTAGAGACTCAACATCATCGTTTTACTTACAATGAACCTATGGGAGTGGAATCGTGTACACAAGCAGTTTGTGATCTTGCTCTTCGTTTTGGTGAAAATGCCGAAGACTCTGATGATGAAGATTCCGGAGGTGCAATGAGTAGACCTTTTGGTGTTGCCTTGCTGATTGCTGGAGTTGACGAAAATGGACCAGCATTGTATCATACCGATCCATCAGGTACTTTTACAAAATATGAAGCTAAGGCGATCGGAGCTGGTTCGGAAGGAGCTCAAACCACACTCCAAGAAGAATATAACAAATCCATGTTCCTCACACAGGCTGAGGATTTGGCCATTTCTATTTTGAAACAAGCAATGGAAGAGAAAATCAATTCTACAAATGTTGAAATTGCAAGTATTACAGTGCAAAATCCAGTCTTTACAGTTTATTCGAAAGAGCAATTGGAACAAATTATCAATAGAGTTGCAAACAAGTAATTGTGAAACGAAAGACTACGACTGTTGGCAAATTTGCCTTTTATTATTATTTTGTAATAATATTGCGATGACATGTGTGGCTGTTTGGCAGAGATGGACCATGATAATAAAATGTATAAAAACTTTCTTAAACCTGTCCTTTTTTTTAAGATCATGCTAATGGAGAAATGTGTCAAAGTGTCGTGGTGATTTGTTTGTGTCAAACAACAAAACTGTTTTTATTGATCTGCCTCTTTGGATACAGGTTGCTGTTGAGGTTGTATGGTGTCAAAATATTCTCGTCGAGTTTTCCAATCTTTCATCAATTCTTGTTTTTGTTTCAAATTCTTAATGACATCATTGGGATCAATAATCACTAAAAATCCAAAATTATAGGGATGTGTTTGACATAATATTGGTGTTGCCAATAACCTTTCATTGACTTCAACTAATTTTCCTTTCAGGTGAGCTTGTATTTGCACAACTTCTTCTTCATACTTCTCTTCATCAATCTTATCCTCCTTTCGTATCCGAATTTGATAATAAATTTTTGCAATAACTGTATGTGGTTGTACTTTAATTTCCGTCTTCTTTTGTTTCTTTTGTGTGGTTGATGATTGAGAACTACCGACAACATCCTTTCCTCCTCCACTTCCAATTGTATCCTCCGCATCTCCCTGATCTTCATTAACATTCAAAACGGCTGGAGGTGTCGGCCGTAGTGGAAATTCCACTCGTTTCACTTCCACGACTTGTTCCGTCCTTGTCCTATCCGTACATAAGAAATGTTTGGGAGAAAGACTCAATACAAATAAACCATTTTTATGTTCTTGAATACACAAGTCTCGGCAACAAAAAGGATGATGATCCGATGGTTTTGAATGATTATCACTTTCCGAGAGGACATAAAAATCATCAATATTTTCATTCACCAGTTTGTGATTCATTTTTTTTTGAATTCCTTAAATGGAAAATAGTTTATTCAATATATTTTCATTCGATCGAATTTGCAAACACTTTTTCGTGCAACAACCTTGTTGTGATCCATAAGAACATTTTTTGGAGTGAAAATGAACTCACAAGATTTCCGAATACAGTTATAAATCATCGTCATCATCTGGTAAGTATCATGATAGTACATGTGCTCGCTCTGCATGATTTCAAGACGTCGTGAGGAATCAATGGTCACTTCTTGAGGTTTTTTGAGCATTGCAGACCAGGTATTGTCAAATGTCAAATCCACACAATTCAACAACTTTTTAGCCAAACTCAATAATGGTTCTACAATGCAGTAATTAACTCTAGCACTCACGTCATGATATTCAATATTCCTTTTTCGATGAAACGTTGCAAATTTTCTTTTAACTTTTCGATCCATCACATCGACCTTATTTCCACACAACACCACAGATGGTACTCTCTCGGGATTTAATGTTAAAACTTTTCTGTACCATTGAGGCACCATTTTGTAAGACAATCGAGAGGTGATGTCAAACATGAGAATGGCACAATGAGCGTGTTGAAAAAACTTGTCACATGGTATGTGAAAATGATCATCCAAGATATCATTGTAGACATCATTGCTCGTATTATTTTCATTCTGATAGTCCCACACTTCAAAGCGAATTTTGCCTTTAGTAGAAGCAAAAGTAATGGGAAAGATAGTTGTATGAATGTCGGACAAATGTCGAAACATTATCTTTGGATCCAAAATGAAACGATTGATAAATGATGTTTTTCCAACCATTGAAGATCCTACAACGATTAATTTAAAAATATGAACTGGTTCTCTCATATGACTTTTAAATTTGGTAAACAATTGATCGGAGAAATGATGTGATTGTCCAGGATTGACAAAGTCCACTAATTCAACAACAGTGACATCAGCGCTCTGGTTAAAATCATCATCAGCACTCTCATTTTCTTCCGTTGAGCTTGAGCGATTCATCTTGATCTAGTTTGTTTGGTGATATTAATGATTCGTGAACACGTGTGTCGTGTGTTCCCTCGAAAATGTCGTTGTTTCATTTTTTTTTGTTTTTTTCGAAAATTTTCTGGAAAATCAAAGTTTCAGATTTGGTAAAAGTGATCTTGTCGAAACAAAATTCACTTCACTTTGGAAACTGTTGTTGAAAGATTTTGCAATGAATGTGTTTCACAGTGTTTCATTGTTTTACATTTGATCATGATCCATGAGAGAATGTATGATACATTCATAAAGCCATTTATCCTCTCTTCTCAATCGTTCCATCATGGAGTGCCACTCTTTCACATTGTAAAGTATTGGTTTTGTGGTGAGTGAAAGTCTCGATCGAATCTTCAATTGTTCTTCAATGAGTTGGTGGTATTTGTTAAGAATGACTTCCTTCCATTCGGTTCCTTGAATCCAACACTCTCTGCTTTGTCGATTTTTGGGTTGAGAAGCATTGGACCATTCAAAAAGGTTGGTGAGAAGGACACTTTTCATGAATTGAAGTACACTCAACATTTCGTCGATTAAAAAGTGACGTTTTCCATTTTGAGTAATTAAAAAATGAACAAAAGCGTAAAAGGAAGATATTTCTGAATATTCTCTCGAGATTGTAAGAATGTAAAAACCTGTCTCTCTATCCATTCCTCCCTCACTCAAATCTCCATCACCATAGAGTACTTGTTTTGAAATCTTTTTCAAACTTTCTCTCCACGACCCATTCTGTTGTTCCAATTCATCTTTTCTCGGAGTAGTTGAATTCTCTTCATGAAAATCTCTTTTCCTCATCGTTGAGAGAGTAAGTGATGATTCTTCTTCTTCTTGTTGATGAAGTGTTTTGCTGTTGGAATCATTTGAAAACTTTACAAAATTCGTGAACATCTTATCATACAAATAGAAGAAATCCAAAGGAAGAAGAAATTTCAAAGGCAATTCCTTTCGTAAAGCAATACATTCCAAGATTGAATCATACCATTTCTCAACCACCAACATGTTTGAATCCTTTTTCTCTTTCTCCCGATCTTCTTTTTTCCTTAAATGTAAGCGATTTAATAGTTTCATCCTTTTCATTTCCTCCACAAAGGCCATTCCGAAATGTCCACTATTGCACTTGTCTTCATCATAGTTCATACTTGAATTCCATCTCGTACAGAAAGAACCAATTCCATTCAACAAGACTCGACGACTCTCTTCCGATGAACGAGAAATAACCAAAGTTTTCTTCAGGATCACTTGTTCCTCTCTCCTCAAACGGGAAATCCTCATGTTCTGAACATGGGCCTTATGAGTAGTACAACAACAACAACAACACAAATTCTCAAGCTCATTCATCTCTCCATTGAAACCCATCTCATAACAATGAATGAAACCATCCCGATTCCATTCCAACATAAATTTTGCAAATTGAATGAATACCTGAAGAGGATAGGGACTTTTGGCATCTTCATCAACTTCATCACCAATGGAGGAAAGAGCAATCCATAGATTGACTCTCAAATAATCTTGTTTGTTTGGTAATGTATGTCGTTTGGAAATGGACATGTTTTGAAAGAATCCACTATTGGTGAGTGTTTGTTGGAGAGTGGTTGATTTCAACTGAGAGGAGGAGGAGGAATTTAGAAGAATCTGTTCCATGCATGAAGGAGAATGATGATTCATCTGCTTCTCAAACATTGCAAAGAGTTTGTGAGAAACAAATTCCAACACTTGATATTGTTTTGCATTGAGAAAATGTGGCTCAATAGTGGAAGAGCACGATTGTTGACATGGATATCTTTCATAATTCTCTTCACATTCGTCATTATCATCTTGATACAAATTGAAATGTCTTGTTTGAGGCAGTAATCGCATGCACACATAGGTGAGAGGCGACATGGATTGCATTCGACGTTTTAACAGGAGAAATAATTTGTTCTGATGGTTGGTACTTTGATGATGGTGGTGATGATGAAAGGAGCTTTCGTGATAAAAGTCGATAAGAATCAACTTCACACTCTCTTCAATTCGATTCCTCAACATTACTCTTTTTTAACAGGTTAAAAAGTGTTACTTCTTGATCTAGATGCATTTGAAGGATGAGAAACGTGATAGAACACGTTTCAAGTGGCTCTTATTTCAAACATTAAGAGAATACCTAATAAAAAAGGTGGTCGATTTCACACCAAAAACGTGATCCGTTGTGTGTGAACAAACCGGCCACACTATTTCACGAATTCAAAATTGTTTCGAATCGCCAAGTACACAATTCAAATGAACCAAAATTCATTCACGAGTATTATGAGGAAATGAATTATTATTATCGACATTGTACTTTGCAAAATATTTCACAAAATCATATATTTCTTAATTTTCTCGATTTTCACACAACCATTTTCACCTGCATTACTCTTCCAATTTCAAATCTGCAACAGCATTTTCAGAAGTGGCAGGTTTTGCCTTCTTTTTCTTGTCACTCTTAGCAGAGCTCTTCTTTGCTTGACTGGTGGCAATTCGACAATTTCCAACCAGACATGCACCAATATCCGTTTCATCCATTGATTTGATACATGCCTCAATCGCTGGAAATGATTTAGCTTCTGCTCTCAAAATTGCAACTGCTTCTTTTCCAATCTTTCCCTTCTTACTGCTACCTGCTGGTACTAGTTTGACTTTGTATGTGTAATTTTTGAGACTTGCATATGGAGCGCATACTGGAATGGCAAACAAAAAAATGTCATCTTCTCGTGGTTGACCTGTTAAACTGTCAATTTCAGTGAGTTTTTCTCGATCTTCTTCATCCATGAAGGGAATATTTTCCTCTTCCAAAACCTTCTTAATTTCAGCTTGCTCTTGTTTCTTTTTGCGATATTCTTCTTCCTTCTTCTTGTTTTGTTGTTTGTCTTCTTCCTTTGGCTTCTCTTTTGGTTTGTTTCCAATGAGTTCCATCATTATCTTTCGTTCTTCTTCGTCTTGATCTGCATATTTGGTCTTAAGCTTTTTCCACTTTCCATGTTTCATTCCTTTTGGCTTGTGAATGGGAAGAGCTGCTGAAGAGGAAGAGGCTGCTGGTGACTTTTCTTGATCGGCGACATTTGCAGATTCATCCGGACTCTCTTCTTCCTTTGAGTCTGATTTCTTTTGCATGTCTTCAGGAATGTTACCAGAAAGAATTGCTTCTCTCGCATCCTTGTCACTCATGCCCTTCTTCTTGAGTCGTTGTAGCAACTTTTTCTCTTTTGCAGAGAGATTTCTCTTTTTTGTCTCAGAGCCATTCTGTTGTTGATTCTCATCGACTGGATTGCTGGCTTGCTCTTCCAGTTCGAGAATTTCCTCAGTGGTAACATTGTCTCTGTGGTGCACTCGATTGTCCTCTTCCTCAGTTGTCTCTGCCTTAGAGGCGCTGGTCGTGGTAGTGGTGGTTGCCGTAGGACCATGCTTTTCAGTAGAAAGTACTTCATTAGCACTGGTGGTGTCTTCCTCAAAAGTACCTCCTGTCGTGGATGACTCTGCATCATCGTAGTAATCATTGGAAAACGCGTCAGAAACCTTGTTTAGATAATCGGATGCTTCAGCAGCACTCATTCTTGGTTTTCTTTCTTGAAGGTGGTTTGGAATACATGATTCATCCACTTTGAACATGACAGCAAATCCCATGACCAGTGGTGATGGTGGCAAAAAGTTCTTCTTTCCACGAATCATAAAGCTTCCCAATGTTAAATATTCACCTGAAGGAGCTGTTTTGGAAACTTGATGATCATAAACCCAGTATGCACTCGACATGACCTTATTGTCCCAAGCCACACTTCTACAAACGCAAAACATGCCGGCTTCTTGAAGACTGAGAGGAGGGACTGGTTCTCCTGTTGGATTCTTAATAATACATGATGATGCACCGTGCACATCAGCATGTACATAAATATCACCCTTTCTCATGTATCGTTTCACAACAAGTTCATTCTGTTGTGCGTCACGTCCACCTAACACAAGATAATTCTCAGAGGTGATGAACCAATAGAATTTCTCAAACCAAAATCTTTTTCTTCGAAGAGTAATTTCAGATTTGACTTGTGTTTTCTTTGCAGATTCGAGAGTTTTTTGTTCTGTTTTTTTGATGACTGTCTTTGAGGCAATAGCGGCTTTTTCCTTATTTTCCATTGACTTTTTACGCAAAGCGTAATATTTGGCAGCGTTCGCATGAGCTGTCATTGAAATGTCAATGTCAATTCGCATAGGTTCTTCCTTCTTCTTTTTAGGAGAGGGAGCTTTTTTCTCGTCGTCACTTTCATCACCGCTCTCGTCTTCTTCACTCTGTTCTTTCTCTTCTTCTTCGTCCTCTTCATAGTCATCTTCTTGGTTGATATACACAGATGGTGGAGGAAGCATTATCGTGATTTGGCTAGACTCTAATTTCAATTTATGAATCATGGAAGCAATAGGATCTACGTCTCGGTGTTCCTTAATAACTTGTTTGATTGTTTCCCATGGTTGTGATTGAGCAAGTGCAGTACAAACGACTTGAATTGCTTGATCAACCATTTCGTAATACTTCTCAATCAAACTTGCAATAGTCTCATACTTATCTATGGAAGCCTGCAATTCTTGTAATTTGAGTTCTTGTTCTTTTTTGACCTTATTCAACTTCTTTTCTACAACGTTCTCAACACTTGATTTTTGTGACTCAATCTTCTTTGCTTCGATGGCTGAGAAAAATTCATCGGCACACTTGTCAAATGATTGAAAGACAATGACTTTGATTTCATCAGGGTTGGTTGGAATTTTTGTACGAACTTGTTCGAAAAGGAATGGTGTAAAGTCATCGTATTGGTCTCTCTTAATAGATAAGCGTTTCTCTTCTTTCAATAATTCTATTTGTTTCAATTGCAATTCGTTGAGTACCACTGGTTCGTTTTGCTCCGTAGAGGAAGACTCATTCTCTCCTTGCTTCTCTGTTGTTGGCTCCTTAGTTGGAGGAGCGAATGGGTTTTCAACAGTGACCTCATCCAGTTGTTTTTGATGTACAATATTTTTGAGAATAATGTAACCCTTTTGCTTTTCGGTCTTAATTCTCATGATAAAATCATCGACTTCCTTAAATGATGCTACCAGCTTATCCAAAATTGGTGTTTCCACGAGTGGTGTGGAATTAAGGACGCTCTCAATTTCTACCAATAGTCGTTTTGTGAGGTCTTGTGAACTATCGAGAAGGTTGAGATTTTGTGGTAAAAAATTTGATGTGAGCAAAACATGGTCTACGAATCCTGTACCATAATCCAAATGATTGACGAGACAATTTTTGACAGTAAGAGTTGGAACTGAAGGAGCTTTTTTCGATGGTTGTTTCTTCTTTTGATCTTGTGGAGGTGTAGTTTCTTCTTGGATTGGTGTTTGTACAGCACTTGTTAATTCTTTTTCGATTGCATTGTGAAATGTTTGAGCTAGACTCGTCTTTGAAATTCCTTCAAATTGCAAACGAGTTGAAACTGGATAAGTCTCTCCCACAGCAAACAAACCAGTCTCTGCTTCCTTGCTGTGTGTACGTAATAAACTAATAATCTTGTATTGATGATCCGTAAGAACAACGTTACCCTTGGCAAAGAATTCGACAATGAGGTGATAGGCTTTTTCTTCAACTCCGAAGGTGAAATCAACAACACGATCGACGCCCAATTGTTCTACATTTTCCAATCTTTTGGTTCTGATGTGCTTTCTCAGCTATTTGTTGAGGGTTCATTGAAGAATATAATTGAGAATTGTGTGGTGAAGATTCGCATTGATGAGATAATTATTGAATTTTCGTTTACATTGTTGAGTTGATCGAAATGCATGGCGTTTCCGAATAAATTGTCAACAATATTCAAATAAATCATCATGTTATTGATGAAAATGATCATGTTCGTATCATTTTGTGAAAATACCATGTTGTTAAAACAGTTGCAATTATCCCTACTAAATATACTTACCTTCAATACAAATGCTGATGGCATTTTCGATTTGTCTCTCTCAAATGCTGTACTATGAATTCTAATTCCGGATTCGATGAGTACCACAATCTTTTCATCGGTTTTGGCAAATTTCAACAAATAGGTCTTCTTATTAATATCATACAGATTGGCCAATCTCATGCCGATAATTTGCTCTCTTAATTCCGCAACAATGGCACGGATGTCCACAACAGACATTCGAGTTTTCATCTTGATACGATTTGGTGGTTGTGGTGAGGATGAAATAATTCGGTTTTGATGATGATACTATGGTTGATGAAATAAAAGGTGTTGTTGACTCTTTGTGAGCGATGATGATGATGGTGAGTTTCAAGTTAAAAATAAAAACAAAGCCTAGGAAATTTGATGAATACAGAAGATGTATAAATAGATGATGTATAGAGATATGAATACTAATGATGATAACTACTATCAAAAATACAAATATATATTCACTTCTTCAACGAGTACTACCACAAGTAATATTTTCCCAAGTTAAGGCACTCTCCGATCGTTGTTGTTGTTGTTGTCTGAAAAGTTGAAACTCGACGAAAGTGATGAGCAATTTTTTTTAGAATTGAAGGTCCAGTTCGTTTGTTCGAGTGTGGTTTTCACTCGTGCATTCATTCCTGACTTTGAGCTTCAATCAGCTCAAGCGCTTGTGCAAAATATTATGTGAGTGCTCTCACGGCTTGTTGTGGGTTGATTGGAGTGATTATGAAAGTGGTTCATCATTTAAGAAGCACTCGAGATATATCGAGAGGGAATTTGGTGAAAGAAAGAGAAAGTTCGAAGGAACAAACTGATGATGGTGACGTGTACAGTTGTAAAACTCTTTGAAATGTCAGTTGGTGAGCTCTCGTGTGAATTATTTGAAATAAATTTATTCCTCCATAAATATTCATGCAAACTTGGGCACTGCATAATCTAACTTTTTCAAAATACATTCGGTTTCTGAGAGCTCATACACTGCTTTCAATCGGTAAGGATCATGCATCTCGTTAATAAGTGCCACTTTAAGAATGAATTGGTGAGATTTGTTGTTGTGTTGTTGTTGTGGCGGCTGAGGCTGTTGTGTTGAGGCTGTCCCTACGACTGGATTCACGTTACGATAGTGACCCAGAGTTAATACAAGTGGGCACCATCGTGCATAGAATGGATATGTCTCATCAATATCTGTGACCATAAAATTCGGAGACGATTGAGGAAATTTCTTGGAAAGAAAGTAGCATGTATTTTGCAATAATGCAAACACTCGAATGTGAAGAGCCTCCGTCACCGAATAAGATGTATTTGTTGCTGCACTCGATGATTTTTGTCCTCCGAATCCCAATAATTGATTTGTATTTGCATTATGCTCGGGCATCATGGCAAAATTAAATTCCTCTCCATCATCATCCTCAACATCCACAATCGACAGATATGGATTTTCCTTTTGATGAGCTACAAAAAATGTTGACAAATTATCTACAAATATAAACCTAGGTAAGCTATCGTCCGGCAATAATTGAATGTTTGCCAAGAAAGCCACTAACAAATTATATGTATCAATATATTTCACTTCAATTCGTTTCAAACATGCGGTAACCTGTGGATCATCTTCATCAAATATCGGAAGTGGCGGAGAAGCATTCCGATGAAGTAAAATCATGACACTACTTGTCGGATCATTTCTTATCAAACTATAGGCATACTGAAACATGAGTGTTGTTCGTCCCGATCCATGAACTCCCAACAATGCAATTCCGAATTGTTGTTGTGGTGGTACAAATTGTGTAGAATGAGCCGGAGCATTTTGAAGTCTCTTATCGAGAATTGGGTTCTCTTCCGTGTCGAGCCTAGATGCAGAGAATAAATGTTGCACACGAAAGCATGAAGACATTTTTTTTAAGGATTGCCCAACATCATTTCCAACAATTTGTGGAATCAAGTTGTGTACACAACATGACATGACAACTTTTGGCACTCATAAAACAAGAAATGAGGGAGACTCACTGGAAGACTTATTTTTAGTTGTGAATTGAACGGAATTTCCTTCACAGTGATCGTGAATGTAATCACGTGAATCTCACAGCGGTTGACTTTTCATTGTAAACTACAACATTTATCGCCCTCGAGAGTGGTGAAAAATTGGTGAAAAATTAAAAAAAATAACTCCAAGCCATTTCCGAAGGCAAAATTTTTTTCGTTGATTTCCTTTCGCGGACGAATATTTTTAGCTTTTTAGCAAAGAATCTTCCCACAAATTTAATATTCAGAACCTCTCTCGAAGATCTTTCTAACAATGCCGTTCACCACCACCACTGAAGGTTTAGCTCCCCTTCCATTTCCTCTTAATTTCCTTTCCACAATACAATCATCGACTCTGACCAATAATAATGAAACTGCCACCAATCACACCGCCTCAGAAAATTCTCTCACACAAGAACAACTCACGACCTTAATGGCCACCAAATTAAGCACTCTCTTTGGTATTCTTATTGGAAGTTTTTTAGTTTCTTTGGTTCCTTTATGTTTTGGTCGAATTCCCTATTTAAGAAAACGCATGAATCATGGTTTGATTAGCATTGTGATTGATCAATGCAATGGTTTTGCAGGAGGTGTTTTATTGAGTGTTGGAATTTTACACTTGATGAATGAAGGTAATGAACTGTTGCATGAAGGACTGAAAGCTTTGGGAGATGAAAAAGCAGCAGAATATCCATTTGCTCCAATGGTCATGTGTATGGGTTTCTTGGTTTTGTATGGATTGGAGTTTGTTTTGCTTGCATTCTTATCGAATTGGTTCAAAACTTCGAAGGATTCTCATGACCATGGACATCATCATCATGACCATGGACACAGTTGTGATTCTCATGTGATAACCATCGAGGAAAAAGCTTTAAAATCTCCTACCAATGAAATGATGATGAATGGCAATAACAATTCACAAGAAATGCTCGAAGAATTACCCACTCTTAACACCAGTGCCAGTCAATTCTTAGAGGAAGAAGGTAAAATAGACTTGTCAATTGCCAACATGAATGGAAGCATGGACACGATGGAAGGAAGTGTCGTTTCATCAACCATACCGTTGGAAAATCAACCTTCTCCACCCTCGATTGTGGACATTGAAAATCAAGCAAAGACCACCTGCGAACCAACTGTTTGTGCTCAACATCATGCTCATCATGATCATGGTCACAACAGTGGAGATCACACTGCATGTGCACACCATGAAGCGACTCAAATGCTTTTCGAAACCAATCACAAACATGGAATTCCACTTGTATTGACTGCTATTGTGCTGTGGTTGGCCCTTTCGACCCATTCGATTTTCATTGGACTTGGATTTGGAGCTGAGAACGATATTGGAAATATGTGGAGTATATTTGCTGCCATTATTGCTCACCAATTTATTGAGGCATTTTCATTGGGATCAATTGTGGAGAAGGGATGTCGAAGTTTGTGGATGGCCATTTCATTGTTGTTTTTGTACTCAATTTCTGTACCAGTGGGTATTGCGATTGGTTTGGGTATTGTTTCAGCTGCTCAATCCAACGCTCTTGAGAATGAAAGCTGGAAAGTGACACAAGGAATACTCATGTCTATTGCATCGGGTGCGTTTGTCTATGTGTCCTTGATGGAAATTGCAATCCATCAGCCCAAGAACAAGTATTTGAAATTGTCTCGATTTTGTTTAATGTTGCTTGGCTTTGCTGCCATGGCAGTCTTGGCTGTTTGGGCTTAATTGAGTCCCACGTAAAATAGAAATTATTTATTGAGAAAGGTGAACATGGGCAAAGAGCCCACTCTCCTCGTGACGCGTGTTATTGAGAACCTACAAATAAATTATCATCATATTCATAATTTCAATAGTAATAATAATATATATTAATCAAGTTGACACAACAATGCACATCCTCGCTTAATCCAATACTTTTCATTGGTGTCATCATTCATTGGCAACTTGATACTCATCACAAAGTTTGTAGAGTGACCTGTGGTGGAGAGAACACCTCTTCTTTCACTTGTCTTGTACAATGGACAAACATAATGAGACGAGTTGACATTAGTTCCACCCTCTGCTTGATTTTCACTTGCAACAACATTCACAGGTTTGAACCAAATGAGTGGCATTTCATCAAAGAGTTGTTTAGGTCTTGGATCTGTGAGAGTTCCCTTTTGCATGTCCCAAGCTGCCCCTTCCAAATACATTCCATACACATAACATCCTGATTCTGGCTCTGGTAATTCATGAGCAGTATTAGGATCATAATACTTATTTAAAACTTCAAATTCAAATTCAATCTGATCAATAGCAATCTTGTGTTTTCTTGCATAATTTTGTTTGATACCTGTCAAGAACGATTGAGTAAAGAAGAAACCACTCAACCAATACACATTTGGTTTTCCATGATCGAACCAATGTCTGAAAAATTCAATTCTCTTCAAAAGATCTTGAATATAGGTACGAAGAGGTTTTCGAGATGGATAACTGACTTTTGCCCATAATTTTGGTAATTTACCATTCGAAAGTGAAAAACTGAGTTGTTCCAAGTCACTACTCATCACCACAAGACCCTTCAAAGCCAATTGCAACTGTTTGAGTGAATGTCGAATCACATTCAACAATCTGTTAAATCGAATCAATTCTTGCACAAAGACAGTATTCATACTTTCATGATAATCAACCTTAAACTTGTTTTCAGCTCCTGATTCACCTTCAATTTGGAAATTTTCTGGCAACTTTGAAAGAATGTCTCCAGCCAATTCGTACAAAACGTCAGCTTCATGTGTGGTTTCTTTTCCATCTTCTTCATTATCTTCGGAGACATTATTTTGTTGAGTGGAAAGAAGAGCATCAAACATATTCATGGCTTCTGTTTGATCCTTACTAATTGTGGCATTGTCATGCAGGCCAAACACTTCTGGATTTTCCCATGATGGCAACTTTTCAAGGAATTGAATGTATTCGTTATGCTTTTTATCTCCACTTGGAACAGTATAAATTCCTGATGGTGACAATTTGTAGCCGTCTTCCAAAATTTCTTCATTGTAAAAATCGGAGAGAATGGCCATCAAGGTTCTTCTATCGTGATCATCTGTGACTCTACCTCCATAGTTGCATTCACCAGTGAGATAGGTGAGAGCTTTGAATGGAATATTTGCATCTTTGCTATTCAAAAACATTTGTAGCTGTCTCAATGAAATATTCAAATCAGAATCATTGAATTCGTAGCTAATGTTCCATCCCAAAGGACCAAATTTTCTTCGTTCTTGAACTAAGGCATGGAAGAAAGTCAAACCGAATAAGAGCTTTTTGAATTCTCTACTCTTCCTGGAAGTAGTAAAGAATTTAGCATCGGTAATAGGATCGGCATTCCATGATTGCAACAAATTGGCTTTCAAACCTCTTGGAGGTTCGTTAGTAATTTTTACACCTCGTTGTAGAATGGTCACAGGGAATTTCTCACTTGGCATACTTGTCAACCATAATCTAAAGGTGGTCGCAATCTTATTTTCATTTCTTGCCAAGTCATCAATGATCTTTTCAAGTTTTGGCATCCATGAAAGAAGAACGTGACAATTCTGCAATACCACCCAGTTGCCCTGAATAGTTCCTTGATTGATCATCTCAGTTGCAAAATCTTCTTGACCTTGTCCAAGAGATAAACTCTTAAGGGTAACATTTTCTTGATCTGCAAATTTGCGAAGTTGTTCCATTGGGTCAACACCAGGAGAAAGAATGAATACGAGTGGCTTGGTAGGAGATGAGTCTTGATAGGAAACTCTTAAATTAAATTGAACTGGTTCAATATAGCGCTTATCCATGTTCTTTTCAACAAACGATTCGACTGCTGGATTGAGCTTGTCAGGTCTCAAAATTCTTAACACCATCATTTTCTGGAATTGACTCAATTTGTCCCATCGATCAGGATATGGCTCTTCTTGTGGCTTTTGAGAGTCATAAATCTTCTTCCATTTAGGTAAATGATCAAAGAACTCTTTCTTAAAGTGTTGGAAGGTTGGAGACATGCCGTCAATTTGACACAATTCATTGTACATGTTTTGAGTAATCCAATCAGGAAGTTTCTTGTTTTCGTCTTCCTCATGATTGACAACAGAACTGGTACCAGTGAGGAGGAATTTTAGCTCTTCACTATCGATATGGCCCTTCTTTTTCATTAACTGAATGCACAACAACAATGAGAACAACAGCTTATCCTTTTGGAATAAGGATCTGCAGACCTTGGTATACATTTGATAGGTAAAGTAATCCTTGAGTTGTTCAATCTTTTGTGTGATGGATCTATTCTCTTCATGTGGAAGTTCATTAATGCATTGCGTAAAGAGCTCTTGATACCAACTCAAGCTATATTGGTACATTGGATCAATGTTGGGAAGTTCACTTATTGCAAAGAATAACGTGCTACCATTTTCTGCTACAGGTCTGTAAAGGTTTCTCTTGGTATCAATGTCCTTTTCTGTCTTTTTGGTTTCAATTTGCTTTTGTTCAATTTTTCTTGATGTTTGCTTTGAAGAAGAAAGAGCGTTAATGACAGTGTCATCGTCGAGCATTTTCTCTTTTGTTGTTTCGACGAGTAATTGCAAAATCTTATCTTGATAATGTTTCAACTGTTCTTGATATTTGGCATTTTGAATCGCCAAGTTATTCTTTTCAGTTTCGAGCTTCTTTTCTTCAATTCTGACAACTATAGCAAGTAATTGTTCTTCCAGACCATATGGAGTGATCATAAAGTTAATAATTTGCACCTTGGTAGACACTTCTGGGAGGTAGTGAGGATTAGAAAGACTTGTGACCAAATACAATTTGAACGAATCGTTATAAATTGTAGGTGTATCACTCAAGTTAATATACTTGACACCTCCAATGTAATAGGTTCTAAGTGTCAACAGAGGTTCAAGAGCTGGGTCTAATTCTTCACCCACACCTTCAATAATAGTGGTTGTGCCTTGAGTAATGGCCTTTTCTAAACTCTTAATAAGGGAAGGATTTGTCATTTGGATGATGAGAAGAGAGTCTGCGTCCTTCTTTTGTTGCTTTTCCTTTTCCTTAATCCAGTTCATAGCTTGGCCTTGAGGATCAATAAACAGTGGCCATCTCCCAGTTGTTCTCTTCACAATGGTTGCGTTCTCAACAGAGAAGTCATCCGAAGGAAGGCCTTCCTTGATAATCCAATTTCTAACTTCCATTGGTTCTGACAACGTTGAAGGTAATGAAAAGTTTTCAGAAAACTTGATACCAAATTGTGATAACTTTTGAGTCCATTTCTTAATAATTTTCTTTCTATATTCAGATGTGAAAGCTCCAAGATAAGAAAGAATTCCTGAAGCTAATAAAACGTCACCGTTAGTACATGTTTGTTGTTCAATAATGTGCGCCAACGTTTCTTCCCATCTGATTTTCTCTCCTTCTAACAATCCAATCAACTTGGTAGCTCTTTCTAACTTTATGCTTACTGTTTGATATTCTGTTTCTAATTCATTTTTCTTTGCTTCACATTCTTTTCTTTCAACTTCTTTCTGAGCGATCATTTCTTGAATTTCAGCAAGCTCTCGTTTCTTTTCTTGTAGATATCTTGCAGCCTCAGCACATTTTTCCTCTGCTTCGGCAAGAGCTTTTCTTTTTGGCTCAACAACACTGTTCACCTTATAGTACTTGACGAGAGCATTCAAGAATTCGTTCAAAGCAAACGCAGCAGCGCTTGATCTTTTGATTTTCTCAACATCCATTTCCGCTAAAATTGGTGATAAAGTTTGTACAACTTCCGCCGTAAGAGAATTCACATCAAAGTTCTTGATATAGTTTAAGAAACCCTTTTTGGCCATCATTTCTTTCGAAGCACCCCACCAATCTTTTGTCTTGTTGCCAAGTCCATCATCAATCGTTTTGACTTTTTCTCCTCTCATGATGCAGATGGCTTTCAGCACAGTTTTTACACCTTCTGGTGGAGCCTGCATACCTCTCACTTCTGCAATTTGTTGTGTGGTAATTTCCTTTACCTTTTGCTGAGCTTCAATCCAAATTGGTTCAGCTTGAGCGAGTTCCTGTTGACAGTACATTTTATCTTCTTCATTCTTTGCCACTTGTTTGTTGATTTCTTCCTGTTCAATTTCAATCTTCTTGGCTTTCTCGTTAGCATTAATAGACTCAATCTCAATTTTCTTTGACAGTTCTTCGTTTTGTTTGGATAATTCTACGAGATTTGGTTGTAAAATTTCCAATTCTTTTTGCATTTGGTTGACATCCTTATCCGTTTCTGCAATTCTTTGAAGACCAAGCTCGAACTTTCCTCTAAGAGTATGCAACTCTCTTCGCTTTTCTTTGACCAACTCTGAAAAGTTTCTCAATAATTCCAAATATGTGGTTGGCGTTACATAGTTATGTCTCTTCATCTTCTCGAAAAAGGTTTTGGAAAGTTCAATTGCAGACGTATGGAAATAGGCACACAAGTCAATGTACTTCTCGACGTCCTTCTCGAATACCTCGTCTTTTGGAATTGAAATTCCTTTTTCTGTATCCTCTTCACTAGTTTCGCCAATGCTTCTTATGAACTTTTCCGCCACAGCGTGTAAAGCTTGATCTGGCCAAGTGCTGAACCAATCAATGTTACAACAATTGACAAGTGAAGGGAACATTCTTAGATAATTTCTTAAGCTATCTCCAACAGGACTCATACACAGTACAATGTGCAAACATTCCTTGCATCTGTCAACAAAATAATTGTAGAGTTCTTCAGGAGTTTGACCTCTGCCCTCATTTCTTGCATGAACTCTCAAACTCTCGCAAATATCTTTGTACTCGTCCTTGTCAAACAAGTTAGGAATTTCGCCAGTGTTCAAAATGCTGCTAATATCTTCCAAAAATTCTTGATGTTTGATTTGATTATCATTAAATAAGAAAACTGTCTGGTTTTTCTTAACACCCACACTGAGCAGTAATTCTTTCATTTTGTCTTTCCAGTCAGAGACTCCAAAAGATCTAGTTAATTGTATACTGAATAGAGTATAATCAGCTGCAAAAGCTGCAAGCTTTGTTAAGCTTTGACGACCGCTACCACCTACACCAATCAACAGAGCATTGCCTCCAGGTTGAGTAATGATTCTAACTACTCTAGCAATGTGTTCGATGGCAAAATTAAACAAAACGAGGTCCATCTTGCTGTGAATTTCATTGTATGCTTCTAATTTTGATGTTAAAATTGCATGCAGTTTGCTAATGTCGGTAACATTGGGATCTGTTGATTTGTTGAGAGTTACTTCCTTAAACTTTTCACAAGTTTCATCTGTTAATGAGGTGTATAGGGTACTTCTATAGTCAAATGTAGTTTCTTCCATAATGTATTTAATCTCTCCAACTTGTAACTCCTTATCAAGAATTTGGAAGAAAGCTTCTCTGTCCTGGTCATTAACGAGACGGTCATGGAAAACTCTGATGGCTTCGTGCGCCCAAATCTTCACAAGCGAAACCTTATCCAGTTGTGTTCCATCCAGCTTTGTTCCAACACCAACAATTCCTTGGAAAACTTTTGACAAATCTCTCAAGTTGAATGTATAGTGAGACTTCTCTGGAGTTGGTCTGAATTGTTCAATGACGTTGTTGTACAAACTGATGGAGCCAAGAACAATTTGTCTTGCAAGGATCTTACTGATCACAGAAATATTGTTTGAAGCAATAAACCAGTCCATGACCTCTGAGAAGATGGTTGTTAATGTTTGATTATCAAAAGAGGTCAACCCAATAACGTTGAAATGTCTCAAAAATCGTGAAGTCACTTCATTTCTACCACCTCCTGTTGGACCCATAGCACATACGAATAAGACATCAACCACGTGCGTGAATGCTGCTGTTTTGCTCGATTTTTCATACCAACCACCTTGATCTTGCCATTGTCTTAAAAGTTCGATTGTTGGTTGAGCTCCATATTCGTCGAGAGTGGGCAAGTTCAAATCATCGACAAATATGACCATCTTTTTACCAATGGGAGGACCAATATATCCTTGCTTTCTTCTACCAAGTTTTGATTCGACAATATCTTGAGTGAGTCCTGGAGTAGTTGTGGCGCTAAAGTTAATGAAAGCAGGAAGAAAGTTGGACTTTTGATCTTCAGGATAATAGTTGTCAATATTGAGCAAGAACTGCTTAATATAAGCGCTCTTTCCTGTTCCTGTAGGACCAACAAAGAGAGGTTGCTTTCCATGGTCAAGCAACGTTTTAAGCATGAACTGAAATCTGATTGTATCCATTGTGGGAACAATGATATTTCTGAATTCTTCAGTTGGTTTGATGCTAGTCTTGGGAGCATAATCAGAGGCTGTCCATTCAATCCATTTTCTGGTCTTTTTATCGAATACGAAATCGAAAATAATAGTATTTGGTTTCTCAGGAATGGGAAGTTGGAATTTGTATGCCTTGGTTCTTGATTTTTCTTCAACAACATTTCTAAAGTGTTGATCAAATTTCACTCGATCATCACATACAATACCAACAGACCAAACTAGGGCAAATTGGAACAAACACTCCAAAATGAATATCTTATCCTTATTGTTGATTGAAGCAATTTGTTTTGGATCGGCAAATTCATCCATCAAGCTTTGCATGATATTAATAAGTGAAACTTCGAGCATTGAGTCGCTTCGTACTCGAATGTAGGCAGATGAGCTGTGATACATCTTGAACATTTTCATGATGGATGGAATAAATGTTGAGAAGAGAGTACGCAAACACTCCTCAACTTCATTGAAGTCTTTCGATTCTCTCAAAGGAGCAGGGAATTCTGAACTGGTGAGCCAACTTTGTAAAAAAGGTTCCCAAGATCCAATTTTTTCAGCTTCCATGTAAACCATACCACATCTGGAAACGGTAGCAGGAGAGGCAGCAGCCAAATCTTGCACCTCAAACATCATGTTCATATTTTCTCCCATCTTAATAATTTGTCCAGAAGTTAAACACAATTTCTTATTGTCGTCCAATACTGTGTTCATGGATTCAATCCAAATAGCGTCGACTGGACCATCACACATGAGCCATTTTCTGTCATTTTCGGGTAGTGAACTCAAATCTTCAAATTGAATAGCCAACACACCATGCTTCCAATCTTTAGTTTTGACATCTCTGTAACCATACAATTGGCCAAGAGTGACGGCTTTTGGTGACAATACCTTTACGTGAATCTTTTCTCCCATCTTTTCAAGTGCTGCCTTCAGTACAAGATATGCCTTTGTCTTACCAGAGAGTGGAACACCCACCAACATTAAACCGTGTCTCACAATGATCATTTCGTACAATTGAATAATTTTCTCAATGAAATAAGGAACAGGTTGTAGATTCATTTCTGCGCATGTGAGTTTGATATTCTTTTCCAATTCAGAATAGTCGACCTTTTGGTGTTGAATAGATGGGAACAAGTCAGTAATGATACCATTGAAAAGAGGAATATCTGCAGAAACGAACTTTGGAAGGTTCACGTCATTTAGAGCTCTCAACATGAGTTGTTCCTCGTTAATATTAGGGTACTGTCGCTTGAGAGAACCTGCTCGAACAAGTACAGCTTTAACAGCTCTCATACCATAGTCATAGTGATCTTGTGATGAAAGTAACTCACTGCAAAGTTTGTAAGTAGTGACAATCTTTTTTGCAAGTTTACGGCCGTCCAAGAAGCCATAAGAAAACAATGAAATTTCAGCAATTAAGGCATAGTCAGGAACCATCATTGCTACAGGACGGAATAATGCTTTCAAATTGTCAGGTAGTTCAGATCTACCGGCATAACCAGGATTCATTGTGATGAAAATTGCACACGTAGGATTCATAGTAATTTCCATGTTCTCAAAGAAAAATCTTGTAGCTCTACTTGCAACAGCAATTTGAATGGTTTGAATTTGTTGAGCAACCACAGAAAGTACAGATAATTCAATTCTGTTGAACTCGTCAAAACATGACCAAGCGCCGCTGGATGCAAGGCCTCTGAAAAATTGAGCCATTGATTCATAGGTCAAAGTATCTGAACAGTTGTATACAATACAGTGTTTGGCGATGGCCTTCGCAAGGTCTTTGGTGGTTTCTGTTTTACCAGTACCTGCAGGACCTTCTGGGGCACCTCCTTTGTACAATTGAAGAGCACCAGTCAAAGTTCTATAACATCTATCTGTGAGGGGAGTAATGACAAGTCTTCCCTGATTACCCAAGTATTCATAGCCGTAATTTAGTACGGATGTAATTTGTCTGACAATAACTTGAAATTGATTTTTACCATTAATGTCTTTGGTATCTTCCCAATAGTATCGCAATTGACTTTGCCATTCAAAGTCAGAAATGTCACTCACTTCCTCCTTAACAAGTCCAGCAACAACGTCTCTTGCGTGAACATCAATCACAACCATTGCACCCAATGTGATACTTTGTAAAAGAGACAAATTCTCACCTCTCACCAATTCGATAAGGGCTTTTTGTTGTTTTGTCATTTTAGAGTAGTATCTCTGAACTCCCTTGACACCTTGTACATTAATAGATTCTTCAACTTCCTTTGTCCAAAATAATTGACTGACAGTTAACACAACTTGACCAGGCCAATTTAAAATCCATTGTCCTCTCTTATCAATATTACCCGCGATGGCACTGTATGCATTGATGGATTGTTCAATGACATGCCTGAGAGCTACCTTCATTTCGCTCTCAATTTCCAAAAGCCATAGTTCAACTCTACCATTCTTTTCGGCTGGTATTACTGGTTTAGTAAAGGCAATTCTTTCGCCTTGTTTACTCAACATGGCAACAATTTTTCCTTCCTTATCAAATTCAAGCTTGTCAATTCCTTCAAAACATTTCTTCAAGTGAGGTTGTACTCTGAGTGGATCCTTTGTCTCTGAGAGAATTTCAAGAAGTTCGTCATCAGAAAGGAAATAAAATCTTGGAAATGCTCTTCTCTTGGTTTCCAAATATTGCTTTAAGCCATAGTGAATTTGATCCAGTCTCTTGTTAGCTGTCTGGAAGTTATCGATCATATTTTCATCAGAAATAACTTGTGCAACAACCTTTGTTTTGTATGCATTGTCCATGACGTTCTTCCACATCTTATCTACCATGGAGAATTTCGTGGCTTCATCAGGAAGTTGGGCTGAAATGTCATGAGAACTGAAAATTGGTTCCAAGTACAAGTAAGCCACTTGACATTTGATCCATTCAACCATAATATCTTGTCTTTCAATGAGCTTGTTTTCCCATGCCATCACTTCAGCCTCCAGTTCTTTCACATAAGGCGAGGCACGCATACTTTGAGTAATGGCAATTTGTTCGTCCAAGAGTACTTGAAGTTCGTCTAATTCGACAAGTTTGTAAGTGGTTCCATACTTTTCCAAATGGAAATTGACATTTCTCCAAGCAGCATACATTTTTTCAAGATTACGAGAAATGACTGCTTCCTTACTTGCGATATCAGATATCTCAATAATTCGTTCCAAAATATTTCTTTCCTCAAAACCTAGTTTTGTAAAATCGCCCAAGTTCATAATGTTGATACTTTCAATATCGAGAGGAGCGGACGATTTACCAAATTCCACCGGTAATTTAGCAATCTTTTGCCAATGTCTCTGCCTGAGGCCATCGTTTCTTAAAGCTTTGATTAGTGGCATGTGTTTTTTGAATTCAGACACCTCCTTTTTAACTTGTTTGGTGATTTCCTTGGCAGTTTCATCCTTTGGTAGTAAGGTCTTTTCCAAGTTTCTTAAATTAGTCGTCCACATGTTCAAACATTCTTCAATATAATTGGCATCCAAATGCATAAATGTTCCTTCGTTCCATTTGGGGAAATTTTGTGCTTTTTCAAAAGCAACTGTCCAAAGATCAAAGTAAGGTTTAAATAGCTTTTCAATGTCTTTGAGTTTGGTAAACTCGGTCGTGTTCATGTTAAACATTCGTTCACGATTGTTATAGAGATCAGCATTCTTCTTGGCCTCTTCAATTTTTGCTTCCATGTGCTTTATCTTTTCATGATATTCATCTGTCTTCTCCAAGTCATTGAATGAGGCAAAAGTCTCAATTTCTTTTTCATAAATATCAAAGTTGTGAATCAAAGTATTGATATCTCTTTGAAGTTCATCCATGAACTTTCTCTTATCCTCCTCTAATCTGATCGTGCTATCCTCAAGTAGACTGTAGACTTTCTTTGGCCAAGAATGAGTGTCAACATAGGATGAAAAGTCTTCACTTTCAAGGTTAAACGTAAAATCTGATAAGAGTGAAAAACTAGACTTTACAGTGGCAAATTGGCTCTGAAGACGTTCAATTTCTTTTGTACATTCAAGAAGATACTTTTTGAGTTCGTCCAACTCTTCTGCTGTTTGTGGTATCATTTGAACCTTTTCATATACAGCCTTAAAAGAAAGGGATATTCTATGACTTTCTTCAGTTCCCCATTTTGAAATCAATTTCATCAACTCTTTTGCTGCTCCATCGGTTCTATTAAAGAGTGCTTCCTTAATTTCTGTACAGTCAATTCGTAACATATTAAAATTAACATAATCTGTTGAAATATCGTACACTTCTTGAGAAGCTTGTTTGAGTCTGTTCAACTCATCTCTAAATTGAGCTAACAATGTTGGAATATCCATCTTCCCAAACCTCTCATTGAAAAAATCTTGAGCAAACACCATAGGATCAAGTTTCAAACAATACTCATAATTCTTGTAGAGGTTGATCAATAGTTCTGGTTCAGTAAAGTTTGAAAGAATTACTTCCTCAATGCCCTTCCATAGATTCTGAGTTTGCTCTTCAGACTTCAATTGCAAGTTATTGATAGAATATTGCTCAGGGCTGAGAGTGAGAAGTGGAAAAAGGTTTTCGCCAATACCGTTGACAAAATTAGTCTCCTCTAACACATCAAAGAATACTTGTCGTACTCCTTCTAAAATCTGTTCTAAGGATGGACTAAATACAATACTGTAATCACCATTGCATTCTTGCTCAATTATCTTGATGGTGAAGAGAGGCTCAAAACCTGTTACTTCATTCGCATCAAAATGTTTGTATTCTCTTGCATGGTATGGATTCACGAAATCATGTAATTTTTTTAGCTCATCAAAAGCATAATCCCTCAGTTGCACAGAGAGCAGAATGTTTGTCAATCTTAAAAATTTTTTCATACGGGATGATTCGAATCGTTCCATGTCATCCTCAAAGAAATGGAAAAAGCCATCCAAATCATTCTGTACAATGGATGTTACTTTTTGACACCAATCCTCTCGGATTCTTTTCATCGAATTAGAGAGTGTTTCACTTTGTATGTTCAAAAAAGCTGTTAAATCAATTGGTGTTTCAAATTTTTCAGTCATGACCAAATCCATTGATTTTCCATCCTCCTGTAAGCTACTAATCAATAAATAGAGTTGTGAGTGAATGTTGTGAAGAGCCTGAATTAGATCTGGGTTTGTGTAAAATATATTTTGCTCAATTGTTGTATGGAGTTCATTGTAGTTATACTTTGGAACCTCAACAACACCTAGATACGGAGCATTGGCGTTATTCTTCTTGAGTTCATCCTTGCACCACAAATATTTCTGATATTTTTCATATTCTTCCTTACTGTTGAGGTAATATAAAAAAATGCCTTCCTTGATTGCGGACTTGTAATGATCTTTTGCTTCGTTAACATAGTTCTCAATCACAGGGACATGCCTTGTCGGAAATTGTGATTCATTGGCGACCAATTTAAGCACTTTTTCATAGATTTGTTTTTCAAAAGGTGAAATGTCTACTAAATCGTCACTAATGGCCTTATCAATTTGCAAATAGTAGTACATCCGCTCTTCAAACTTTTTTCGTCTCATTTGAGCACATCTAACCCGAAGTTCAAAAACATCATCCGATTCGACGAAGAGATTGAGTCGGGTGACCCACTTGCGCTTATTCCCTTCACTATTTACATTATTTGCTGGGTCTTCATCAGAAGAATTTTCAGAAATCCATTCAATGAGGAACTTATTATCTTGTTCGTTATATGCAACTATTCTACAAGGTGCCCACTGAGAGATCACCACCATATGAGAAAGAGGACAAAGACATTCAAATTTGTCGTGGAATAGATGATTGAGTTACGGTGTGGCTTGTCAATCAAATCAAACAACTTACTCGATAGGCCTCTTCTTTGGATCCTGTGTAATATTTGGAATACGTGACATGCTTATTTGACAGTAACTCTTCGTTTGAAAATCTTTCGAATGTATCAAAATCGTCAAATACCTCAAGAGGCAAGAATTTGCTTTTGCTCTCGATTGGTTGTCTGAAGTATTTCGTCATTTCAAAAAATTTCATCATCAAAATTATTCCCAACAACAACGTTACCAAACAATGAGTACTCACCCGCTCACAATGATATCTTTTTCTTCATCCGAAAACTCTTTCAATACTAGTAATAACCTAGGATAATTTTTTCGAGTGTCATCGTGGGATGGCACTTCATCGTCCTCCATTTGTATTGGTTTCAATGCTCCGATTCTAGCACTTGCGCTCAACATTGTCAACTCTGATAACTTGTTTACATGTACAGAGTGCTTTGCTTGCTTTGGTGGTCTCTCGGCCTCGAGAACATTCTTCCTTGATGATTTTTCCTGATGACTAGAGGCTCTCTTGTTGTTGATGGTTGTTGTGCTTGTTTCTCTGTGCAGCCAAAAAAACAAATCCGATCAAATATTGGTCATGGCATTTTGTTGTTGTGTTCAACATACCTCTTCTTTGTGCTTGTATTTCGTGAAGGATCGAGATGATTGAATTGCTGAAGCTCTTTAGGTATTTTCAATTTCTTTGGTTGTATTGCTGATTTTAGTTTGACATTGTATGTGTTTTTGGGTTTGTACTGTTTGTTTTAAATAGCAAATGATCACCATTAATTCCAACATTAATGGGTGGTACCTCACCTACCTCCAATCGGTCCAATCCTAATGATTCGGGAGCACTCGCAGAATGATACTTTCTGAATCGTTCCAGAGTCTCTGTAAAGGGATTGGAACTTCCAGTAGCAGACGAAGCAGCTGGTGGCTGTTGTTGTTTTTCAGACATTTTTTATTTTTGAAAATGTAGATTTTTTTGGCGGGTCTTTTTCTTCTCCAAAATAACGTTGAACAATTATTCGAAACTTTAAGGAATTTCATAAAAACCACTTGCACTTCCTATTGAATGATGTAAAGTGAACTCTTCCCTATTGAAAGAGATGCAGTCACTTGCCAAACTTTTTATTCAGAGCGAAGCTTCAACACAACTCCAAAGAGGCGAAGCTTGAAAAAAAATGAAAAGAAAACGCTCCTCTCGTTCCACGTCGAGTGTTCATTGCAAAAGCTCACCAACCACAAGCATGCTTGTGGACGAATCATTGCCCACTACCGATCTACACGAAAAAACCACATCATCATCCTCTTCAAAAAAGAAAACCAACAACAATAACAAGAACATTCAACAAAGTAAAAGTCTTTTCAACTTTTCTCAAGCTCCCGGATGGAATGAAGAAGAAAATAGAATCCTCCGATTGGGCATTATGAAATTCGGAGTTGGAAGTTGGAGTACCATTCACCGATCGGGAATTTTACCTGGCAAGAATTTTGCACAACTTTACATTCAAACACAGCGCATGTTGGGCGTTCAGAGTTTGGCTCCGTTCAATGGCATTCGGCTCGATACGGATGTGGTTCGGAGAGATTTTGAAAAACTTGCTGAAGAAATTAGTAAGAAATCAAATGCATCATCATCTTCCGAGTCATTGAAAAAGAGTAAAAAAGAAAGTCAACAAAAAAAGCAAGCAGTAGCGTCTGCTACTACGAGTTATTCTGTGGAAGGAATGGATATTAAGAATGGATTGATTGTGAATGTCCATGGAGCGAATCCAACCAAGGATTCCATAAAAAAGAAGAGAGAACAAAATATTGAACAGTATGAACTGAGTGAGGAACAAGTGGCAGAGATGGTGGATGAGGAGGAAATGTATGCTCTCAAGAGGAGAACTCGTCTCGAATTTACACAAAATTTGAAGAAATATTTGGAGCAAACGGGACAAGTGAAGTTCAATGCTGATGGTCAAGTAAATTCACTGACCTCATGCACGAGTGAGGACGAAGAAGAAGAAGAAGAGAAGAATGATGACAAGGACCAGAGTATGACGTCTAATTACTACGGTAAATTCACTAATCTGGAAACAGTTAATAAGGAAATCGCTAAATGCAAAAATGAACTCAATGACCTCATGAATCAATACTTAAAATCCGCATGCCAATAGATGGACACTATGTCTTGAATTGTCCGCATTGTATTTGCAATTTGTGGTGAGCAACTAGTATTTTGATGAATTCTAGAATTGTTTTCTGCATTGCATCAACAACGGGTCAATATTTGGAGCAAATAGAGTGTGAATGAGAGAATTCTCACTATTCATGATCACGCACTTAAGAGACATCGTGCAATAATCGACCTGATTCTGTGGAGTAATGGTGAGCTCAAGCTTGATGCACATCGATCGATCGAGAACTCGTAATTTTATTTTCAAAAGCATACAAAATTTGGGCGTCTCTAATCCAATTTCTTCCATAGCATGGATCGATAATTTGGACTTGACATGTTCTTAAATTGAAATCCAATGAAGAATATGACATAATATTCATCCCAACAGAACTTGTCTCTCATTTTTGACAGATTTTGATTCAGAATTTATTTTGTAATGTATGATTTTCATGCATCTTAATGTTTTTTGGATGGAGTTTTTCTATTTTTCAACTTGCCCAATAATTTTTGAGCAGCCAAAACAGCCTCTACGGTAATCTTGAATTTACGTCTTGCATTGAACTTCCTCAATTCGTCAATAATTTCTGGTCTGTGATTTTTGTTGGTAGACAATTTCTTAATCCATGGATGGCTCAACGTTTGATCGGGAGTGAATCTCTTCTTTGGATTTACAACAAGCAAGTGTCGAATCAAATCCTTAGCACTGTCACTGACCTTATCCCAGTAAGGAGATGGGAAATCATAGTCACCATTAATAATTTGCTCGAACAATTCTGGTGTGTTCTCGCTGTAGAATGGAGGAAATCCACACAATCTATGATTATTTTTGAAATATTCGGCCGATACCGTTCATACAAAAGGGTATTGTGATATGAACACTCAATCTTGCATTCATATTTTCTACTTACAAAATGTACAGAATCACACCAATAGACCACATATCCACTGATGCGTCATAACCAGTATTTTGGAGAACTTCTGGGGCGACATAGTTTGGAGTACCGCAAGCGGTTTTCAATAAGAAATCACCATCGGCAATCTTGGCCAAACCAAAATCGGTAATCTTGATATCGCTGTCGTTGCTGTCAGAAGAATAGATCAAGTTTTCAGGCTAAAAAAGTCATAGAAATCAATCAACACATGTTGGTATTGAATATGGTTATTGAAAACAAGAGAAACTTACCTTCAAATCTCTGTGTACAATGCCGCAAGAGTGTAAGTACTTGATGGAAGAAACAATCTTTCTAATCAATTCTGCGGCAACATCCTCAGAGTATCCTTCTGGGTATTTGTTTACGATTCTGTCGAACAATTCTCCTCCGGTCAATCTTTAGTAATTGTTGTTAGGAGGTTTTTGTAGTTAGCAGCCACATGGAATCATGGATCCAGGACCTAGAAATTATTTCAAAACACTTACAATTCCATGACAAGATAAACTTTTTGAGGAGTTTCATACACATCTATCAACTCGACAATGTTTTGATCATTGACACTCTTCAAAATATTGACCTCCGTTTTCAATGAGTCCTTATTGACTTCAAGGTTGGATTTATCAATAATTTTTACGGCTACTTTTCTTCCGTCATGTTTTTGGGTGGCCTCTCTCACGATGGAGAATGTACCACTGTGATGAGATGGATGGTAGAATCGTCATGATCATCATCGGGTTGGAATATTTGTTGGATGTTTCACAATACAACAACAACCATACAAGTTGTCAGAGCAGAACGATCATCATCATAGTAGCAAGGTTGATATACCGAGTCCATCATCTCTCCTCTACAACTTACCTTCCCAAGACTCGTCCAAACTCCAAATCCTTCTTAATATCATGGGTTTTAGCATCGCTAAAGAAAAAGCTTTCATCCGCCATTCTCTTATATATTGATTTTTTTAAAGAACAACAACAGTAATAACAGATATTGAAAGACAACAATAAGAGAGAGAGATTTATGTGCTTTGTGGGTACTCACGATGATCACTCTCTGGGTTCAAGAATTTTTTTAAATAATCTCCTCAATAATGAACACAAAGCCAAAAAAATCGTATATTTTAAGAGCGGGAATGCAAATACATTTTAACTGATTTCTTGTCAGCAATCATTAATTTTAAAACACTAAAAAATGTCACAACAAGAAGGTAGGACTTTCCGAAGATCATCACCACTATTTAATTCACACACTGTTTTATTTCATCACTCACAGTCGATCTCACTTTCGAATCCTTCACGGAAGGCACCACTCACTTACAAAACAGCCACTATCAACAAGCCATTGATTGCTACACCAAAACGTTGCATCTCCTCTCCGATCCAAAGGAAGATGATTCCTCATACGAATTGAATATTCGAACCAAGACACATTTTTACAAGGGATTGGCTCATTTCCATTTGTCGTAAGTTTCATCATCATCATTATGTTTTTAACATGTGTTGTCTATTGTGATCATGTTGATTTGATCCTATCATCATCATTATTTTGAATTATTTTGAATCATTTCGAATATTATATATATAGACAATTCACACAAGCCATTCAAGAATTTTCAACAGTGGATACCATTCTTCAAAATTATGAATCATCAAAACAACATCAACAACATGATGAAGAAGATCCAGCCACAGTCTTGGCTTCCCTCTTTCCCACTCGAATTAAATCTCTCGAATATTGGGCTCGGAGTTTACACAAACCCAATCCTTCATCACAAGTTGGGACCGAGGTCGTCAACAAAGACCAACAAGCACTGCACTTGTATTCTCGTGCCATTGACATGTTGAAGAAGACTTTTGACAGCACCACCACCTCGTCCTCAATGATACCTCGCATTCACACCTTGTACATGTCACGAGGACTTCTCCATAGTGATCTCAAGCACTTCCAAGAAGCCATTCAAGACTTTTCTAGATGCCTTCAAGAATTGTCTTCTCCCGTTATGGAGACTATTCCAAATCAGGCATTTCAAAAATTTACGGCGCACCACAATCGCGCCATTGCGTACGAAAGCTTAAAAAATTCAGAACAAGAAGCCTTAGAGGATTATTCGAAAGCGATTGAATGTTTGGAATCAGGAGAGGTTCCGAATCGAGAGGCTCTTCTCTCAGAGAAGGAGAGTGAGGCTTTGAATACGTACTTGTATCGGGCTCTTTTATTGTACAACATGACAAGTGGTGGTAAGAAGATGGGAGGAAATTCATCGAGTTCAGCCATTTCAACCATTCTCAATGATTTACATGTGGTATTGAAATATAATCCTCATCATTTGGTGGCCAATCAAATTGCTGCTCAATTGTCCTATGAAGCCAAAGACTATGAAAAAGCTCGAGACAGTTATTCTCGATTAATTTCAATTTGTAAAAAGCAATCTTCATCATCGGCTGCTCGTGATGAATTGTATTCCTATCACTTTAATCATGGAATGTGTTGTAAATTTTTGGGTGATGAGTTGGGAGCTCTTGAAGACTTTGAAAAAACCATCGAATTGAATGATGAATACTTTAAGGGATTTGTGGAATTAGCTCGCTTGAGAAAAGTATCGAAACGGGATGATGACACAAAGGAAATGATTCAATTGTATGATAGAGCCATTTCCTTACTAGAGAAGAATAAGGTCAAAGAGGAGGATTTACCAAATAACAAGTCCAAAGCTGCTCTCTATTTCGAAAGAGGTGTGTTGCAAAGCAAAATTGAGGAGTATGAATCATCTGTACAAGATTTTACAAAGTGTTTGCAGATTGAGAATGACCATGTGGATGCCTTGTTCAATAGAGCAAACATCTATCGAACACATTTGAAAGAGTTTTCCAAAGCTCTCAAAGATGCAGAGACTGTCTCTAAATTGGACCCTAACGATCTGGAGGCAATGATGGAAGTTGGATTGTGTTTGTTTGAGCTCGACAAGATTGATCAAGCAAAGAAACAATTTGAAAAGATTTTACAAAAAGATCCACATCATGAAGGTGCCAAGAATTATTTGGATTATCTCAATGATGCTGACGAAAATGACGAAGAATAGGTTTTCTTTAACACTTCTTTTGAAATAAAAAACTTGAATTAACCAAGTTTAAATAAACAATCGTTTAAATTTGGAAACACAGAAGAAATTCAAGTTTACACTCCCGATTGCATCGAGAAAAAGTAAAGATACAACAAGAGAATTGGCACCACCAATAATCTCCTCTTCTTGTTAAGGTAATAATTTTCTGCTGTGAATAAATAGAGACATGAAACAGTCGACCATCCAAATGATGCCAAATTCAACAACAAGGAAACATAATAAAACATAAAGGAACTCTTTCCAAAGATGAGTCTCCACACCAACAACACCAGTAATGCCAATACATGAGGAATGAGAGAATAACCCACACACGACATGACTTGACTGTATCCCACTTCAATAATTTGCTCCCCCTCTGCTGTCAAATTGGTATCATTGGAAGCACCTTCTTCAAAATTACTGGAAGGAAATTGTGCATTATCAGTTGTTGAAGGCAATGGTTGAAAATCCGATGAAGTGTGATCTTTTTTAACATTCTTCAACGCTCTTGCCTCCTCAACAGATGATGGCGTAAATAATCTTCCCAACATCCAAATCAGACACGAGCCAACCAACCAAATTAAATACATCCAAGTGATGGCACGAAGTTGTAAATATGTTAATTCCACAAGAAATGCATATGCAAGAACAATGAAAAAAGGTCCCCAAAAGTCTTTGAAATTTGTCATTGGTTTTGAATTTGTTTCAAATCAAATCATCATGATCCGAGTATGTATTATGATTTAGATTTCCATCATTAGCGATTTCGTTTTAATCTTACCTGGCTCTCTCAATTTACTCAAATCATCGGCACTAAATTTTCCAAAAGGAATCATCACCTTCTTCACTTTAAACAAGATATCATTCACATCAATATCCAATTCCTCCATAATGGATGGCTGTTCCACACTCTCTCCGCCCAACAAATTTTCTTTTGATTCCGTAGAGGCATCCACTTCCATCAACCAACCAAAACCTTTACTCTTTAAATATTCTTGAGTTTTTCCAATGACAAATCCATGCTGATGATGAGAAGGTGAAGCAAATGACGAATCCGATGAAGAAGAAGAAGTCGGATTGGTTATTCCTCGATTGGCAATCATTTTTTTTGTAAAATGAATTCAACAAGAGGATCACAACAAGATTTTGAATTTGTTGGTTGAGATTATTGAACTTGAGAAGGGGATGTTAATCTCTTAAATGATTTAATAATGTTTCATTTCGATTATTCATCAATGACTCATTTTCAAGAGTCCAAGGATTTGATTCTTCTTTGTGGAATGAGTTGAATCAGAAAATTCATTCCTCTTGAAAAATGTTGTAATTCGTTGATGTAATTGATTGACGACATTCTCGACTTTGTGAATCTCATTGGCGTGTTGTTGCTGCTCAATTGAGCTTGGCTTGGTTTCTTCCTCAAAATAATATGGTAATGCCACTTTGAGGCATGAATGAATAATGTCCAAAATGAAATCAATTTCGAGTTTTGAAGATTGAGCTTCAAGTTCATCAATGACTTTTCCAAACAAGGGATGGTATGAGGTCAGTAAATCCTTTGCAATGACCGATGATGATTTTGTTCGTTTGTGAAGTAATAGTGTGTTCTTGAGGAAGGAAATTAGAATTTTAGGGAGTATGTTGTTCAATAATTCGGAAAGTTCAGAATGGTCTTTGTGGAAACTTTGAGAATCATTCAATTTCGACCATTGCATGCATTTGGATGAAATCAACAATAATGCTCCCACAAGTGTCACATTCATTTTCTCTGCCTTCAATTGCTTTTCAAGAGTTGACTTCAAGAATGGTTTCATGATGTCAAAACATGATGAAGAGTAATCTTGTAGAGAGACAACAATTTCTTGAATGACATCTCCAATTCCTACAAGCCCAATTTGTGAACCTGTTGTTGTAGATGCATTGGTCGAACTATTCTGATGAGAGCCATGGTTTGAACAAACAAAACATAACAAGGTACATAAAAAGCTAATATGAACCGATGGTTTGAGTTTGAAACGTTTCTCAGATTTTGTAGTGTGATGCCGAATAACCTCAATCACCTGTGTAATCAAATCAAAATCGAGTCGTTGTTCCACATTGCAACATGCTTTGGAAATATGTTTCATCAAATCTGCACTCAATGATTCAAAATAATAAATCAATTGAAGAGAAAGGGATTGCAATCGTTTCGGTAATCGAATGAATGGACCACATGTTTGCCTTGCCTCGTCATAAAAGAATGGAGCAATAGCTTCAACGATGGACTTTTGAATGTAAGATTGGAATTTTGGATTCTTAGCCAAGGCAAGAAGCACTTGTAAAATGTGTTGACTAATTTCATAATGTTGTTCTTCATCCAATTTACACAACATTGGAATTAATACAGAGACCCATTGCTCAATCACATCGGCTTGTGGTGTGGTTGATTCATCTTGCAAGCCAACACTCGCAAAGAACTCTAAAATTAATTTTTGTTTCGAGGAGTAGGCTCCTTGTTTGATAAAGAGAGCAGTCAATGATTTCCATAATTGAGCCCCTATGGCAGGCGGTAGATATCTGTAAATACGATAGAAGGATCCTAAAAGCTTGGCAAAATCCTCATCTTCCAAATTCAAATTTTCAGCATTTGAAATAAAGTGAGTGATTTGTTTCACATAGACCAACTCCCATTCCTTGTAGGAAATTTCGGTAGAACCCTTTTCAGAACTGAATTTACCAAAACAGAATGAAAGCATGGCTAATAAACTGGCATTGGTACGGTCAATGTTGTTGGAGCTCTGACGAATTTTTGACGATAATTGCAATGGCATTTTGGTCACAAAATGTTGAAGAGATTGTTTCAGAGCCTTATTGATGGTTTTTCGATGAATGTTCTTACTGTCGGGAGTGCCTTGCTGAGTATGCTCAAAAGCATACAATAATTGATAGGAAATGTCCAAAACTGATTTGATAATTGTGAGAACATATTCTGTTTGGATGTGATGGCTTGCTGCTGAAGCTCGTTGTTCTTCGAAAATTTCAATCCAAACTTCAACTAGAATTATGAATATCAATTTGAAAAATTCTGCAATAGATTCCTCATCTTCTAGATTGTATGTTTTGAGATCCATCTCTTCTTGTAACAGTTTTTTTAAAGAGGGTTGTTCTGTAGGTTTGTTGTCAAATTGTTCTTCTTGATCCTTTGAATCGTCATTTCCAAGTTCCAACAATTGATCTGCATCCAATTTCAAGGACTTTTGCTCCATATTTTCGAGTGTTGCCATCCTTCGAGTGAGTAATTGAGTCATGAGTTGAATTTTGTTTTGGGCTATTGTGTCAAAAGAAAATTGTGCCTTTTCAGATGAGGAAGCATGTGCAAAGTAGAGGGAGTTTGTCGAAGACGATGACCCATTTGTATTTGCTAAATTCATTTTCATGTGGTTATGAGTGTGAGTATGTGCCACTCTCTTGCTTGAGGGTATTCCAAGTTTGTTGTTTTCGAAAAGTATGCTCAGAAAATTATTTAAAACCGTTACACACAATTGTTGAGTAGTTCTGTATCTGACTCCCTTATAAGCAACACCCATTCGACTGAGCATGAAAATATAACAAATATTAGGCATGACTCGAACCGAATATTGGGCAATAGGAACTGGAAAGTGGTCTAAAAATTTGGAAAGAATTTTGAGTGAGTATCTACGAACAGTGCCAATAAGGTGAGTCATTCCGCTTGTGATATATGCCATCAATAGTGAAATGAATGGTGTAATTGAGGCCTAAACAATTTTCACACAAATTATGACATGATTACATTTGTATATAATCAGTAATTCAACGTTCCAAAAAAACAATAAACCTACCGATGAAATTCTCGGTAAACTGTAATTTAGAAAATTAAATAAAGCTGTATGTACTTCTTCATTTCCATCTAGCATCAATGGTGTCACTTCATTCAAAATTTTTCCAAGATAAACTTTCAAAACTACAGGATGCAAAGTTACAAGTTCCAATAAACTCTTCATTGCAGAAACTACAGTTTTTACATTGTAATGTTTCAATTTCGGAAATATATCATTCAAGCCTAGATTTCTACTGGTCACCCAATTACTTTCAAGAGTATCCACACTTCTCAAATTTTGATGAGCCATGAATATACCCTTTGTTTTAAATTCAATATTGGTGTGGTTGGCTGGTTTTAGTTTCTTTCCAAGCTTTTTCTTTTTCTATTTGGATCATCATTATTTCATCCGATGATGATTAATTTTCGTATGCATGTTTCAAAATAATAATAATTCCATCCAATAAAGTACAGTTCCCCATCAATGTACACATAACGACTCGCCGATCGGAATGATGATGAAGAAACAAAGAAAACACACTTACTGGCTCTTGTTTTTCATTCTTTCGTTTTTGCGTCATTTTTCAATAATTTTTTTTACTTCTTTTCTTTTGTTGAAGAAAAGACGAGAATTGTGGATCATTGATTTACTTGGAGGAGAGACTTGCTTTCAACAATTTGGGAAGCTTGACCTTGAGAATTTCAAGTTGTTCTTTCAAGTCTTTGTTTTGAGCTTGAGCTGTTTCTAGTTGGAGTTCCATGGAGGTGATGATCTTTTGTTGATTCGTGAAATTTTCTTCCATCTTTTTGTTGGCCTCTCGAAGCAGTTTGATCATTTCAAAGCTGGAGTGCAACTCTTTCTTAAGTTTTGCTACTTGTTGGGAGTGTTTTTGTTTGGTGAGAGCTGCTTCATTGTTGTTTTCGTTGATAATGTTCTTCAAACTCTCTGTTTGTTCCTTTAATTGTTCCGTGAGTTGTGAAATACGTTGTTGTTGGCTGTGTTGTGTGTTTTGGTTCACTTTTTGCTCTTGTGACAATCGTGCATTCAATTCTTCGAGATCTCTTTTGAGCTTTTGATTTTCTTCGACAAGCTGTGTTTCCTTATTTTCAAATTGGGATAGTAATAGATTGCGTTGCTCAATATTTTCGAGTTGCTTTTGCTTAAAATCAGACGACAACTTATCCACAAGTAACTCTAGTCGCTCATTCTCTTTTGCTAGTTTTTCTTTAGATTGTAAATCGCCGGAAGAACTTTTGGTTAATTCAGCAACTTTTTTCTTCTCTTCGGCAATGGCTCGCAATAATTCGTCTTGAACTTTGCTAATCTCTTCATATTCTTGTAACTTAATTTTAAACTGGGATTCACAGTGCTGGGCGTGTGCTGCTAAACGTTGATTTTCTGCCACCAACGATTGGTTTTGTCTCTGAAATGCTAACATTTGTTTGAGTTGAGATTCTGTCGTCTCACATTTTTCTCTGAAGGCATCTCTTTCCTTCTGTAACTCTTCGATCGTTGTTTTGAGAGTATTCAGCTCATTTTCGAGTTCATTGTTATCCTGTTGAATTTGCAAGTTCAGCTCCTCGAGTTTGTTAATGTTGTCTACCTTTTCAAACTCGGAATTTTGACTTTGTTCCTTTTCAAAGGTCAGTTTTTTAATTTGATTCAAAGCTTGCTCGTACTGTTGAGAAATTTCTTCAATTCTATTATTCAAATCCTCTCTCTCTTTCTCAATCATTTCAATTTTTTCATCTCGATTTGAAATTTCCTTCTTCAGTCTTGCAATGGTTGTTTTTCCAGAAACTAAATCCATCAAATTTTGCCCCTGTTGCTCGTCTAACTTCAATTCGTGTGCTTTCTTATGTACAAGTTCAACAATCACCTTGTTTGTATTCTCTTGTTCCATAGCTATTTGTTGTTGTAAATTTTTCTTTTCAGTCTCCAATCTCTGAATTTTCTTTTCAAATAGAGAGCTAATCATTTGAAAGGTATTTTGATTGGAATTGACAATTTGTGAATTGTTGTTGATCGAAGTGTTTGGGGATTTTGGTGCATTCAGAATTTTTGTCCTTAAATACGAGTTGGGATGAGATCGTTTCGCGGGAGAAGAGGGAGCCGAAGCAATCATGCCACTTCCCACATTTTTCTTAAAGAAAGGAGGATTCAAAGTGGAGGAGTTTGTGTTTTCATGACCAGATTTCATACTTAAAAATTGAGCACTATTAAGAGAGGACGAAATTGACGAAGTCACAGACGGTGAAGTCTTTTTTAAAGTGTCTGCTTCCTTATTGCTCTTTTGGCTCGAAGAGAGATTTTCCTGATTTTGTTTGTTGTTGTTAGTAGGATTGTTGGATCGTTGTGCCACTCCTCCGCTTGTTATTTTGTCAGTCATAGGATTCCTCCTTGAAATTGTTTCATTGTAGGATGAAGGCAATTCTTCATCGGAATTATTAAGAGAAGCCAACTCGAGCTGAGAGACATCTCCTGAATGTGCAGCACCTCCTGTTGTATCAAATTCCTCTTCATCATCTTCATACAAATCTCCAAACCCTCTCCTTTGCTTTCCTTGAAGCCTTGTTGTAGAATTCTGTATGTCGGAAGCATTGCGAGATCGACCTTTAGCTGTTTGTGGTCTTCTAAGAGTCGTGGGTCGTTTCTGTAAGGTCCTGTTACCACTATTATTTAAAATATTACTACTACGATTATTGTTGGTATTAGAATTATAATGATTCGAGCTCTCCAAAATGCTTATATTCGTCGAAGAGTGATTCAAATTTCCATAATACTGATCATCGACATCATCATCATTGTTGTTACTGTTGCTTTGATCATCATTGGAAGCATCAGAAAACAAGCGCTCCTTATGTCGGATCATGTTTTGAATACGTGCCGACGATGATGAGGAGGAGGAAGCTGTCGTTCGTGTCGTCATTATTGGATGGAAGAATACCAAGTCTTGTTGAGGTGGTTCTCGATCGAGAAATGGACGTTTTTGTTTTTCAAAGCTGGTGGTCTGATTGCTGTAAAAGCCTTTTCCAAAGAAATGGAGGGAGACAACAACTCACTCCTGTCAATAATAGATTGTGATGAAAGGTTCTTTGTCTCTCCTGGAGCAAGAAGAAAAGCAACAAAAGAATCTAATCGATATAACCTTCTTGTTCCATCAAACACCAAAATGAAGGATTCCTCCACCTTACGTGAAAAGTGATTTTGATCAAATTCAAATCCTTAAGGATCCTTCAAAAGTTTCTTATATTTCAAAAGAAAAAAATGCAAATTCAAGTGTCATCATCGATTTCTTCCAATCAAGGTCAAACCATTCATTCCACACAAAATCTCTCTACGACAGCAACGTCCTCTCGGAAAGATAATTTAATGTTTTTGACACAAGCATTGCATACGATACGAGAATCGGACATTCAATTACTGACGGAAATGGGCAAGAAACAACAACAACAATCGGTCATTGGAAAGCAAAACAGAAAAGAAGAGAATACGAATGGTGAGGAGGAGGATGAAAATTACGATAATGATGATATGAATGATGATGGTGAGGATGAAGAGGATGAAAATGACAAAAATCAACCCACCAAGAAAATAAAAAATTAAATTGGGTTGCAAAGTTCAAACCAGAAGAATGATGATCATTTAGAACATTTCAAAATGATCATAATTATCATATTAATAATTTAATATATATATATATTATTAGTGGAAAGATAATTCCATTCAAAATAGGGAATTCAAGTGGGTAACATACATTCGCGGACACGAACCTTAACTACTACTCTTCCAACTTGGCAAATTTAGCCTTTGCTCCAACAGCATCAGAAACACCCTTATAACCTCTTTCTTTAAGGAGTTGTGATAGCTCTCTCTTAATCCGTCCAACTACTTGCGGACCTTGAGCTGTGAAAGCAGTATACACTTGAACCAATGAAGCTCCAGCTTCGATCTTTTGCAGAGCATCATAACCATCCCAAACGCCACCAACTCCAATCAGTGTGACCTTTCCATCTGTGAGTTTATACATGTTTCGCAGGACCTTTGTAGATTTGGGAAAGAGAGGCCGTCCACTCAAGCCTCCCATATTTGAATTTGGAATGGAATCTAATTGGGACTGTGACACAAATGGCCTCTCCACGGTCGTGTTTGAAACAATAATTCCATCAATTTTGTGTTTCAAAACAAGATTGGCAATATCTCGTTGTTGGTCCAATGTCAAGTCAGGTGCAATTTTCACAAGAAGTGGAATTCGGCGTGATGATTCTTTTCTGAGCTCAACCGAAACTTGTTCCAATAATCCGTCAAGAGAATCCTTCTCTTGTAGCGATCTTAAATGCTGAGTGTTGGGAGAGCTCACATTAATGACCATAAAATCAGCATATTTGGCCAATCTCTTAACTCCTGTCAAATAATCTTCAATGCTCTCTGGTGGTGATGTTTTGTTTTTTCCCAAATTCACACCCACATGAAACGAAGAATTTGTATTCTTTCGTTTTTCTCTGTACGCTTTCAAATGCTCTTCGGTGACTTCAATTCCTTTACTATTAAATCCACATCGATTAATGATCGTATCAAAAACTTGCTCATCCACATCGGACACTTTAGACTTGACTCTGAAAATTCTGGGCTTTGGATTTCCTTCTTGAGGTTTTGGACAAACACTTCCAACTTCCATAAATCCAAATCCTAAATTTTCAATGGCTTCCATACATTCCGAATCCTTGTCAAATCCTGCTGCTAAACCAATTGGATTTTCAAAATATTGACCCAATACTTGTGTATTTAAATTAACCATCGGAGGTGGTGTTAAGCTATTCACGTTCTTCTTCAACAAGGTTTTATCAACAGGTCCGAGTCCCCATTTCAACATCAATTTCGACAAATTATGAGCATCCTCTGCATCCAATCGTTGTAAAATAGGCATAAACACATGTGGATACATGGGTGAGTCGGCATCTTTCACCGAACTATACAAGAAAGAAGCCGTTGCCGATAATGAGAATAAAGCAGCGTATCGTAAGCCTCGCTTGAACATTTTTTCCTCTCTTAAAGTGTGTGTGTTGCACACTGGTGAGAGTGCAAGGAATTTCCATTCGGATTTGGGTTTGGCTCGCCTAATATTAACACGGAAGAGTTTTACGCTCTCATTCAGAAGATCCTCGAAACCGTTTCGATTTGACTGTAACGTGAACCTTTTTGATTCATTCAGAGAATTAATACCACCCTGATGAATCATGTATTACAATGTACTAAGGATTCCATCCAATTAATAATTAATGGTTCATCCAAACAAGAATTTCTCTTTTAATAAAAATAGACGTGAACCAAACAGAGAGGCTGTTGCTGTCCAATTCCATTGAAGCTTAAGAACTTGTTTTCATATCGTTATTCCCACCCGCACATTCGCAATAACAGTATCATCCTTGTTGATTGTTTGCATCACTTGGGTGTTGATCCTTCTCCGAGATTCAAATCTCTCTCTATCATCATCAACAAGATTGTAAATAATCATATTTCCTTTCTCTTTCACTTGAGAAAAACAACAATCATTCCGTTCTTTATATCATCAACTCTTATATTTGTAAAATATTTTCCTTCTTTCCTGTCATTCAAATCATCATCATCATCAGACTGCCTAAAAACTTTTTAAACTTTCATTACCAATCAAACAACAACAAGAAAAACCCCAACCACCACCACCACAGCAGCCACACCACATACCATCATGGTTCATTTACATACATCTCCCAAGCCTAGAGAACATGCTCCATCGTCGGCCTCTACAAGTAACAACAACAGCAATCTGATTCTTGAACAACAACGACAAGCCTACTATTTGGCCTATAATCAAGACAAGAGGGTAATTCAAGAAAAACAAGAAGCCTATTATGATTATGAAGAGGCAGCAGAGGATGTTGATGAAGACGAGTACTATCCGACCGTAGCAAATACTTACCAAAATAGCAATATGATTGGAGCTCCAAGTAATAATGGTTTTGAACAACAGCCAGACCATACCAAACCAACTTTCAATCCATCCTCATCGACGAGTGACTCTATTCCATGTTATGGCAATGAGGAATATCATCCTCATGAAAATTCCATAATGAGAGACGACGAAGAGGATGAATATGTTGACGACGGCGACGACCATGAAGCTAATGATTTGGAGAATCAATTTTCTGAGACTGGACTCAATAGTAGTTATGATGAAATGAACGAAAATCCATACGCAAAAGATTCACCTCAACAAGAGCACTATATCGAAGGAGTGCAATTTTTACTTCCACTTCGTTATGAACCAATAGAATGTGTCGGAAAAGGAGCGTACGGAATAGTCATTAGTGCAAACGACAGACTCATGAATCGAAAAGTAGCTATTAAAAAGATTGAAGCCGTTTTCAAGAAGGAGAAATTCTTTCAAAAGAGAATTATGAGAGAAATCAAAATTTTAATTCATTGCAAAGGACATCCAAACATTGTTGAAATACTAGATTTAGTTCCTCCTGAATCATTCGATGAATTCGAAGACATTTATATCGTGACCGAATATATGGATTGTAATTTACAGGAATTACTCAAATCAGGGCAAAAATTCAGCGAGCAAAACATTCAATACTTTTTATATCAAATGTTGAAAGCCCTAGATGTTTTACATTCTTGTGATATTGTCCACCGTGACATTAAGAGCAGTAATATCTTGGTCAATAATGATTATGAAGTCAAGTTTTGTGATTTTGGATTGTCACGAGCAATGATGAATGAAAAGATGTCTACAGACAATGTTGCTACCAGGTGGTATCGATCTCCAGAACTATTACTGAAATATCACAAAGCAGGAAAACCAATCGATGTGTGGAGTTTGGGATGTGTTTTCGCAGAGCTGCTCTCAACGCCAAAACAACACGTTCTTTTCCCTGGAGAGAGCCATCTCAATCAAATCGACAAGATTTTGGACATTTTAGGAACTCCAGCACCTGAGGATATTTATGGATGCTTCAAAGCTCAAGTTTATATGAGCAATCAGCCATTCAGAAAGAAGAAAGATTTCAGCAAACTGTTCCCAGAAGCAAATCCTGAAGCGTTGGACCTTTTGGAAAAGATGCTCTCGTTTTCTCCTGATAAGAGAATTACCGTTAAGGAAGCTCTTAAACACCCATATTTAGAGAGTATGGCAAATCATATGGATGATGAGGAAGAGGGAATTTCTTCAGATGGCGGATTTGTGACCCGAGATTTCGAATATAGATTCGATGAGTCTTGGGAAGTGCATCAAATTAAGAAAATGATGTATGACGAGTGTATTAATTTTCATAGTGCATGGTCGAGGAAGTAGTGATTGTACAGGTGGATGACATTCAGACTCGCTAGATTTTGTAACTTATTTAATCAAGGAAATTGTAATTTTTATTGAGGTTTTCAAGTAAACATTATTCGAAACTTGAATAGTTTAAATATGTTACACTTGCTGTTTTTGTTCAGTGACATTATTGTTCTTCAGTTTGTCTATTTCTTTTTCAAGAAGCAAAACCTTATTCTTTTCTTTGGCGTACATTTTGGCCAAATGTTGGTTTTCGTTTTGGCTCACTTCTAAATCGTGACCAAGTGCTTCTGCTTGCTTCAGTTTGATTTGTGCTTGATAGAGAGCTTGTTTCAAAGACTGTGTATCATCTCCTAGAGGCAATTTGTGAATAAATTCTTTGGAAACAAAAGAAGAAATTTCGCTTTTTGCCAGCTTGCTGTTGTTGTTCGTATCTCGTGTAACTTTTTCGTGATGTTTTTTCAATTCAACAAGCTCATTCGTAATTTCAATAAATTTCTTTTCGAGAGATTTCACTTGTTCCTCATACTTGGTCTCAATAAATACGTTGTGACGTTCGAGCTTGGCATTTTCTATTGTTTTTTCTTCCAGCTGCTTCTTTAACGCTGTCACCAGAGAATTTTGATTTTCAAGCTCTTGAAGTGTCATCTTGCTCGAATGCAAATATTCAATGTTAATTACTAATTGATCATGTAGCTCCTTGATCGTTTTTTCATATTCATCAATTCGCTTGGTGAGAGCTAACCGAATGGCCTCTTTATCGCTCTGACATGTAGCAAGCTGAATTTTGACCTGAGAAAGGACTGCATTAAGTGAAGCTTTTTCCTCCTTCAGTAATCGCATTTGTTTTGCACTCTCTGTGGCGTCATTCACAAAACTTGCAATATCCTTCTCAAGTGAGCTAATTTTCATTTCGAGACGATTATTGTGCAATCGCAGCTCTTCCGTTAAGGTCGTTTCCATGGATGATGCTGTTGCTGATTTCTTTTTAAGCAATTGAATCTCTTTCTCTAATTGATGAATCTTGTTGTCTTTTTCTTGGAGACGCTTCATAAATTCTTGTTGTTCAGACTCAATCTTTTCTTCTTGTCTCTTTGTAATTTCCTCAATGGACAATAAATGAGCACTCACTTGTGAAAGTTTAGAGCTCCATAATTCTTCCATTCGTTTGTGCTCTTGTCGTTGTGAGTTTCGTTCCTTTTCCAGAGCTGCATTTTGCATTTTCATTCGTTGTAATTCGTCCTTACAATCTTTCAATTCATTTTGTAAATTTTTTTCTTTGGAATTGGAGTCCTTGAGCAACTTTCTTGATTCTTCCAATTCTAGTCTTGATCGTTCCACACGATCTTCAAGTTTTTTAACGTCATCTGCATGTTGTGATTTCAAATGGTTCAGTTTGGCAAGCAACTTTTCATTTTCCGTTTTAAGCTGTTGTACTTGGTCCATCAATTTATCATTAGATTCAGACAAAGATGCCACATTTGACCTCATGGCTTCTTCTACTTTTTCAACGTAAGCAAGTTGAGATTTTTCTTTTCTTAACTCTTGAGAAGTATGCAATAGCTCGTTTCTAATGGTTTCGTTTTGTTTGTTAAGCGTTTGTATTTGGTTGTCCGTTATGGCTTTGAGTCGTTTTAATTCTTCCTTCAACGTTGTTTCTTTGAGTTGATATTCTTCAATATCAGCTTCCTTTCTCTTGACAAGATCAAGCAACCGCTCGTTGACTTGGACACATGCCATGTTTCGCTCTTGCAAATGTTCAATTTCTTGCTGGAGTAGTTGCTTTACAGATTCAGATTCCAGAGATACATTTTCAATCTCGTTAGCAAGAGATGTTACACTACCGTGCACGCTGTCAAACTGTTTTCTGATGGATTTGAAATCCTCTTGTAAATGAAGAGAATCGAGAAGCTTGTCCTTTAGCACTTTTTTCATCAACTGGTCTTGTTTTTCAATTCTAATGTTGGACTGTTCAAGACTTGACATCCGCTCATTCTTAGATTCAAGAAGTTGTGAGTACTTTTCTCGTAATTCTTTCAAAGCTTTCTCATGATGTTGTTTCATACTTGAAATTTGAGAATCGTAATTTTCCCTTTGTACAGAAAATGATTGTTCTCTCTTTTCAAAAAGAGACTTTAAATTAGCATAATTGGACCTTAAAACATTCAGCTCTTCTTCAAGAACTGATAACTTTTTGATAGCCTGTGATTTTTCTTCTTGAAGTTTCGAAATTGTCTGTTCATGATCTCTACTAGTAGCTTGAATGCTGTTGAAATGTTCTTCATAGATTTTCTGTAAATTCTCATGTTCATGTGCAGCAGTAGAAATGTCTTGTTCAAGATGAGAGTTTGCAAGTTGAAGTCTTTTAGTTTCTCCTTCGAAAAACATAGTACTGATTTCCAAGTCATGAATTTTTCTTTCATACTTTACAACTAAGCCAGAGAGAGTTGAACAACGTTGTTTAAGCAATTCGAGCTCCATTGTAGCGTTTTCTAATTGAGTATTTTGTTTCTGGATTGTATCATTCTTTGCATCTACTTCTTGGGAAAGTTTATCCAGTTGTTGGTGATGCGAAGCAAGAATTGACTCAAAATTATTTTGTGAAGACGAAGGTATATTCGAGTCATTTTCGTGGGACTCTCGCAACTGTTGAATAGTGAAGTCTTTTTCGTCAATTAATTTCCTCAGAGATATTTCAGTACTTCGAAATGATCGCTGTAATTCTTGTATCTGTAGAAGGTGTTCTTGATTCACTGTTTTCATTCATTTCTATATAAGAGAAAATGATGATGAATTCCAACAATTATACTTACAGGACGTTATTTTTCGAATATATTCCTCTTCTTTTTCAAGAGTTATTGCTAAGTGTTCCTGGTCCTTATTTCCTGCGTGCAAAACCTGTTCCTCTAGTTCCTTAATTTTTAACTTGAGGAGCGCATTTTCTTCTTCCATATCATGCCGCTCCTTTTCAAGTTGCGACAATTTAACTATGTACTCTTTTCGAACTTCAATTTCTCTTCTTTTGTTGTTTTCATCATCTTTTCTTCTGGTGTCTTTGAATTTTACATTTAGACCTTCAATAGTATCCTGAAGGCTTCTGATTTCGCTCTTCAGTTGCTCGATTTGGGCTTGATTCTTAGACTCATACACAGAAGGGTCGAGAAGCTGCTGGAGCTGACTATTCTCTTTTTTAGCCATTAGAATTTCATCTTGTAGCTCACTAATTATTTTTTCTTTTTCATCCAGAGTTTGCTTGAGTGTGGTTATAGTTTCAAATTCCGATTTTGAAGCTGTGTTTTTCGAACTAAGTTCTTCTTCGACCTTAATGAGTGACATTTGTTGAGTGAGATCTTTGTTGATCTCTGACAGCCTGTTCCGCTTTGTTTCAGATAGTAAAAGAGCTTTTCTTAACTCGTCATTTCGTTTTAGAACAGATGATAATTGTTGAACGAGCTCCTCATTTTGTTCCACCAATGAATTCATCCGTGAATAGGTTTCTATTAATTCTCTATCTCTTTTGCTGGTTTTAGATTCGACTTGAAGTGAAGAACTCTCTTTATCGTCACCATGAAGAAATTTGGGCTGAGGTTTAAATTCCAGCCGCTCTCCTTCCGCGCGTAATGAGTTGCGAACTTCCTCTTCACTCACCAACGTTGGAGAAGCATTTGAAGATTTGCTGTATGTGGATGATTGAGGGGGACTTTCAAAGTCACCTATATATGCTCTGTCTTCATTATTTTGCTGTGAAAAGTCCATACTGGTTTCATGTTCTTCAATATGGTTATTGTGTTTTGATACAAATGGTAGATCGGGTGTTTTTTCTGACTCCTTATTCATTTGAGCGAGTACTTTTAAAGGAAGCGATTGGGGAGATATAAATGTGTTTAACGTGATAGCATTCGTCGACTCTTGCTGCCCTACTTGTTCAGATGGAGATGTTCGTTCATGCAGTGGCGTGTTGGTGCTTGAAAAAAGAGGCGATGACAAGGAAATTTCGCTTCTGTTCAACTTTTCAAAATCTAATATTCTTGCAGTACTACTTGCACTGAGTGTGCTTGAGACATTTCGATCCGAAGATGATCCGTCGGGAGTAGATGATAAAATCGACCCCCCATAGTAGGGTGTATAGCTTTCCTTAATTATGGAGTTGGCTTGCTCCATTGTTGCGTCACTGTCATGCATATTGTAGGTTGTCGAAGATGGTGTCACAATGACCGTTTCATTTTGATCAAAATCCTCTTCATAATATTCTTCATCTTCCTCCTTTTCACTTTCATCAAGAGCCTCTGTATTTGTTGTTGAAGTGAGCTCATTATTGGCTTCATTTTCTTCTTGTGGTAGTGTCGCTGAATATAAATCGTCGTCGGAAGTGCCAACAATCTTGTCATCAAGCTTGGGCCGATAGACCTCCTTATTATCAGGGCTATAATACAGTGGTGTCATTGTTTGTTTGTGTTCCTTACTGCTTGACTTGGATGGAGACCTCTTCTCTTCCTCCAAATTCTTGGTGTCTTGTTTCGTGGGTGTCACTCCGGACTCTGAGATCATAGCCTCGCGAGAAGACAACTCGGGATTGGTCTGTTCCAAATTAGAAACAGGAGGTGCTGATGGTGTTGTTGTTGCAAGCAGATTCTTCCAATCCTCAATAATCGAATCTAAATAATTGCTCTTCGCTTGAAAGAAGGTATTGAACATGGACAAGGATGATTCTTGAGGGCTGTCCCCTGCTGCAGCATGACTCCGATGAATTTCCTCTCGCTCCGAGTGTTTTGGCATCCATTCATTCTCGTGTACTGGTGGCATTGCTTGCGAGTGGGTGATGATGGTCTCTCGGGGATTCTGAAGATCACTTTCTTCGTCGCCCTGACTTGTTGTTGTATGAAAAGCCTCACTCGTCCTAGAAACCTCCTCTTGGTAGTAACCAACTTGTTCATTATTCTGGCTCCTCACTGGGTGATCATTCATTTGAGCCTTTTCCATGGTTTTGAATAAGTATGATGATGATCTTCTTTGATGATGATCAGAAACGCCAAGTTGCAATTTCAACAATTTTTTTGCTAAGGCTATGAAAAAAAGCGCCGCCAAAAAATCACTCAACATGATGCCAATTGATGACCTCTCAAAACAACAACAACAAGTATATTAACATTTTCGAAACACCATTTTCATTGTTTTGAATCTTAACACATGATATTCACTTCTCACCAAGAAGGAATTTGCATGATTTCGTAATGGTGACACGGTCCTTTTGCATGTGTGTTGTTGTTTATTTCCAATGTAGTCAGGAGGTCAAGTATTCTTACACAACTATGTCAAATGTCACCATTATTCAATAAGGAAAAGTATCTACTGTTATTGTTGTTGTTGTTGAAGATCTTTCTTCAGTCTCTGTCGCGCATATTGTCGAGCTCGTCGGTCCTTCTTTCGTTTGTTGAGGAGAAGAAGGATCAGTTCAGGAGACAGAAAATCATTCTTGTTCTTGTTGTTGATGGTTTTTTGTAGTGACAGCATGACCACAGAATCCGTGGAGCTATTGCTGCTCAATCCAGAGTGGCCACTGGCGATGGAAATGTTGTCAATGTCATCGTGAACACTTCCATTCGAAGGTAAATGATTTGAAAAACGATCATACAAGTCAATGAGGGTCTTGTCATCATTTTCTCCTATTAATGTTTCATACAGATTAATCAATGATTCAGTGTCGTCTGTGTAGATGAGTAACAAAATGTCCAACTCTTTTGCTTGTTGTTCGATAAAATCAAGTGGCAGTCCTTCACCATTCGCATAAAACAAGTCTCTAAATCCATTGAGGCAAATTTGAATGCCAATATGAGGCGAGTTATATTGGAAGATGGAAGTCCCGGGAGAAGTGGACAAAATATCCATGGAGGGTGGAACAGATGAGATTGGGGAGAGCAGTTCGGAGGCATTGAGGTGAGATTGTTGTTTACATCCCAACAGCTTGTTCCTTAATAATTTCTGGACATAAATCACAAATAAATGTTTCAATACTTCATGTAACAATTCCAAGTACAGCACATCGGATAAATGTATGAAAAATCGATCGAGAGAGCTCAGTAAAACCATTAAATGTTCCATCTCTTTTCCAGGTAAACAGGTAAATATTGCTTCAAATCGTTGTTCGTTCATGGCATAAATCCAATCTGCAATGCAAAAGGCCATATCCGTAGTTACCATTTGAATTTCATTCATGATCGATTTCACAGTTGGAAAATCATATACTTCAATCAATTTATCGTGGAGGAGATTGTAATTCACTTCATTGTCTTCGTCTTCTGGGTCTATATTTCGCTCATAATCTTCTAAAAGTTGGGTATAGATGGCATTGTTAAAATGTTGTAAAATGTCTTTTGCGTACAGAAATAGACCATTGACGTTATTGAAAGCAATACAAGCAAGTCTAATTCTATCGTGTACATTTCCTTGTTTTGAAAGTTCAAACTTGCATCTGTTCAACATGGTTTGGAGGTATTCAGAAATCGTTGGTCGAATTGCTTCAAAATGCAACGTGAGAAAACTCAGGTACTTGTCATTCTGATTTCTAATGATTCCATCCAAGTTGTAAATCGTATGAATAGGTTTCAAACTTGCATTTGCCATATCAATACACGAAAATGTGTACAGAACTGTTTTATCAATGGGCTTGTCAAGTGTATCCATGCTCATTACTTTGGCATAAAAGTCTTTCAGTCTGTTTGGAGTTGCAACTGTAATGCATAAACTAACAATTTCATAAAACATGGTAAAGTCAAAATTTCCTACAAATGCAGATAATTCCTGCAACACTCTGTACTTTGTAGCCAAATGAGAGCATAATTTGTTAATGACTCCTAGATTGAGCTCATTAAAGTAAACTCGAAGATATTTGTTTTTCTTTCCTTGCTCTATGCAAGCATTTTGATATTTGAGAGCTTCTTGACAAAACGCGCTAACTTCTACTGTTAAATGTTTGGAAAATTCGGAGCATATAATATCAGCAAATGTAGTATTTGCTTCAATTAAATGCTTATCGAGATGAGAAGCAAATCGGGCAATCAATTGCTTGCTCTCGTCGACAACAAATGTAGCCAAATTCATGTTAAATGTTGCTTCTAAAAAGAAACCTTTCAGTCTTCCAGATTGTTTCAAGTTATTGGAAATGATCTCTCTATTGAGAATATAAACTTTTCGAACAAAGTGAGCCAAAGAATCTGCAATAATGTGTGACGTAGAAGGAGGGTTATTTACACTGTAGTCTCCCATTAACGTTTTGACCTTTTGCCATCCAATTAGGCATGACAACAAAGCATCTAACGCTAAGAGAGCATCACCGTCAAAATCATTTGTAACGTAGGCAAACGTATCAATTCCAAAGCACCACTTTAACTCCATAATTCTGTTGCGCAAATGACCAAACACAAGCTCATCCACTTGGCGATATATTTGTCTCTTCTCTACTTGGTATTGATTTACAGAGTTAATGGATTGAGAAAAATTTTCAATGTTGTGTGAAAGATATGATAAACAAAAATGTGTATGGTCAAAACTTTCCGCAATTCCATAGATAATTAATAGATGAAGTGTAAAATTATCAACCTCAAAAAATTGTTGCAAATTCTCTTGCAGAGTATTGACACTTTCTTCTTTCGAGATAAAGTGATTAACCATCTGTGCAGTAAAAGCAATCTTTAAAAATTTTTTAAGCATGTAAAGCTTCTTTGACTTCTCCTTTGTTGATTGATTGCTCAGCTCCCTGAGAATTTGCTTTTTATAGGGCAGAATTTTTTCATGAATTCGGTTAAGAACTTCCAGAGCTTTGTAGTTCGATGTTGATCCTAAAGTTTTTAAATTTTCATTCAATATCTTGATCATATTTTTTACATCTTCTGCAGAAATGTTTTCAGGGGAGAGATCTTTTCGACTGTCTATATAGTAAATAAAAGATTTCATTCTAGATGCAGATTGAGGACTTCTATTTTCGTTTGGAGATACGTCTAGGGATAAACGAGGTACAGCATTAGATGGAGGTTGCTGAGGTTGTTGATGTAGTTGAATTGCATGTAATTGTTGTGGTTGTGAAGGTTTGGTTCCTTTCATGACCGTTTGTAATCGTTGTTGCAAAGTTGATACTGATTCTCGTGATGTCAAGGAAGAAGCAGTTGTCACAACTCCAGCATTAAGACTTGGCATTGTTTTTGGATTTTCTGGAATTTTCTTCGGATTGTTTTTGCTGTCCATAAATTCAATGAACACATATTGTTCCTGTACATAGGTTTCAGCCAAATTTGGAATAGGTACATCTTCCTTTGGTTTTTTTAAAGCACTTCCAACATTGTTGATAAAACGTAGCAGAGTAGATTCCGATGACGAATTACCATTGTTTGTATTGTTGATGTTATTTACAGAAGATGATGATGAGGTAGATGAAGAAGAACCTGTTGCTATCGAGGTGATCTTTGAGAAAATCCCGCTAGAAATTCGGGAGAGAGCTCTTTGGGTAGAAGAGCCAGTGGTGGATGAAGAAGATTGTTGCTGCGATGGTGGCACTTTGGATTGTGAGGTTTGACGTTGTGGTGACAATGATGATGAAGGTTTCTGTTTCAACAACAAATCAATATATTCAACGAGAAGAATAATTTTGAATAGAAAATCCTTTCCAGCTGTAATCAGGAACAAATGCCAATGCAATGAACATGATGATCAAATAGAAAGTATAATTACCTTGTAATTGTTGTACAAGCATGTTGTTCTTTTTGGAACTGTCACCATCATCATTATGGATGGTGGTTGTATTGTTCTTTTGTAAGAGTTGTGTGAGCTGTGAATTGATGGTAGAAATCAATTCTCCACATTTGATGAGTGCATCTCTTGCTTTTACGAATTCCTTGTGTTGATAAAAGTAAATGGCCCAATTTAATGTTCGTTTAGCAGCTTGAGACTCGTTAGAATACTCAAAAAACAAGACAGAATTCGGATCTCTGATGATATCAAGAACATCTTGGAATTGCTTCGGTCGCAAAGGAGTTGATTTGTTAGTGTTCGGAATGATAGAAGAACCACCATTATTGGCGGTGTTGCTGCTTTGATTATTCATCATGATGCTTCCATTTGTTGCGCTAGAGGACGGAGTGGTTTGGCCATTGTGAGGATTACTCATTAATTATTATTATGTACAATTATTATTGTTATTATGATAATTATGGTTGATGAAGAGGATGATGTGATTAGTGGATATGAGCAATAATCACAACTTTACGCGTGAGCATCAAACAAGAAATTGGAGAAGACTACAAATAAAACCTCCGATTCTAGTTTGTTAGAAAATAATTTTCAATACCAACTCTAGAGCAACAAAGCTGAAAGAACTCAAAGATCACAGAGTTGAATATTTTTTTTTAAAATAATATTTTCGGAAATTGAGAATGACTTGAAATTCAAAAACCAGATTTGAATTTGGAATTGGAAGCTTTCTGGATGGCATGAATAAGGAAAGGTGCCACACAATGGAGAGATCTGATTCAGCTATTTCAATAGAATTTATTGGTTTGGCTTGGTACTGGAGAAGGTTTTGGTGGCACGACCACCCTCTGTGGGAGAGGCTCTCCAGTTATGGGATTGCATCCCGTGCTGGATCCTCTCTGATACAGAATATCTGCTCTCACTGCCCCTCGATATGCCCGTACTTGGTCTTCATATGTTTGAAGTTTTCTCTGTTCAGGATCTAAGGGTTGTTTCGTAATGATATCGTATCCAGTGAGGCCTCTATTTTTCTTTTCGGAACCTAATCGTGCCTCCTGTTTTTGTTTTTCTTTTTCATATTCCAATTCTCGCTGTTTTTGAAGTGCTTGTTCTCTCTCCATGCAGTTGTTTCGTTTCTTTTCGGTGATCAATTGTCTTTTTGCAAGTTCTAAATCTCTCATGGCTTTCTCTTCACCCGCTGCGTCCCCATGCAGCCGTTTTGAATCGGGAATGTATCCAACTGCAGTTTCCAGAACTTCAAGAGGATTTGTACTGGGAGAATGCCTTTGGAAACCTTCTTTCCGATTGGCGAGTCGGGATCGTTCCAGGGCATGTCTATCTCTTTCTGCTTGTCGTTTTTCTCGGCTGTTTTGCAATTGAAGGGCATGAAATTCCTTTTGGCTCATCTTTATAAAGAACCGGAGATCAAAATTTGAAGTGGTGATGAAATAAATAGATATGAACTGTTGAAGAATATTTTTTTTTTGAGCTAGAAAAGTTGTAAAAAATGGCGCAAAGTGGCCATTTTGACATTAAGGACAAACTTTGCAAGCTGCAAAATATTAATTACGAACAAATAATATTTGCATCTCAACAAATATTGCTTTTGCATAAATACCTCTAAATTGAGATTATATTATACTTTACAAATCAAAAAATGGAATGATTATTACAACAGGGATGTCAAGGAATTTGACGTAAGTGTCAACTCGTGATGTCAAGTCAACTCGTGGGTTTCAAAAGTCCTTTGGAGCGATTCATTTGGCGACTCCAGATCAAAGTGCACCTTATAAATTTGAGAACATTTGTTCCATGTTCGCAACAGATGACCCTCGTTGATCTGAAACGAATTTGAAAAGTACTGGCTCAAACTCTTTGGGTAATAATCCTAAGCTCAATAAAAACTCTCGGTCAGACTGTATTTCACATTTGGTCGTAGGGGGTGACACAATATTCATGGAATGCTCCGTTCGATATGAAATAATCTTTCTCAAAAGTAAAATTGTAATTCCCTTCTCGAGATTTAACGCTTCATCCATGGGACCAAGCGCTTGCGAGGCCCTCTCCACGTCAAAACAAAATCGTTCGTGACTACTCCGTGGTGAGAGATTTCCAAACGAAGAAGATCGTTTCGTGCTCGTCGATCCAAACATACATTCACAAACAGAGACATACAATTCTGAAACAATCTCTTGCAGCGTCTCTGCCTGCCTCACACACTCCACAACCGAATTGAGTGAGCTGGTATCCATGCGAGAGGCATTCATTCCTCCAATATACAAGGATTGAGCATGGAGAGCCAATTTTTTAGCCTCACTCGTAGCAAACTCGACATGTTGATGCAAGCATTCGGAGGCTTCGCTCGAGAAGGGTTTCTTAAAATTCATTGTCAAGTCTTTCATCTTTCGGCAAGCTCCTACGAGCAACACTTTTCGTATTTCAAAATTACTTTGTAAATCGGCGGAAGAACAACCTTTCAAATGAATCTCCACGACGTGTTGGTTGTAATTTAAATAATTCGTTAGACCTCGTTTACTATTCAGGACTGAAATCTTATTGTTGTGAGTTGAGTTGTTGTTGGAATTGTGAGGAGAAGGACTCGTTGGACTCGCATCGCTCATCATACTCTTACTACTGCCATGATGATGACTTGAAGGCACTTTACCGAAACTCGAATGATCCGAAGAGTGAGGCGATGAAGAATAGCATCGACTGGATGTGGTGGTTGTGGTGGTGGTCCTTACATCAAAGTCATCCTCTTTGTTTTGGCTAATGAGGAGCATTGCTTCTTTTTCTTCAACTACTGGTCGTCGTGTTGTTGTTGTTGTAAGAATGATAGGAAGAGGAAGAAATATCTATTACTAATAGGAATGGATGGACCGCTTTTTTGCAATAATTGTAAACCTAGTCAATCAAACAATTCAAAAGGAAAATCTTGAACTACAAAATGAATCCGACGTCGTCGGTTAGATAATGCAATAACAACAACCACAATTAATGGTCGCCCCTGTTCTTTCAACCACCAACTTATGGGTTACCAATCCCAACTGTTTTCAGAGGTTGATTTATTGCCAATAAATAAACAAATGATGATGAAGAGAGTCGAAGATGAACACAACACGCAAGAGTGTGAGTTTGCTTTCAACAGCGAGAGAAAAACTTTTTCTTTTAAACAAAGGATCCCAACCTTATATGCACTCTGCTCGCGGCTCGGGACAAGTCTTGAAGGTGAAAATGTATGTCGCATGGCAAGATTCTCACCTTGACTCACTACATGGGTTGATGGGATATCTCTGAATAAAAGAAATCAACATCTTGGAGGTGGAGATCTTACATGGCTCTAGTCTCCGTTGATCAAGTGTGGTGATGAAGTATGGCGACTTGAAGGTGTGAATGGAAGTGTCAGGTTCGGTGATTTATTAAGTGCACTATTAAAAGAACCTCCGCTTGACATTAGAGATACCAAACTAGTTAAACAAGTCAATATTTAATACTGTATATGAGTGTAACATTTTACTCCAAACACCACAAAGTGTTTACTTTTATATAGCGTTTGAACCTAATTCCACCTGTTTTTATGGGCAAAACATTATACTCAAAAGAGCACTCTTGAACCAAACGCTTGAGATGCACCTTTTAGGTTGCAAGTCTTTTACACTATTACTCTCGAGATGATGAATTTTTGCTTGTTGTTGTTGTCATTGTCATTGTCACAACATCACCTTCATGTGCAATTCGATCCATAAAGTTCGACAGTGGTCTCGCAAATTCCACATCACTAAATCCCATATGATTTTCAAGGAACTTCTTCCAATATTCCTCACTCAACAATTCTCTCCTACTTGGCAATGGATTATAAATGTCAATATCGAAGGGACTTGTATTGGCCAATTTCGTCTTCATTTCTTCCAATCGTTTTTGCAAAATCAACTCAATGCCATTGTCCAAATGAAGTTCTTTCGTGACCGTTCTGAATTGACAAACGGCAACTCTTTCCTTCACCTTATTCATTGTTTCCTGTCCAAGTTCTTCCAACGTTGGACTTCGATAGAAATCAAGAGAATTTCTACGTTGATTGTACTTTTCAACGACCATACTTGTTGGTCTTTCTAATGCTGACATGTTTCTTCGTCTTCCAAAGAATCCACTTTTCTTTTGAGGTTGTGGTGGAGGTGTTTCTTGTGGTTTCTTCTTATTGGCTCTGCATTTTCGATGCATGCGTTCGAGTTCTTTTTCCATTTCTGACAATTCTCTTAAGAGTATTTTCAAAATCACAGACTCACATCCAAGATTTCCAATTTGAGGATCATTCAATAATTCCTCTTCGGTAATGTATTCTCGTTTACAACTCTCTGACAACAAGAGAGACAAACGAAAAACTTCCAAATTAATCGAATTCAATTCTTGTTTGACAATTTTCAAATCTGTCTCTGTTGTGGGTGATAAGCCTGTTGAGTTGACAATTGAAATTTGAGCCAACACGTAGGACACATTTTGAATTTGATGAGGACGAGCTCTCTCAATCAAGACATCCAATAATGCTCTCAGACGTTTACAATTCGAGTAAACGATGACTTTACGCATCTCAAAATCTTGCAAGAGTTCCTTTTTTCTCTCTTCATTGGTTTTTCGGGCGACATAACTCGCTTTTGGTGTAAACACCATGTCATTGATGTTGGAGGGAAGGGAACTTGGAACTCCATTGGGGTTGCTAAAACCATTTCCATTTTGAATGTTGTTCACATTTCGATGGGCATGTTCAGGCGCTGTGGCCACCGAACAAGACCGTTTGGTTCTTCTCGAAGAAGAAGAAGAAGAGGCACTCGACATGACTGCTTGCCCAAAAGTCCATGCACCTTGAGGTGAAGAACCGAAATTCGGTGTTTGGATGCTCATTGGAACACCACTCACTGCTTGAACAGCTGCGACATGATCATTTTGTTCTTGATGATCACGAGGAGAGATTGGAAGAGATGAAATGAATGGAGGATAGGGTTGTTGAGATGGTAATTGTGGTGAAGTGGTGGAAGAGTTTGTTGTTGATGATGATGATGATGATTTGAGGAAGGGAATAAGATTTTTCAAAACCATATTCTGTGAATTTGAATACAAGAACGAGAAGGAATTGGTATGAATGTGATGGCTTGATTGGTGGCAGTTGATGCTTAGAGGAGAAATGATAAATTTTTTACAGCTGCAAGTTGTTGTAAAAGCAAGGACCAATGATTGCTCTTTTTTTCAGACTGAGAACTGTAAACATCTTTTGACGTCTGTCAGTTGTCATCTCCTGTTGCTTTTACCTTCAGACGTGAATGACACTATCTCGTCCCAAAATTAATAAAACCTAATTGAGAGACGTGTATGAGTTGTTTAAGGAGATGAAACTATCTCTTGTGGGGCATGACAATTCGATAGTTAAGAGCCAAGTCACACTTGAGGTTGGGACTTGTCAGAGATTTCCGAAATTGTATTATTTCAATAAGAGCTTGTTACCAATAGGTCTAATTAGTTGTCGTGGTTTTCATGCCACTTGTCATCAATAAACAGAACCTGTCCGGGATAAGAAAATCGTTGATGAAAGAACGTATTAGTTTTGAATAATTTAAAAAAATAGGATGACATTAAATTCCAAACATCATTTGATTATTGTCCGAATTTTCAAAAGAGTCATCAACAAATGCTGCAAAAGAATCATCACATCACCTCTTCATCATTGATTGGCAAAAGAACAAGAGAAGATTCAAGATCCATCATCACGAGCAATCCTTCTTCCCATCATGAATGGTGGAGAATTCTTCGTGTTCATCCTCCGAATCATCATGATGGTCATACCAATCATCCTCCGAATCATCATGATGGTCATACCAATCATCCTCCGAATCATCATGATCATTTTCCACCACCACTCGAAAGAGAACAAGACATTGAACAAGAAATTGAAGAATTTAAGGTCGAACATTGTGAGAAAGCCTTAACTCTCTTCCGGAGAAGTCTCTCCAAACATCAAGCCACCTTACAGAAATACCAACAACAAGATCAACAACAACAACAACAACCATTCAGGATGAAAAACAAAGAAGCTTCTTCTATCTCCTACTTTTCTGTTCAAGAGCAAGAACCAAAACAAGAAACACCTCCTTCTCTTCCTTCTGCTCGTGTAAAGAAGGAAAACAACAACAACAACAACAACAACAACCACCTCTTTGTACGACCTGGAACTCATCATCACCACCTCAAGAATACTCTCGCACTCACTGTATTCTCATCGGATTTATTTAAATTACAATATACACATTTTGAATATTTGAAGAGTAATCGAATGGGAACGGAACAAGCAGTGGTTACATTTCTACCCTTTATAAAGATGATGAATTTTCTGTTGATTATGGAGAGTATGAAAAGTATTTTGATGATTTAAGCTTTGTTGAGAATCAGAATAATAAGGCCAAGAAGAGTGAATACAACATGTTTTCAAGATATTATTTAGAAATCATGTCGGAAACAGTGTACAGAAGTATGGCGGATAAGATGTACGATCGTTATGGAGATGATGAAATGGTTTGGAACAAGATGGTACAAGATTTTATGAAGGAATATGAGAATGAATATGGATCGTTATTTCTCCACGTCATGAATAAGGAACAGGAGAGTGAGAAGAAGTATTTAAAACTCTAAATGTTCATCATGCTCAATCAACACATTTCAAATTATAGCCTCTTTAAACGTGAGAGAGCACAAAAAACACAAGAATGGTGAGTCATACATGATTTTGGAAGTGAAATAATTAAGTGAAATTTGAATGTTAAATTTTTATTGGATCTGTGTTTGTTTGAAATGTTAACTGAATCTCACAATTCTTGTGAAATTGATCATATATCTCATGAATAGTGAAGGATCTTTAGAAACCATGTGGATCACTACAGCGAAATCACTTTGTTTCAAATGCATGCGATTCGATTGTCCCATTCACATGATCGAATACAAGGCCTGTGTGAGAGATCCTGCCGATAAAAGAGTTGTTTTGAAATTTAATGACAAGGAAATTATTGAAAGAATACTCGACAAGCTATTCAAAAAACAGCATGAATTGATAGAGAGCAAACAAATAACTCTCATTCCGTGTTGTGAACATGAAAATAAGTGTCATGTCTATTATTATACGCAGCAGTGGTCCTCAACATCATCGATGAAGGTAGCAAGTTATAATGATTGGACTGAAATTGATAAGGAACTCGCTCTAAATAGCATTTACATTTATGGAGAACAAATTATGGGCATTCTAAATGGCTCACAAACATCATTACACAAGAATATTTGTCAACAACCCATTCGAGATGTTTTTTGCCAAATTTCGAGACATCACCGAAAACCATGCAGTGAAATTGCACAATTTTTAAAAGATTGGTTCTACAAGAATTCACTCTTGAAACAACACGTGGCAATGACGACACGTGACAACTCCACCATTCCATTAGAAAAACTTCCAACACTGAGGAGGATGGCACCCTCATTTCTAAGCCCTCAGGAACAAGCGCTTCTCACTATACAGACTCCAAAGCGAGTCTCTGATAGGACTGTTATATGCAACAGAAATCAACCTGTCATTTACAACCCATGTCAATGTGCACTGCTGAATGTGAGTGAATGCACGTGTGTGAAAAATGGAACCTATTGCACCAAGCTTTGTCACTGTTTCACAACAGACAATATGTTTCACAAAGTTTACAAGGACATGCCATGTCCAGGTGGAAAAAAGTGTTGGTGTAAAATATTTAGTAGAACATGTAGTGACCAATGTGGAAGAAAATGTCACCCATATCAGTTTACGAAAAAGTTTTTCAAAAAGTGTGCTGTTGGCCTCAGTCAAATCAATGGATTAGGTTTATTTACGTTGGAGGACATTGAAACAGGCTCTCTCATCATGGAATATGTTGGAGAGTTGGTATCGTACGATGAGTTAAATCGAAGAGACATTTTATGTAAGGTTTTCCAATCGTGTTACGTTTTTGACCTTAAACAGGGACTAGGAGTGGATGCATATAGAAAGGGAAATGAATCAAGATTTGTGAATGGTGCAGATAGACCTGTAAAGTTCAAAGGTGCAAAGAATAACTGCATGCCCAAAGTGGTATTTGATTCAGAAATGCATGACTATAGAATTGGAATTTTTGCTCTTGAGAAAATTAAGGATCCGAATTGTTGTTTTCTTATGGCGACAATTTCTGGGATTCCATGTTAGATTAGGATGACCAGCGAGACTGGGATGAAAAGAAAATATATAGCTTAGCTCGAGCACCAGATGTGGAAAAGATTTAGGAAAAGTCAAGAAATCTAAAGGTCAAGAATTCTTGTAATTAAGGCACTTTGGCTTCATTTTGCTTGTGTGACAATGTAATTCATAATTATTGATTTCAATAATTATTTTAATTGATACAATGTATACATTTTTTACATTCTTACTTCTTTTCTTCGTCTTTCTTCTTTTTCAAAACCTCATCCGAATTGACATTCTTTCCTAAGCCACCAACCAAATCTTGCATGAATTCTTGGTCTTCGACAATGTCCTCAATATTTTCATCCTTCTTCTTGTTTTGAGCTTCGTCAATAGACATCTTTAAAGCTTGTTGTAATTCATCGTCCTCATCGACCATTCCTGCTTCTTGTTTTGAGAGAAGGAGAGCCTTTTCGAGAGCGTCATCGTCGTCCATATCCACATCTTCATCCTCTTGAGGAGGAGCTGTTGTGGGAACGGCTTGTGTCGATGTGCCTGCTGTGCTACTAGTTTCAGCTGTTGTACTTGACGATGATGCTGTTCCTGTTTCTGGTTGAGTTGTTGCTGACGATGATGCTGATGCTTGCTTCTCTCGTTCTTGTCGTCTTTTTTCTTCTTCTAAAGAGAGACGAATAGCCATAGCCAATTCGGGATCGAGGTTTGGATCCACACCAAAGTCAAATTCACCACCTCCAGCACCTGCTTCTCCTGTGCCGACTCCAGCACCTCCTGTCGCAGCACCCACTCCAGCACCTCCCATTCCAACAATTGGAGATGAGAACAACATATCGGAGAGAATGTGTGGTCCAGGAGGAACGGTCTCCATTCTTGAATTATCATCTCTATTGACTGCATTAATAAAAGCTTCTAATTTTGCTGTGTTTTCTTGAACCTCTCCAAAATTAATTACATCACACGCCACATTATTCTTTTTCATACGTAATCCCAACTTTACCAAATCGTCCTTATTTTCCTCAATCGGACTACCCACAAAGATGACCAATCTTCTGTTGGGTGTTCCCTGATCAGGTGCTCTATTCTTCAATACCAGATACGCTATTTGAAGAGCTTTAGAAAATTGTAATTTTCCTCCAATTTCTACTGATGATAAGCTTGAAAGGAGTTTGCCAAGATCGGTGGTTGGAGCAACTTTAACGGATGGATTCTCTTCAGCCATGGTAAGAACACCGATGGTTGTTTCGGGATTACTTTGTGTTTTGCTTCCACAAATCAAGTTAGCGGCTTCAACTTGAGCACCCAATCTGGATGGAGCATAATCTCCATTTCTCATCCATTCAGAATTATCAATACAGATCATACACTGTTCTTTCATTTTGTGTATTATTGTGTTGTATTATAATATTGTGTTGGTGATGTACAAAAATTAATTGATCGATCCGAGATGCTGATGATGATGATGGATGCAAGCAATGTTCAAACAACAATTAATTGTGGAGGTGAAACACAGATCAAAAGATGTTCCAATTTTTTTTTAAAAGTTTATTTTTATCGCTCTTTTCCTTTGACCTCAATCAGTTGAATGAATACCAATAATTTATTTATTTGAAAAAAAAATAAGTTACAACAAATTTTCTCTTGTAAGGGTGCTTGGCTTTGAATAGAAACTTGGAAAGCCTTATACTTCATTGCTAAAGATCATCATAAGGGCGCAAGAAACATGGAACAAATCATTCAACAAATTCAACGCCTGGAAAATGCCAATCGAGAGGAAGAAGAAAAGATTGAGAAGGAACGATTGAATCATCAGGAAACTCAACGTTTAAGGGACAAGACTCTGAGAGAGATGGAGGAAGTTGAGAAGAGAAATCAAGCCTTATCTGAGTCTATTCTTCAATTTGAAGTAAATAATGATGGCATTAAAGTTGAGAATCAGAACCTTAAAGCTTTGTTGAAGGAGTCTAAAGGTGTAAGTTGGTTCCTGTTGTTTGTTTCAAACAATTCTTGTAATCTAACTCTTCAAAAAGAGGCTACGTGATTTGCAAACTCAACTTGAGGACATGAAGAAAGAAGTTGATGCTTGCTCCGCTCAGGTCGCTCAAAGGCTTCATCAAATCAATGGAAGCTTATCTGAAAAAGTGAAGAATAATTCCATCAACAATGTCATGAAACAAACGGAGATCCTTAAGAGAAGGCTAACGGAATTGAAGAGAAGAGACGACTTGAGAAAGAAATTAGAACCATCCTTTGAGGCGAGCAAGTTGGATGAAGCAGCCACTCGCTTGGAATCAGAACGAAGCGAAATCCAAAGAGTTTTGGCAGAACAGCAACAAAACGTTGAAGCAAGAAGAATGGAATTGGATAAACTGTTGAATGAGTTCAACGCTAATTCTGAACGATTTAGAGCGCAATGCTCTTCTCAAGAACAACCACAAGGAAGTGATCTCCAAAGCGTAACTCTCGAAGTGAATGTACCCGATAGCATCAGAGAGAGCTTCTTTCAATGCAAGTCCGAGCTCCTGAGTGTCAGAGAAAAACATGCTGAGGAGGATTTAATGGCTACCAACCTCGAACAGAAATTGAATGAAATTCTCAAGAAAACGCAAGAATTGAATGAAGTTCTCAACACCATGTCATGTTCAAAATGTTCTGCCAACATGGCGCTTACCAATGAATAGTAAATGTAGAATAATGAAATAGTAACAGTATGGTAAATCATGAGCATTGTGTCTATACAAAATACAAAGTTTCATTTTCCACACAACAATTGCATGTCCCATCCTTTTCCTGAGTTGTCAAGAATGTGGACATCGAATCACTATGACAAAGATCACCTTCTATTAAATCTCCTTCTGGAATTTCTTCCTGATCGTTGCTTGGCACTTGACTTGATATTATTAAGAGCTTTAGCTTCATCATCTTCTTCTTCTTCATCAATCATTTCGTCATCATTTTCTTGTACCTCTTCTTCTGGCTCTTCTTCTTTTGCTTGTTTTCGCTTCTTGGTTTTGGAAGAGCTACTCTTGCTCTGCTCTTCATCACTACTCTCTTGATTTTCTTGTTCCTCTTCCTCTTCTTCTTCCTCTTGTTGGTCTTTCTTTCGTTTGGTGAACTTTCTTGGCTTGGCTCGTTGCAGGCGAGGTGGTTTTTTCTCTGTTTGTTCTTCTTCTTCCTCTTCCTCCTCCTCTGCTTTTGTTTCTTCGTCTTCAGTCTTTGCATTGTTAACCTTCGATTCTTCAGCATCGTCCATGACAAATTCTGATGGTCCTTCATCTCCACCGACTTGTTCAAAATCTCCAATTAGTTGTGTGAAAATAAATTTCAATTTAGGGTTATTTGGAGGTAAGTTAGCTTTCATCTTTCGAATTTGTTTTAAAAAGTTCTCACATTCAAAAAGTAGATAGTGGTTATTGTTTGGTGGCTCCTTTGTTGCCGTCTGTTGAAGCGAATGATTCGTCAGCAATTTCATGTAATAAAAGTGCATGAGTACATTTTGTGATTGCTCGACAGAAATTTTCTTGGTACTATCTGGTTTGTCCAAACACAACTCTTGTAAAATTGTAATAAAGTGTTTCTCTGTTGTTTCCAATAAAAAGCCATCATTCTTCATGTATTGGCATTGTAAATAATTGTGAAGTAACATGGAGGGGAAGGTAGAAAACTTTTCAAATGGTAGAGTAATAATGTTCTGAATAAATTCATAACTGAATAAAGCCTCGCCATCAGGATTCATGGATGTGACCCTCTGGACCAAGTTTAGCAGTATGTCGAAGTAAATTTCTTGTTGGGGCAGGGTGTTCAAAATGGATGTAATGAAATTGGTAATGTTGAACTTGTAATAAAGCTCTGTGTTTGACTTCTTTGCGTCTTGGTCTTCCTCCGATTGGCAATTGTTCATGCAGTAAAGGGTGTGGTTGTAACAAATTTCATTAGTCAATAGAGTCCAAAACATTTGGTATTCGTAATCGTCAGAGAAATGATCGTTCAAATTTTGAATCATTACAATAGCCTGAGTGATATAGTCCAAATTCGTAATTCCTTGACTTGCTGGTGTCGTGGTACTTGTTGCACCGGGCATAGGCTTCTTTTGTTTGCCTTGAGAGAATAAAATCTTAAGCCTGCCGTTTTGTACAAGAGTATTTACAAGTTGCAGCTCATGAGGATACAATCTGGTAATAATTAATTTGAACATCTCCTCCTTGTTCTTTTGGATGAGATGTGAGAAATCTCTCGATATCAATGGCAGAAGAGTAGTAAATAATAGGTGATTCTCATCCAAACATGAGACCATATCTTTCAAAAAGACTTGTTCAATAGATTGGCCTCCAGAAGAGTCTTGAGCAGATGTTTGTTTTCGCGCACCTAAAGACCATTCATAAAATGTAAAGTATGCATTCTTGTACTTGTAATTTTGACTGTAAATTAATAGATTGAGAAGCGCATCCGTTGAAAGTGGTTTCACGAGCTCCAATTCTTGAATCTTTTCACTGTAAATTTTTGTCACATAGAAGCATAATATTCTATATCCAATAGAAACGTCAGTCTTGCAGGCAAATTTGATAAATTGGGAGAATTTTTCTTTCTTCAACTTTTTGGTTCTGTCAGCTGAAGCCTCACGAGACTGACCACCGGTTAACGTTGGTAAAACTTGCGCACAAACCTTATCCAATAAATGGTAGAGTAGAGTTGTTTGATTTCTCAATAAAGTTTTTTCTAAATGTTGTTTCTCTTCTTCAGCTCTTTCTTTCATAACTGTTTGAACAATGAGAGAGGCGTGTTGATTTGTTTGGGAAGCGAGAGTTTGTGATGATGAGACTTGTGGTTGGAATTCAAAGCTCAGAATTTTGATTAAAAAACTAGCAAAACTATTAGAATCACTAGGTTGTGCCAATGTTGCGTTCGAAAATGCATCAATAAGATCAGAGATGGTTTGTTTGCATAAATTTCTGCTGTCTTCAACCTCTTTTGAATCGGAGGTAGCTGTGTGCAACAATTCAAAGTAGTCGCTGACTTGAGTAGCTAAACTTGTCAAGGCATGTTCGAATTGATCAAGAGCTTTTGATTTGTTGAGAGCATTCTTTAGATATTCCTCAATTGTGTCTCTAATGTTTTTCATTTCAGAATCTTTGGAGCTTGGAGCAGAGAACGGTAATGGCCTAGATGGTGATGTTGGAGACTTAGTTGTGGATGTTGCAAGAGTACGGTTTGGAGATTTAACAGAAACGGCCAGCGATGAAGTCTTACTTTCTCCTGCATTGAATGTAGATGTTGGACCAGCAGTGGGTGAAGGGATTGATGGTGGTACTACGTTGCCTTTAGGAGATATTGAGGTAGGACCTTTGGAAGGAGAGAGAGTTGGAGATTTGTTGGTACTTGAATTTGCGGATGCAGCGTCTGGAATGGTAAGTGGTGTGACAGAGATTGGAGGGACTGAGGAAGTTTGTACATGAGATGCATCCTTTTGTGGCAAAAGATACCTCTTAACCTTTTCTTTTCTTTCATTGTCAATCTTTTCATAGACCACATTGATGGCGTTATTTCCCACATCCATAAGCTTTTGTGTACATGTTTGAAGAGAATTGATGACATGCTGTCTTGAAACGTTCAAGTATGGCTCTTGTCGTTCTACGAAATTAAAAATAAAGTCCAAAAGTGCATTGGTGACATCAGTATATTTTCCAATACTGTTTGTCATTAAAAACACAACAGGTAGAATACTATTTCGCAGCAAGTCTTCGTTAATCTCAGAAGAAATCGTGAATAACATGTCATACACAATACAAAGCTTTGCATTCTCAAGAATTTGAGGATTCTTGATTGATTTAAATAGCCAACCTAATATTGCCCATCTTGGATTTGCCTCATGTGGTGGATGATACACACAATTAATGTAACGAATCAGGTCCGGTATGACAGCCTCACTTTCAGGTGTTGTGAAGAATTTTTGGGCAAACCATGTTTGATACCTTCGTTGATTTCCCATCTTGACGTTACTTATTAAAAATGATATTTGAGTGAACATGTCATGGTTAATTCGAGAGTCTAAAATACGCGAGGAAGAGGGAGTACCAAGAATTTTCTGGAAATAAACAACCTCTTGTTGAAATATGAGTTTCTCTAAAGTTTCGCTAATTTTGTACTTCTTCACAATATTGTAAAGAACTCTTACTAAATCTCTTCCCATCGATTGGATAGCGTCTTTAGAAATGTTATCTCGAATGATGTCTTCAACAAGTTGTAGTTGCTTTTTCATTAAAATTTCTAAACCTTGTCGGTCCATGTTGAGAATTTTGATATCCTCAATCATTCGTAAAAAGCTGTACAGTACTCGAACTAGAACTTTAGGGTTTGAATAAATCCACTCCTTATTTTGAAAGCATATGTCAAGAATTTGTTCCACAAGAACCATATTTTTCTTACTAAAGTCACATGTTTTCATATTTTTGATGAGTGCAATAAAAGGTGCTTCAAATTGATCGCTGAATTTGATAGATTCAGCCAAAAACATTCCGAGTTTTTCTGCTGCAGGCTCTTGAAGCTTTGAGAATTTTGTCTCCACAAACTTTTTCAATTCTTCTGTGATTCCCTTAAAATCGTTGACAAGGTGGTTAAATATTTTGGTATATATCATTAATTGTGATGGATCTTCGCTTGTAAGAGAAGCATAAAACAATCCAAATGTGGGTACCCTGCTGTTGGGTGGATAATTCTTCTCTTGGATTCTACTTATTATAATATTTTCCTCTTTTCGTATACTCATCAATTGAATGTCTTCACACAGAATGGAGAAATTCTGATGTAAAGATTTGTCCCATTCATCCTGTACATCAAGAGGAATGGTTGTCATAATAGCACTCGTATACGAGACTGGCTGAGGTTGGAGTACTACATTCTGAGAACGGCTTGAGTTTTGGTGCGGAGAGAGTCTAGGTGAAACCATGGAACCTGGAGTGTTCATCGGAGCACTCTTCTGAAAAGGATTGGAAGGGGTGTTCATTTCAAGGATTAGATGATGAGAGGGAGGGAATTGGATATTATATTGTTGTTGTGAGCAGGTTGGACAACAATTTGCGAGGAGTTGATCTGTTGTGTTGCCGATTGAGTGAAGATGGTGAAAATATTCTCAGTAATATTCAATAACGTATATAAGTGTCCAGTGGAGAAAGGGAAAGGCAAATAATACCCGTTGGTTTTCTACTGTTGCTTGAAACAAAATAATAATAACGCTCACGGGATGATCAAGGTTGAATCAACACAAAAACACAACAATTTGTTGTTGTTATGGACTCTTGATGATGATTGTGGTTTTTTTGTTGTTGTAAAAATGCCTTTCTTTTGATAATAATAAAATTACTATGACACTCTTGATTTTGAATAAAAAAAATTTTATTTCTCTTCTCCAAACTTAAAATTCAGTCAGCCGTAAAGAAAGAGAACTAGTTTTTTGTTGTTCATAATTTGTCAAACCGGTTTTTTGTTGTTGTTGTTGATTATCAAACAAGATGGTTAGAGAGATGACTATTTACAAATGGACGACTCAATGAAGAAATCAACCAATTATAATTATAATTTAACTCAAGTATCTCTTGCATTAAATGCACAAGATGGGAACCCTTGACATTTAAGAATATTTACAGATAACTCTCGTCTTTTTTAGTGGATATTCTCCCATGTACAAAAGAGAGAATTACAAGAATGACAACTAGAGCAATGCTCATCGAAATCCTGTACTTCACTACTTTGAAAATTCCACCAACACGAACGGGAAATCATCTCCTTTCCTGTCACTTGATGTACAACAACCTTCCATAACAATAAAAATCAAAGTATCAATGATCAGAGAGAGAACGCTGCAAAATCTCTCTCTCCTTCCAAGCAGATTTAACGAACAACAAAAAACCATTCCACCACACACACCGGACACACGGATATCTAATTGTTGTTCTTCTTCTTCTTTGTTTATTATTGCTAGTGTGTTTCATTATTGATATCAACTCTCATTCACGACCAATATCTTTCATATCTTCACTCATATCTTCTAGACCCCAAATGTCCTCTCTTGGAAGTAAATCATCCCCTTACCGTCATGAAGGTTTTCTTCTTTCCTCCTCGCTCCAACACCAACAACAACGTGTTTCCACCCTCTCTCCGAATAGGGATATCATGGTTGAGATGCCACCACCACCAACAACAACAACAACAGAACATCAACAACAACATTCAGAAAACCACTCCTCCCTTACACCTACCATCTCCATTGCTCGATCTCCTCCCGGTAGCAGACGCAACCACTCCATGATTGCATCCACAACCAATCCTTCTCTGACTTCATCATCTTCGTCATCTTCCAACCACCAACACCACCACCAGAACAACCCTAACAACCACACCAACATGGAATCCTCTTGCTCCTCTCCCAAAACCAACAATAAGCACAGTCTGAGTGTTGCTCTTCCTCAATCACCTCTCTTTGAACCCTCAGAATTCTCCAAGATGAGTCTCAAAGAACAAGCCTTGTATCGAAACGCTGCCAAACAACAACAACAACAATTGATTCAGAATGGTTTCATGATGACGACGACGAGTACAAGTACGGCCATGAATCCTCATCATCAGAATTCATCTCCTGCGGATCCAGTGGTTGCAAGTAGTCCCACCAATAGTCCCAACATGAATCAACATTTCATTACCACCACCAATGCTACTAATGCTTCACAACAGAATACCTCTCTCTCTCTCCAACAGAAAGTTGAGAGAAAACTATTCCACTTTCAAGAACCTAGTCATACTGGGATGGATTCTTATTCACATCATCCTCCAACTACTGCTGGTTGCTCCAAAATACTACTACTGCATTGTATGGGATTGAGAGTACGAACCATAACAGCTCTCTTCATTACCTCAGCCATTATTGTGGCATTGTGTGCATTGGGTCTTTCCTTATCCTTTGAATTCTCATTTAGTGATGTCGAGAGATTGAGTGCCATCGATGCTGTTCGAAAGACATCAAAAGCTCTTCGAGACGACTACAAAATTATTTTGGGAAAATTGTACGAATATGCAGCATGGGATGATGTGTATTATAGTGTGAATTCACAAAGTGTTGCTTCTGCAGATAATTTATTGAATACCTACTTTTCGTGTGATTACATGAATAAGATTAATTTGCATTATGTCACCATGTATTTCAAGAATGGAACTTTCTTTAGGGGAACGTTGTGTTATTCTGGATATACTTTGACAGCATTTCCAGACGAGTTGATTCATTTAGATCCCTTCTTTTTTCAAGGTATCAATGTTCCAGACACGAGAATTAGTTCTTTTTTCATTCCAAAGGTTTCCATACAATCATTATTTGAACGAAGTGGATTAGTGGTTCCTTCCTACACGTTCGATAATCATTCCAATGCATTAATGGTTACAGCTCAGCCCATTCAACCGACAGATAACTCTGCCACAAATGGTCTTTTAATATTTGCTAGATATTTAACAAAGACAGTGGTCAATGAAATTGCTCAACGCACACAACTTTGTACCACGATTTTCGATTTGAACAATTCCAATGACGTGAGTGAGCTTGGATCCTATTTCCATCTTGTAGACACCTCAAATTCCACATTGAGAGACTATTTGTCCACAAAAACCTATTCGAATATTTCAATCAGTGATTCGTGGACTTTGGATGAACCATTTCAGATTGCTCCACATTCGATCCAATCATCCAAGAAGAGATTGTGCTACAAGGATGATTTAAATGTTCCACATCTTTCTTCCTACAAACTTTTTAATGATTTCAAAGGAGAACCATCCATGATTATTAGAACAGATTTTCAAAGAGATTTGTATCAATTAGGATGGTCCACCTTTGCGTATACAAGTATTACAATTGTAGCACTCGTAGTGGTAATGACTGTGGTCGTACTCGTCTTTGTCGAATTGGTTGTATTGCAACGAGTGTTAAAAATTGGAAACTTTGTCAAACGCATCACCCAAGACAATGACACGAGTAAGAGAATTCCAGAACTTGGCAAAGACGAGTTAGGAAAGCTCTCTAGAGACATTAATCGCATGTTACAAGCGCTGGAAACATCACATGCCACACAGTTGAAAGATTATGAATTGATGCAAACTTTGTTAGAAAGAACTGCCCTGGAAGAGGAACAAAATCGTTGTATTATGAATAGTATTCAAGATTTCGTAGTGAATGTTGAGTGCGCGACTGGAAAAGTCATCAACATGAATACTTCATTTGAGAAAGCTCTCCATTCGAAATTTAAGAGAGAATCCATCCATGGCTCCATATTTGTCAATGATTTCATGAAGGAATTTGGAGAGTTGAAACAAGCACTGGAAAAGATTGAACAACTCTCCATCACACAAGAGTCCTATGAAACTGAGTTCACAACGACATTGGGTGCTAAATACCCAGTGAGTTTGACAGTGAAAAAAACAAAAATGACCTTGCGAGAGGGTGTCATTGGTTTTACCTATATTATGGTCATGAAAAACTTGAAGGAAAGAGTGGAATTGCAAACCATACTTTCTCGACAACAGGAGCAGTTTGAAGAAATTCAAAAAATTCAACAATTCGATCAGGTCATGGCCGATGAAGAATTGCGATCAAGATTTAAGGAATTTACAATCCAGGAGAGAAGCTCTGAAAATTTCCTCTTCCTCGAGGATGTTGAATATTACAAGTCACTTTCCAAGTCCACAGATAGAGCCAAACTGCAGCAAGAAATTATTCTCAAGTATTTATTACCTGACTCACCTCAACCACTCAACATTTCACAAAAGATCCTCCAAGCAGAGAACAAGAAAATACTTTCTGGTTATGGTCAACTCGGTTTATTTGATCGTCTGGAAACGTATGTGAAATCCATGGTATTGGATGATACTTTTCGAAGATTTATGGAACAAGAACAACACAAGTCATCGTCTCATCAATGTTGTAGTTGTTATGATATATAATATTTAAAAAAAACGTATATTTGTGAGTTGAGAAATTGCTGGAGAAAAACACTCTAATGGAAGCACTCTGTTCAAGCAGAAAGCCTTCTTGTTTCGAGAATGTGTGTGACATTCTGTATCCGAAAAAAGCAAAATTGATGCATAAGAAGCAAGGTGGTGGTGGCGACACATTAAAACTTTGTGTTCTAGCTAACCTTTTTTAAATCTATATTGTTGGTATTGGAAAATGACAGAAACTAATTGCCAAAATGAAAATTCAGGCCAGTAAAGACTTGAAATGTAAATCATGGATTTCTCAGATTGCCAAGTCAGAAAATCTGATAATCTCATCTCTCCACTCGTACGAATGACAATATCTGGCTCACTTTTCGTTAGAAAATATTTGTCCAATAGTTGGAAATCCTCTCGAATCGTGGACAAAAGACTACTACTCGAATCCTGAGCGGCTGCATCTTCAAAATTGCCCGTTGCAGTGTTAACACTAGTTGTTGTTGATGGTGATGGTGATTGCGATATCACAAGTGTTTCAGAGAAAGGTGATGCAAATGGTGACTGCTGTTTCACATGATTGGAATTTTTCAATTTTTCTGAAATGTAGTTTGTCATTGCATTCTCAATTTCAAATGTTGACGTGTAGGGACAGCATAAATTTAAAATCAATGCATCGTCTCCATACTTGCTATTCACTTGCTTGGAATAATCAATTGCTTTCTGAGCACTCTCCTGTACATATTTTGGAAATAATTTAAAATCTCCCAAAACTCTCAAAATGACTCGATATCTATGAATGAATGATTTCTTTTTTGTGACCATGTCTTTAAACCTCCGATCCATTAAATCCATAATATTGTCCACTTCATGTTTATCTCTTTTAAAATTATCAATAGAAAATGCATAAACTGTAACCGTCTTGACTCCTAACATTTCACACCAATTCAAACACTGTTTCAGTTTCTTGTATCCGGACCGATGTCCTTCTTTTATGGGAATGTTTTTCTCTCGGGCCCATCGTCTATTTCCATCCATAATGAAGGCAATATGCCTCGGAAGAAGTCGATTTGTTTTTGGGTCATACCGTAATATCCTGACAATGAATGTAATGATTAATTCATACATGTAAGTGAGAAATGAATACATGATTTGAAGTAAGCCTTTTTTCTTATTCATCCTCTTGCTTTCCGAAATGTTGGAAAATTCCATCCTTGCCTCATCATGATGATGATGATGATACTCATTGAAGGGTGGTGGTGATACTGATGAAGAAACAATTGTTTTCATTGTTTTCTTCTTCTTCTTCTCAAAGAATCTCAGAGTTCAGAATATAATGATGATGACGATGATGATGAATTCCTTCAAGAAGAGAGAAAAATTTTGAATTTTTTCGTTTCGTTTCGGGAATAATATGAGAACGTGGATGTTGTTGTTGTTGTTGTTGTGAATTGAAAATCTCCTCTCTCTCATCGATCGCGATCACACACACACGTGTACGTAAACTTTATGGAACACGTGGTATTGGTGGTGGTCACATCTATGGATCATATTTTGCTGTAGGTGCGCATCAATCTCCTTCATTTTCTTCTTCTTTACTGTTCATCAACAAGGAAATGGTCATTTTCTTCTTAATAGAACAAAGAAAGATATTCATTACATTGTTCGAGCTCGACTGTATTGTTAGTACTCCTATTATATCTTATTGGGACGATCTATTGAAGGTTTCGACACAACACAATATGATCCATTTGTCGTGATCAAAGTGCCACGTGGCAACAAGGAATTTCCACTCTCAACAAAATTCTTTGCCTCTTCAAAAACAGAATTCACAACGACCTGTGAATGGCTTTAATACTGGAAGCGCCATCATCATTGAGCATCAACATCATCAAAAAAAACCTTCCAGAGTTGATTTCACGCTCTCACGTCCTATTGTGTGTTGCAATTCGAAACCTTTCCAATTAAACTTTCAAAACACCGCCCAATACTATTCGATCACGGCAGAAAGTCGTCACCTTTAAAGAGTATTCACTTATTGACTTCTGACAAGGATTTAATTTCTCTAATCACGTTTTCACCCCAACTGTGCAAAAAAAAAAGAAGACACACTTCTTCCAATCCATTGAAGTTGGAACTCGTTTCAAATCTGTAACATCTCTCCTCTAAGGAATTCCCTTCCCACAGAAACAATTGTTCGTGCTCATCATTGAGAAAAACTCCTATTCTTTTTTTAAATTCGTGGTGGTTCTTTGGCCAAAAATAGAAATTCCCAACGCCCAAAAAATTTTTCTTTGAGACTTCCTTAACCGCATCAACCGTCATTACAACGCACTCCAACAGCAAAAAAAAAATGCACACGTGTTCTATTTATAACAAACATGATTTTTCGATGAAAAATAACGAACGTGCTCTCGTGATTCAAAGAAGGACGACGACGCCACTGATGTTGCTGCAACGAAGAAGGGAAAGTGAAAACTTGATCTCCACCAATCATGATGATGATGATTTTTATGAAGAACAAGAACAAAGGATTTTTACTTCACCACTGTCGATCGTGGTCACCAACTCTGGTTTGACTGAACAAAAACAACCAACATTTCCAGAACCAATGTCCGCTCTCACGTTGGGTGGTTGGATTCATGATTTTGATGTGGTGAACATGAATGACACTGAATCATGTGGTAAACGAAAGAGAAATGATGATTTGTTTGAATATGATGAAGAAAACATGTCATTTTTCGATTACAAGGATGAAGAAATTGATGAAGATTGGGAATGCTTATTTGAAGAACAGCAAACAAAAAAGATGAAAATAGAACAAATGATCTCGACACAATATGAAATTGCAAATGACGTTTGGACTTTTAATATTTTCGTATTTTTGGAATGGGACGAGTTGTTTGCATTGAGACGAGTGTGTAAAAATTGGTACAGCATTATCAAACATGTACCAGCCAAATTGACAGCATGTATGCACAATCCAACATATTTTCGAGGCTTTTTGGAAAACTTGAATCCATATTACCATAATTTGACAGAAATCACATTGATGAAGTACGATGTTACGAAAATTCGATGTCACAGATTAAGAAATGCTGCAAGAATCATATTTTTAAGTCAACCCAATCTACAAAAATTAGATTTACAATCAGGTTGTAAAATTGGACGAGAAGAAGCTCAATCATTGACACTTGTTACCAAACCTCATTTGAAGGAAATTCTCATACCAAACAATGAAGTCGATGACACGATATGCGAACTCATATGTAATGGGAACACTCCTGCCATTGAATATGCCGATCTGTCCATGAATTTCTTATCAAGCAGTTCATGTGAATTTATTTCACGATGGAAGCATTTGAAATACTTGGATTTATCTTACAACTTGCTTAGTCCATTGGCCTGTCAATTTCTATCGAGCTTGTCCGAATTGACCGAACTAAAACTTGCTGGTTGCGGCATTGGTGACCAAGGTTGTGAATATTTAAGCAGAACACCAGATCAATTATCACAACTTTCCAAATTAGACGTCTCATCGAACGAAATCACGGCTCTTGGTTGCAAGCATCTATCCAAACTCACATCTATTACATGGCTCGATATTTCATTCAACACCATCACTCACGAGGGAATTACTCATTTGGGAGGAATGACACAACTCATTGCTCTTCATGCAGCAGATACCTCTCTGGGAGCATCAGGAGTAGCTGCACTCTCTAGAATTGACGCCCTTCGCAATAATTTAACAGAGCTCAACTTGACTAAGAATAATATTTGCAACGAAGGATGTGAATATTTCAAAAACTTTAACAAGTTGAAAGTGCTTCGATTGGGTCTCAATAGAATTGGGCAGTTGGGATGCAAACATTTATCAGAAATTACTTTTAATGACCTTCAACTTCTTGATTTGCATTACAATTCCATAGGAGTCAAAGGAACATGCTTTTTATCACGAAATAGCTTTCCAAGTCTTCGAGAGTTGAATATTTGCAGTAATAGCATCCACAATCCTCAATGTCCTTGTTTCAAGAATGCTGCCTTTCCAAATCTTCAGTCGCTGTACATTAATGGAAACAATATTACAGAAACATATTTGAATGACATCAAACAAACACATCCTCAACTTAAAACAGACGTCCAGATTTCGCAAGAAGTGTTTAACTTTAATCCTCGAACGTACTTCACAAACAAAACAGAAAGGGGTGCTCATCCAGTGCGGTAAGACAGTGGAAATGATCACTGCAATAACCGATCACTCGAAACAGCAAAACAATATCTGGTTTTGGTTGACGAACGTTGAGAGATGAACGAATTGTGAATCAAACAATGAAAGAAAACCGAAATTGCTTTGTTTATGTTTTTTCCACCATTTTTGATATCACAATTCAACAAGCTTCGAATGTCATTCAAAAATCTTCAAAGAAGGGCCTTAAGAATTGAAGGCATTTAATAAAGTACACAGAACCAATCAATTGAGTCCATTTCTAACTTCAATTATTGCTTCAAGAGGAGACGTCAATAGCACAACGTCTTCTGTTTGCTCATCACAGCAAGCCACAGAAACCTTAAAGGTTCCTCTCTCTAAAAAGAATACTTTCAGAGTGACTCTGACCACATTGGAGTGAACCAACTCAATACATGAATTCAAGTTTCCAGAATAACAAAACTGTCTATTAGTGGCAACAATCCTTGAGCCGTTTTCAGCATCCTGATAAATATTAAATATTAAACTTGCAATCTTGTTAAAGGCCTCTTGATTTGGATTTGTAGAACTCAATGTAATGGAGGCAGTAAATTCAATTTCTTCTGCAATGGATACTTGCACAGGTTGTTGATCGATGGCAAGCTCTTTGTGAGAAATCGTGTGTTGATTATTTACAATTGCTGTCAATTCTTGTTTCACATTGATGAGATCATTCATGGTTGAGGGAATAGAAGTTTCAGTGGTTTGTTTTCTCATTTGAGTTTTATCCTTTGACGATTGCTTGACTTCATCATTTTCTTTACATCCAACAACACCTTGTGTATTCACATACTATGTGATTGTTGTAGAATATGATTCAATGAAATTGATAATCAATAAAACAGCAACAAAATCAATGTAACTCACAAAAGACCATTCCTACTACTTACAGATTTCCATCTCATGGCTTGAGCAATAATTCCTTTGTATTGATTAATGTCAGCAGTATATGGAATATTGAGCTGTTCGAAATTAATGTTGTGCAAAATGGAGGGATCTACTAGAATCATCTTGGTGGATTGAGCTCCAAATGGAATTCCAGTATCAAATTGTTCATCCATTAAATATTGTGTCAAACTGGAGAGTAGCATGAATGAAGAGTTGGAATAATTATGAATTTTGGCAACAATTTTCTTGTTGAATGTTTCATTCACAGTGATGCAATCTTCAACGACCAGAGCTCGTAATACTGTTGTTTTGATAGATAGATCAATTTCTCTATAGTATGCCTTCTCATATTGGTCACCTTCAATTCCATATTTAATATGAATGTTGATAATGCCAATGTCACTAGATCCTTTCCAATATCCAACAACTTCAATAGGTATGGTCACGACATCACCATCAGGAAGTAGAGGTAAATACTTCTTCACAATTTCGTCCTTAATAGATACAGAATTGGAGGTTTGATTATTGAATGTAATCTCAAGGAATGTAATTTCACAATTTCCGGTATTATGTAACTTGGCAAATAATGTTGTTGTTTCACCCTCGACAAGAGATAATTGTGGAGTCGAGAGTGTAACATTCAGCAGTGGCACTGTTTCAATCACGTCAATCTCATAAGATCTCTTTTCTTTCTTTTCATTGACTAGATGTTGAGAAGCTATGGGTATGTAGATTGGAGATTTAAATCTTCCGTCTTCGAATTCAATTCCCACAGCGTCCAACAGTATTCTTCCAACATGTCTTGGTTTTGTGGCAATTACAACTTTGTGAGTCATGCCACTCAGAACAAGACATGAATGAACAAATACATCACAAATTGGTTCTGAACTATCTAAACCTCCAATAGGTTCCATTTCTGGCTTAAACCGAACCGATACATTTTTCAAACGTAAATCAAATCTGAAAGGGTTCATAAATTCTACAAGAATTTGTGCAGTCTCGTTCTTGACCCAATTCAGTTGTACTCTAGTTTCATCTTTCTTATCGAAAGGAGAATAAATAAATAATTGAGGTCTATTTTGCTTAACTTCCAACACTTTAGGTTCCAAATGTGAGGATAATTTCATTGGTGCTACCATTTTGATAATGGGCAGAGGTTTCAGTAGTATGTTGACATTCTTTGGAATTTGGTGTGAAATAGCCAAAACACGCTTTAAATGCTCCTCTTGAAGTAATTTGGGCATTATTGGATAGTATTCCGAAAGAAGGTAGAGTCGATACTGAATTTCAGTTGAGTAGTCAGGTGGGCTCATGGACTGTGCAAAGTCTATCATACTCCTGATAATATCCATCTGGATAGTATTCCAGCCTTTAAGCTTGTAGTTCTTTTTTACTTTCCATTCTGTGCAGTTCATACAATCATCATCGTTACAAGTTTATGATGTTATTGTGAGTGTTAAACTTACCAATTGTTGGTGTCAGCTCCAAAGGTATGTTATATGCATCTAAAAATTGAGCTCCTAGTCGTATAGATACTCCTTGATTGCACAAGTCGTGATGTAATTGAGCTACATGACGAAGAAAAAATCCAAATTTTCTTTTGGATTTCATTTGCTTGCAAATTTTAGCTGCAAATCCAGAAACCACAATCTAGTTGCGTTTGATCAAAATAATCATTCGATTGGTACACTTAAAAACAAGTACGTACCCTTTCTTGAGTTGTGAGTGTGACAGCTGCTTGAACAGCTTTTGAAAGACAATCCAAAGCCTCTTTTCTCTTCTTCTTGTCACAATACGTTGAAATAAATACAGCAGTTTTGATGTAGCACTCTACAAGCAGATCCTTTTTCTTTGATTTTTCGTAGGAATCGAGTGCTTCGTGCAACAAGTCATAGATTTGTTGAATGATGGTGCTGTCAACCTCTCGAATTGCTACCTTGTTTTTTACAAATGTTATGGTGGCAATTCCTTCAGAACTGCCTGCCTGATACAATGCATAATTAATTGATCCAACAGCTACAGAAGAGTTTGCCATTTGTTGCTTGCAAATATTGGAAATTTCAGTATAGGTTGATAATGCATCTTCATAGTCAGAAATTAGCAATGCACAGTCGGCAAAAAGCTTCATATTTTGCAAATTCTTTTCGTCGCTCTGTGAGGTGCCAGTACTTGAAGGAGCATTAGGTTGAGTAGAAGTAGGTTGAGAAGCTATTGCTAAATCATTTCTTGATTTTGAAGGAGTCATCTTTTTAGAATTGAAGGATGATGCTGATGGAAACATGCCCGTTGGGGAAGACATGAGAAAGGAATTTGACAATTCATTAAAATATGCTGCTGGATTGGAGACGATTTTCTCGAATCTAATCAAAACCTGTCTTGCAAGATCGGAAAAGAGATAATCAATGTGAAATCCAACATGGCTTTCATCTTGGTTTGGAATAACAACCAACTCCTCATCCTCGGGTGCTGTTGTTTCCGGATCTTGTTCGACTGCAAAACATCTTCCGACAATATTCTTTCCGTAAACTTGCAACTTTTGTTTCTTGTATTTCGTAAAACCGGTCGCCACAGATTCCTCACTCAAACAACTCATGATCCCAATCACTCCATGAACGTTCCGATATTGATGAAAATCAGAATATCCAGTATTGATGCTTGTTTCCTCTACAAACTGAAATTTGAGAACCGATCTAGCCCAATCTTGTTTTTGGAAAGGACTCTTTAAATTATCATCTCGGAATCGAGTAAGACTCTTTATGGGTTTTGAATCACATGCCTGTATCATGGAAACAAACTTTTTAAATGTACTGGCATTGATTTTACCAATAGGAAATATAGCAATTCGTATCAACGAGTTGGTTGATATCCCCAACTGGCAACCCACCACATCAATCGAGGACATTTTTTTAAATTTATAAAAAAAATTAAAAAAATTAAAATTTTTTATTCAATTTAACTGGAATAGTGAGCCATCTTGATGATGAACACCTGTAATTGCAGCGAGACTAGTGGAATTGGAGAAATATTTACATGTGAGGATGGACTTTATGTTTTTTAGAGGTCCATATGGACAGGATAAGAGAGCTTGATTACTTTCGGAATGACTTATTTCTCATTTCCAAAGTATTGTGAGAGGGTCGTGAAGAGAAGTACTGGTTCATGATGACTTCCGATGCGTGATGATCCTCACCATATTGATGCATCACACGATAATTGAATTGTTTTCGTTGTCTTGTTCCTCCGACAATATTATCCATAGAAATTTCGGAAGAGTAATTATTGTATCCCTTGTTGCTTCTAGTGCAGACCATTTCGTGTGTGTTTTTGATTGTTGTTATTATTTGTTTTTCATGTTGATTTCATTCTTCACCGAAGTTTCATCATGAATTTATTTTTGAGTGGCTTTCCAGTATGGATGTGAATTTCCATCGTTTTCGGGATTCCACAAAAAAATGGACGACAGCAAGACACTTTTTGATCAACAAACAAACATAATATAACGAATCTTTAATAACAAAAAAGGCTACAGCACTGCAGGTTCCCAAGTTGTCTCCAACCTCAGTACTGATGCAGCTCGACGATGCTTAACTTCTCAAATCGGACGGGATGAGGTGCATTCATCGTGATATGGCCGTAGCCATTGATTGATCTCAAAGCATTCTGATCAACAAGATTCAACGTCGAGTGTCTTGCTTGGAGAACCACTTTGTGTAAATATGGATGCAATGGAATCTTCCTTTACGGTTCATCTTATCCTTGCAAATTGATTCTTGAGAAAGAATGACAAACTTGTTAATTAATCAATTCTTTGTTAAATATCAAGAATAAGGGACTCACAAATCACGTTTATTTTTCTTCCTGATTTTCAAAACTGTTGTCTCACTCATGGAATAATTTCTTAATATCTTAATTGTAAAAATCAAATTTTCTAAACTTTCTATTCTTTCTAATCTTTCTGAACTTTCTAATTTTTATAATCTTTTTCTGCTTTCTCTTGCAAATCTTCTTTCTCTTTGCACAAATTTTCTTTTGTGCAAACTTTTTACATACTCTCTTTCCTTTGGTGAATTTGAACTTGTTACAGACTCTTTTTCTCTTGGATCTCTTCACACATTTCTTGAAATGCTTTCTATGGATTTCTTGATAGAAAGCATTCCATTTAGATGGGATACTCTTCTTTCTGAGACAGAACTTTCTTTTTTTGATTTGAGAACATTTCTTCACAATCTTATGTCTCTTGCAGAAACTTCGTTTTACGAATTTTGCACACCATTTCTTTGTCTTGTGTTTGATGCACTTGTTGAAATGACGGTGCTTTTTACAGAATTTACGAGTTTGATGCTTGACCCATTTTGTCTTGTGGCCAATCACACGGCATTTACGAATAAATCTGCACTTTCTTGGAGCATAGGAATCGACATACTTGTCACACTTCTTCTTTTTGAAACATTTCTTAATTGGGAATTTGTTGACCTTCTTACAAATAGTCTTCTTGCCCCGAACAATACATTTCTTGAATTTTCGACGTTTGGCACAGAATTTCTTCTTTGCAAATTTCTTACAGAATGTTCTAGTTTTAAATGCAACGCAAATTTTCTTTGTTTTATGTTTGGTACAAAACTTTCTAAATTTGTGTTTAACACACTTGACAAATGGTTTGCTGTATTTATCGCATTTGAAGAATTTCTTGTGTTTCAAACAACGACCTTTTCCAACAATGGCAAACTTAGCGCAGAATCTTTTACGACCAATGACTTTGTGTTTGAGACATTTTCCACGGACGTATTTGTGAAGGACACATTTCTTATGACAGTGACGTTTTGGACGGTAAGAGTCAGGGCTGCCAAGAGCAGTAAGGTGAAGAGTAAGTCAACTGACAGTTTGTTCATTTTGATTTTTTTTCTTGAGAAAGAGTGATTGCAAGTGAATGCACGCCGTTCATTGGATTTTGAGCAAGAAGACATTCCCATGTTAAAAGATTAAAAAAGGACAGAAATGTGAAGTCCACCCTCACAAAGGTCATCATTAAAGTGAATAAGACCAACAGTTTATAGATCTTTGGTGTATGACCTGATTGGAACTGTAATATTTCTTTGGAATGGAATCAAAAAGAGATGAAGAGCGAAAGCTCAAATCAACAAGAAATGGAATGATCTGTTGAACATCAAGTCCTGCTATCTCTTTTTAATCCACTGGTCAGATTTTCCTTTTCGAAAGGAAACAAAAAGAAAGTATCTCATTGTTTTTCAACAAGAAAATTCGAAAAATCGATTTTGAAAAAAAAATGTCTTTTTCAAAGATACCGAAACCATGTCCGATCTTTGCCATTCTATTCATCGCAACAACGATGATGATGCTCCTGGAATTGACGAATTCTCAACGACAAAATGTACAATGGAGTACTTGTGATCATTATTATGATTTTCAAATTCCGGAAAATACTCAATTCCTTCCGAGGTCATCTCTCTCAAAGGAACAAGTCATGTATTTTCCAATTGTGGATGCTATTAATGATCTAAGTACGTGGTTTTAACTAATATTGCTGTTGAGTGTGTGTGTGAATGATGGTTCTTTTGAAACGTGTGTGAAATTTTTCTAATAACGGAAATTCATGATTGAAATTATTGAACTCGTGTGATTTCATTCATCATCATCCAACATCCATGTTAACATGTATATTATTGAAATGATACAATTGTTCATGCTTCTTCATATCAATTTCGTTACGGCTGTATCTCTTCTTTCATTCTTGCTGTGATGATCCTATACCATGTTCAAATTTGGAATTTCATACTAATGTGGAAAAGACGCTAGAAAAAATCAAACCTACCTCACAAAAGCCGAATGTTCTCAATTTGAGGTCCCACTCGATCATTCCTCCAACTTTACTGCCACTTCTGCTCGTATAAAATTATTCATCAAGAGAATACGAGGATCTAAAACACAAAATTCTCCTCGTGCATTATGGTTATTAGCTGGAGGTCCTGGTCTCGCAAGTAATATTTTCGACCTACTCATAGATCTCTTGTCAAAATTATTGGGAGATACATTCGATATCTATACGACCGATCACAGAGGAGCTGGTCGAAGTGCTCGTGTCACTTGTACCTTAACTCAGGCTGAGACTTTGGGAAGTGATGAAGGAATTACAATTTCACAGAAAGAATGGACCAAACCAGGATGTGCTCAAGCTTTTGCTGCTGAATGGAATGACATGTCACAACATTTTTCTTCAAAGGCAGCTGCTATCGATGTTGTGAAATTAATTGAGGCTATTAATGTTCCACAAAATCAAAAAACATTTGTGTATGGAGCCAGTTATGGATCGGTGTGGATTTCTCGTATCATTCGTTATCTTGAATTGAATCAACAACAAGTTTCACAAAATTTAATTTCTGGATTCATCATGGACGGTATTGTGAATGTGATTGGAAAACCAGCGACGCCAATGAATGAACTCAAACAATGGCCAACCGAATCCTCTTCGAATATCAAATCTGGACGTTTGGTGTTAAATTCATGGGATGAAAATTTCAATGGTGTTGGAAACGCATTGTTTCAACTCTGTGGTGGAAATTTGACAGCAATGTCTCTCGCTCAACAAATTTCACCACTCTCCGATACTTCGATTTTCACACATCCAAAACTATATGAAAAAGTGGCAAAAGATTGTCGAGTAATATTTGAAAAACATTTACTCGAACATGACAATGACATGTCAACGTACGTGAGACACGTTTTGAATAATGTTTACCATCAAGAATCTGGAAGTTCTTGTCGACCTGTACGAGATGCTCTTCCAGAATTGCAATTGAAAACTCTGTTCCAAATTTTATTAGCAGATTTATATGGAAGAGCGTTGATCCCTGCGATCATTTATCGTTTGGATCGATGCGACGAGTATGTGGACATTCCATTTGTGCTTCACGTGTATGATGTTGTCATGAAAACACCAACTGCTTCACCACAACGAGTTCCATTGCAATCTCCAGTGTTGCAAGCCCATGTCACGTACTCTGAGTTGTGGAATCCCAATTTTAGTATTCAACAAATGCTTTCAGAATATAACAGTACCAACTCGACGTTCGGTGGTCAAGTCATTCAAATGGCCTCTCTCTTTCAATTGACAGATTGGCCAACATATCAATTGGATTCTGCCTATTTTGAAAAGTCCTTTTCTCTTCCTCAAAAAACTCCTCTTCTCATGATGAATGGTAATTTAGATCCTCAAACTCCCTTATGGTCTGCTCTTTCACAGAATGCATCCATCATTCAGAGCGAGAGTGGAAATGGTCTCTATGATTTGGTCATTGTTCCATTTTCCCCTCATGGAGTCGTGGTAGGTCCTACAAGTCGCAACTCCTTAATACCTGTAGGTCTTCAATTATTAGTGAATTTCATAACCATGGAAGAACCGAATCCATTCACACTGAATCGAACATGTTTAGATGAAGTTGAATTTAATTTCACAGGATCTCTTTATTACAATCAACGCATGTATGGAGTGTATAATTTATATGAGGATTCGTACTATGCAGAGAATTCAGGAAATGCCACAGTGAGTTTGTATTTGATGGTAGGCCTGTTGGTAGGAACTTTGATTGTGGCCATTACGGTAATGAATGGTCTTATTTATTACATTATTACTTTGAGAGATAAGAAGAAGATTAAGGTTTTAGAGGACGAGTTTGAATAATAAATTTGAATAATAAATTAATGCAACCTAATATATTTTTCTAGAAGTGAGATCTCATTTCCTGTCACTCCCATCTCCGTAGACTCTGTGTCGACGAGAGGATTTGTCATGCTGAAGAGTGGTTGGTCGGGATACTCTATTGTCAATTGTGAAGGTGTGTGGACCTCTCTCTTTGGGTCTGGTGATGATTCTCTTACAACCATAAACATTCAAAGAAAAAAATGAGTTCAAACAAAGACCCTCGAAAAGAGAAAATCAAATCTCTCATCCGAACCATCCCAGACTATCCAGCAAAAGGTATTCAATTTAGAGACATTAGTACCTTGATGGCCGACAAGGAAGGTTTAGCTCTTGTTGCTGATTTATTTTATGAGCAATACAAGGATGCTAAAATTGATTTGGTCGTTGGTATTGAAGCTCGTGGGTTTATTCTCGGAGCTTTGTTGGCGTATCGTATCGGTGCTGGATTTGTGATGGTGAGAAAAGAAGGAAAGATGCCTGTAGGAAATGGAGTAGAGACCATCAAGGAGTCCTATCAAATGGAATATAGATCGGCCACAACCATTGAGATGCATACCGACTCTGTGAAGCCAGGTCAACGTGTGATTATTATTGATGACTTGTTGGCAACTGGTGGTACTTTGTTGGCAGCTGCCAAGCTTGTGGAAAGACTTGGTGGAACTATTGTTGAGTTGTCGTGCATTGTGGAATTGCCAGACCTTGGAGGCCGATCCAAACTTGCGGGTTATCCACTCTATCACATGGTTGAATTTGAAGGAGATTAATTGTGTACCTATTCGATTAAAAGAATTATCATAATTATTATAAAAATTAAATTTCACTTTCCGGAAAATTGTCATCCATTCCAAAAGCAATAAGCTCGAGAATTGCAGTACAATCACCAAAGGATAGGACTTGTTTTAATTAGACAATGTTTGTCATCTCGCTGAATTTTGATTGGACTTGGAACTTTTAGTTCCAATCATTCAACAAGTTTATGCAAGTGCCTATCTGTTCTTGAATCCTCCTCATCATCTTTTGAATCAATCATTATAAAGAGAAAGACTCCAGTCTCTTCTTGATTTTTCAAAGTTGCTATTTCAAGACTCAAACGTGTTCAAAGGAGCATCGCCATCAAACGGCTATCCAAACGTTTTTTATTTGAAATCAAAAAATTTCCCTCCCAAACCTTCTTGTGGAACTTGAGAAGATTTTTGCAGAGCGTTCAACACTACCACCATAGTAGACTCGTATCATCATCATCATCATCCGAAAGAATAACAATTTGTACCAACCATACGCACGTACGCACGCACAAATGAGTAAACAAGACACTGAACCAGTTGAAAATGTTATGAATGAAGAGGAAGAAGAAGACGTTGAACAATTGACCGAAGAACAAAAGAGACAAATGGAAATGGAACAAGAGGCTAAACTGAAACAAACGCACGGAGCAGAGGCTTTACAGGTGAGTATTCTCTTGCGAGAGATGTTGGTTTGTTCATATCATTGCAATCATCATCATCATCGTGTTATTGGTGGTATTTGATATCTCTCCGCATGTTCCTCATTCCACACACGCACACGACAATGACAACAACTCGCACAACGATCATCATGATGATTGGTTTACACTTATTGCACTTGTTATAATTGTACTTGCAAATGATGATGATTCTCTATTCTACTACTCATCATCAAAATAACATTTCATGCTTTACTACCACGTGATTTATAACAACGAAATTAATGACAAACAATTATATTTTACTTGAATATTCTCCTTTGTGCACGACAATAATTGTCATGAATTGGCGTCATGGATAACATCAAATGCTATATTTGGTTGACACTTGCTAGAACACAAAACACTCGTATTTAATTAAAAAGGATCGTAAAAAGTTTGACTCTGCTGACTATGCCATGAAAAAGAACTCTGGAGAAAACAAAGGTGAGCCAGTGCCTAAAGCCATTAAAAAGGGCGAAATTGCAAAGAGATTTGGAAGTCACTTGGCTGAACAAAAGTAAGACTCGACTTTTTGGAATCTATCTTGCCTCTTGAGTGCAAAATTTTGCAACGTCATATCAACTACCACCCACTCAAAATCATTTTCCAAATCCCTCTCTATTAATGTATTACCATCACCATCATCAAATATACTTTAGAGCACCTTATGGCTCTAGCTTCTACTATTCAAATGTCACAGTTGAATAGTATTACTTTAAACCATTTTACTATGGATGACATTCCCTCTTTCTCTTTACATGCTTTTTCTCAAATATTAATATTAATAAATTAATATTCACAAAAAATCTTCAACAACGCTGACATGGTGGTAAGTAAATCATCACATCATGAAAACGCTGAGCTATAGTAAATCATCTTTTACTTGGAACGATTGATTCAATCTGAATGATCCGATAACGATGGCCTAAATGGTACCAAATAACATTCATGATGGGGAATAATCATTTGAATTCATCTTTGGATTGTAATTATATTAACAAACTGTTGATGAAATTCTTCGGATGATCAAACTGTAATGATAACAATGTGAATGACACATGTGTATATCAATATTATTATTATTGTTATTATGATTACGATGACAATTCATGTGGATTTTAATGACACGATTGTTTCAATATTATGAATTTTCAATGATAACACATCATCCACAACAATTACTCGGATGATTTTCATAATGAATGAAACAAACCGATTCAATTGACTCACTCAACGGATTCATTAATATCTTATGGAAACAACAACAACAACAACAACACAACGGATGAATATTATTATTTGATCATCACAATCATAACACACTACGACAACGCAAAATATGATCCTGATATCCCCAAAAACAACCACATTCACTTCATCGCGCCACTCCTAATGTTGAAACAGCTCGTCCTAGTGATTGGAGATCTCCACATTCCCCATCGGGCCAGTGATCTTCCCGAACAATTTAAAGCCTTGCTCGTTCCTGGCAGAATTCAACACATTCTCTGTACTGGTAATTTGTGCTCCAAAGAAACGTATGAATATTTGAAAACTATTGCTCCCGATGTTCATATTGTGAAGGGAGAGTTTGATGAAAAGATTAAGGGTGTGCCTCCACCTAAGGAATTTGAAGTGGTGGAAATTGGCCAAGTGAAGATTGGTCTTATTCATGGTCATCAAATTGTTCCTTGGAATGATAAGGAGCCATTGGCCATGTGGCAAAGAAAGTTGGATGTGCACGTGTTAGTGTCTGGTCATACCCATGAACATAAAACATTTGAATATCAAGGAAAGTATTTTGTAAATCCAGGAAGTGCAACTGGAGCTTTTTCTCCACTCACAGAGAATGTGATACCAACATTTGTGTTGATGGATATTCAAGGATCAAATGTTGTGAATTATATTTATCAACTCGAAGACGACGAAGTGAGAGTGAAAAAGAAGGAATTCCAAATTCAATAATAATTATTTCGAGAACATCTTTGCAATTAAAATCCACCCTTTAAGTAATAAAAGCTGGAAATTTTGCCATCAAAGTCATCATGAAAATGAAATGGTAAAGATTTTGCTTGTGACAAAAACCTTCATCGGGCAGTCGCTTGGTTAAGGAAAATAACAAAATATTGAATGTTTGGGTTTTATTCCATCGTCGTTTTCTTAGTCCCAATTAGCCATCATCAGTAATTTTATTCCAAAACAACGGTTGCTCCCATTTCTTCCAATGTCTTCTTAAGAGCTTCAGCCTCTTCCTTTGGAGCATCCTTTTGTATAACGACTGGTGCCGATTCAACCATTTCCTTGGCTGCCTTGAGAGTAAGGTTCTTGTCAATCTTTCTCAATTCTTTGATTACAGAGATTTTACCCTTTTCGTCAACCTTTTCAATTTTAACGTTGAATGTGGCCTTGACATTTTCCTTCTTCTTTTCCTCCTCCTTTGGTTCTTCCTTATCTGCAGTTGTGGCAGCTGGAGCAGCTTGAGCTGAAGCCATAGCTTGCATCATGGCTGGATTCATTGCCATTCCGCCTCCCAATGGGCCGAAGTTGAGACCCAAACCAACCTTGAGCATGGCTTCTGTTGGGTTTGGAATATCAATATCAAAACCGGCCATGTTCTTTTGGTAGGGAATAATAACACAGAGTCATCATTGTTAGTCGTTAAATGAAGAAATGATGATGAAACAATCACAGACCGGTAATGTGAATAATGAAGAAATAAATGTTGAAAACGTAATAAAGTAATTCATGTGTTGTTGTTTGTTAATGAATCAAATGGAAGAGATGGTATGAACGCCGACAAGCATTAGAAAAGCAAAGAATAATACGGTAATAGAGGAATGATAATAGAGCCATCATCATGTTTCGTCCATACCGCATAGTTGTAATAACAATAACATATTATGAAACATCATTATTGCAGCGGAAAGAAACATCATCATTCATATCACTACTACTACCACAGTATGTGGTGAATACTTACTCTCAAATATTGTTGAAGCATTATACTTTCCAAAACATTGAGAGCCAAGACTTCATCACCAATTTTCTTGATTTTATCTGGCAGAACAACTTCTCCTTTTTGAGGAAGAACAACTTTTGTTTCACTTCTACATGGTGTTGTATGATATGAACAAATTGTATTTACACTTGTAACATTACGGACAAGTTTAGAAGATGATGAAACAGCACAACATCTAGAGAGTTTAAGTTTGCGGGAGGTCGTGGCAATTCTATTCAACATTTTTTTTCAATTTTTTACAATTTTCTTTTGTTGGCCGAGAATTATAAAATTGATGAGAAGATGGAATTTTCAACGAATATTATTATTATTTTCGCAAAAGTTTTCACGTGCACATGAAACACAGATGTAAACTCCATTCAAGTTGAATCTCGGTTTTAACTACTCTTTAATGTTTGACAAAGTCTCAACATTTGAAACTTTACATTCAAGGCTTTATGCAGATTAAAAAATATGATAGAGGAAGCTTCCACAGAGCGAGCCTTTGAACCTCATCATCTTCGTAATGATCATCATCATTATTGTTGCTCCGTGTTCATTTCAAAAGGGCTCTCGGAAGAAGTGATCTCATATTGGAACAGTCTCGGAAAAGAGAAGACAAGTGAAGACTTACTGACGGCGGGAGTGATTATTGAGCATAATTCAAGCAAAATAGAAGCTTCAGAGCATAAATCCTTCGATATCGTGCTTCGGAAGGTTGTACGGCAATCAGATCTCAATCATTCCAACAGGACACAGAAAGATAAATTGGTTGGAAAAATTAAATTTGAAAAGGATAGTCACACTTCGGAATGTGAACATCATAACCACAACTATGAAACAAAATCACATGATAGTCAGGAGAAAATATTTGTTATTTTTCAAGTTGATGCAAGCGCACATTCTCTGATAATTCGTAATGTATATTTAAATGGAATCGATATTTGCAAAACGAATAGTATTTATTGTATATATTATCAAGATGGAGTGAAATACAATTCTTACACCAATGATGATGAAGTGAATGCAAACTCATCCTACTTGGATTGTATCAATAACGAACCAAATCATAAACGACCAGAAAAGAATCATCCTTCAGACAAAGAAGAAGAAGCACATTATTCTCTTATCAGTAGTGTATGGTTGAGATGCATTTTATCACGAATTCAAGACCCAGTTACCTTAAATTCAATGATTGACATTACTTTGGGAATTATAGTTGCATACTTTGTGTATTCTCTTTACGATACCAATGCTTTTAACAACGCTAAAAATCAGTTTCTTATAATTTATGAAGGATTTTTCAAAATGGTGATAAATCATTTTGAGTGGCTTATTCGGGACAGCAATCCTGGAGGATTCAAGTTGAACAGACAGCTCAACTTATTATTTGGAAATATGGCTATTGGAGGGATCAAGTGGTGGAAGTCTCTTTATGAATTATGTTATTTACTCATTGCTGACAATGAGACAGTTATTTTACTCTCCAAAAACTTGATTCTTACTGCAGTTATTGCCTGTTGCATGACAGGATTCTCAACATTGGTTGCAGCAGTATCTGACTGTTTCATGATAGCCTCTGTAAATATATTACTTTTCTACAGAATCACTAGAAGACTCTACTCACAACTCATACAAATTACCCTCTCTCTTTGGAGGTTATTTAGAGGAAAAAAGAATAATCCTCTCAGAAAGAGAATCGACAATTGCGATGACTACAGTAACGAGCAGCTCGTACTCGGTACAATACTTTTCACCATATGCATTTTTCTATATTTTACTGTTGCAATTTATTATTTTACATTTGCATTTCTATTTTTCATGTTGGTGATTGTTAGAAAGATGCTTTTTGCAATTATTGTATTCATTAATAATTTCCCAGTAGCCACCCTGCTTAATATCAAAGGAAAAAGAAACAGAGGAGTGTTCTACCAGCACTTATTTACTGATTCCACTACAAATACTAGCTATTTGGAAATGACAGCCACTACAATGTCACTCTCAGAAGCCATGCAACCTCTGAAGCAACAAATTTTAGCACAGGTCATCAATTCTAATACTTGTCCACACCAAATGCAAAATCATACCAAGCTCCAAAACATCAACCAAGAAGACACTCTTGAAGAGACTAGTTCTAACATTATTGTTCGCTTGCTACTTGGTTATCCATTGTTTTATCACTAATATTCGAATATTATTCTCTAGTAATAATTGAGTTGAGGTCGATCGGTCCTAAAAAATCGAGGAATTCTGTCGACAGTGATCAAGAAACAAAAACTTCAAAAAATCGCCACATCCTATCCCCTCGCTTACACACAATGGCCAGAACCAAGCAAACAGCAAGAAAATCCACCGGTGGTGGCTATCGACACTACAATGGGTTGTGGAACATTTCATCATTGAACAAAGGTCGGCCCTCCAAAAAGCCAAAAAGAGAATGGCTGGTGGATGATCACGGAGAGAAACCACACGAAATTACAAAGAAACAAATCGAACGAGCCCTTGCCAGAGCTACTCAAAATCTTCATCAAAATGACAAAAAGCATTATGATGATGATGCCTTTAATGTCGAACAACAACAATATGAATATGTTTCCGATTTGACAAAATTGTGGATTGTACAAGACCAGAGAAGACTCTTAAAGAGTAGCAGCAGTGAATCATCATCATCATGCTCCGATGACGATTTGGAAAATCTTTCCATACTTTTGAAAGATTTACCTGTTGATCTCAAGTATGACATTATTGATTTTGTTCCAACATTCTCAAAGAGACTTGTTTTTCAGGACAAGACACTACAAAGAAATATGCAATTGGTTGAAATCAATGATCCTCGAAATGTGTTTTATCACGCATTCAACCCTTTAGATCCTGATGAAATTGAAAAGAAGAGAGTTCATGGATGTGTCTATGAAAATGACACGATCTTTATTACAAATCACAAGAAGAGACTGATCAATAGAGAGTATGCCATTAGAATGAAGCACTCTCTTTTGAGACACACAACAACTCTTGACATGTCAACAGCCACGGAGAGAAATACCATCGTGTCGTTCCTTACTTTCATTAGAGCTCAGAGATTGTACGCTGAGGGTCGTGCAGACATGAACGATGTGTTGATTTATCAAGACAAAACAGTAATTGAAGCCTTGTTTTTGAAACCAAGACTTGTTAAACCCATATCAAAGTACATGGCTATCGATGATGATGAAGAAGATGCCATTTCTATGCCTGTGATTCCTTTCAATCCTGCAATGCAACCGATCGACAAGGAAGATGATAATTTTGGAGCATTTCTTGTTGATAGTGACGAATCCTCAAAGAAGAATGAAAACGGTGATGAAAGTCCTGTGTTGGACAAGGTCAAAAGTATTTGGGGATCTCTTTCAAATGACCATCAAGATCATGATATTTCTGACACTGATATTCAAATGGCTATCAAGAAAGTTTTGGACATGGAAAGCAACGATGACCTTCCAAAGAGGGGCAAGGGAAAGAGATTGACAGGTTACAGGTCTTTCCAAAAAGTTACTGAAGAGAAAGAAGGTGATTCTCAAAAAGCTCCAAAGCCTACACATATCGTTTATGAGGATATCATTCCGTTTGAGATGTTGGCCATTTGTAGTCTTTATGAGCCACATAACTTTCAAAAGACAACCGACAATGTTGAGGAAATTTTAGAGTTCATTGGAGAGAATACCACACTACAAACTATTTATTTGGGTCAAGGACATGATGTAGAAGTGAAAATAGTCCTTTCATGTTGCAAGGGGTTACGTAAACTGAGTCTAGTGGGTTGGACTTCGTTGTACACTCCTTTCTTTAGAAAGTTGGACACGTTGATTGAGATGCCAACACTTCCCAAACTTTCAGTCATCGAATTTTGTGGTTGCCTCAAAGATTGCCTATCAAGTGGTAATACCTCCTTCTTGGATCAATTATTAGAGAAAAATCCAACAGTAGACAACATTGTTTTAAGTTTGATGCAATTCGAAGAGGACGAACTGGATGACTTTGACATATTTGCCAACAAGAATATATTTATTGGCGAAAAGAATATTAACTCATCTGGAGGAAATAATCATGGTATGACAATCTCCATTCTCAACTTTATCGATTACAAGCCAGACGTGTTTGCTTCAACAATCTCCAATATCAGAGCATTCAAGCAAGATTTTAGTACTCTTTTTTCGAGATGGATTGGAAGTTACCATTATCAGGAAGAACATGAAAATATTTGGATTCTCAAAGTTAAGGATGTTTTGGATGTGTTATTTAGAGATAAGTTATTTCCGTTGGAATGTATTCCTCAAAAGACATTCATGAGGTCTGAATTGTTTGAATATACAGTATATTTGGCCAATACATATCAGAATGGGCGATTCTTTCCAGGTCCAATCACTACAACCTACTCTTGGTTTAATGTTGACACAGAGTTCAATAATGCCGTGAAAGCAGGATTGCAAGTCGAGAGGACCTTTGAAGAGTTAATATTTGGCATGACAAAGGATTATTTGGAAGACATTCTTAACTTTTTACAAGCAAAGTATTGTCACGATGCAAAAAGTTTTGATTCGATTTTGAGATATTTATTTATTTATTCATTGAGGATTAAGGCTGATATTGATCTATTTTCCAGAATCTTGAGATTTATCAAGAAAACGGTGGATAAGCGCGACACTAATCTAATCTTCTCTCCTGTCAAGTGTGCCATCTCCCCTCATCACCTGAAAGCAGTCAAAGAAGAAATTGATCCTTCCTTTTCATATATTTCTATACCAAGTGCTGCTTTCATATTTCAGACATCATTCCAATGCTCGGCTTTATTCCTAGACATTGTACCAGATCATGATTTATTGTACCGCAATGAGCTGGGTGACACGTTTTTACACATTCCTCTACTCTTTAAAGAACAACTTGCGATCGAATTGGCACTACAGAGGGCACCAAAACTTGCTCACATTCTTAATAATGAGTCGAGATCTATCCTGCACATTTTGTCACGAACAGCTGAGAACATTCCCATCATTCATCGTCTGATATCACACTACAAGGCCGACATCAACCTCAAAGACATTTATGACATGACACCATTCGATGACTTGAGTGATGTTTCGCTTGAGATGATAGGAGATTCTTTCAATCTCAATCCAAAAAACGATCCTAACAGTTACCACTTGTACTAATGAATATTAACAATTTCATAATAATTTAATTGATAACATTGATTCGTGTTTTGGCAACATGAATTCTATGAAAATTTGGATCCAAAAGGTAATGAGAATTGAGAGAATTTTCTGAAATATTGTTCGAGTGTCGCATCCATGCACTTAGTCCTCTTCTTGTTCTACACTTGTATCGAAAGGTGCAGAGGAATATTGTTGTGTAAATAAATCAGGATTTTGTCTATACTCTTTCGCTCTTTCATCCATAATGCTCACATGCTTAGAATACATTTGATTAATCAACGATTGTCTTTGTACAACTCCCAAATTCTTAACACCCTTTTCATACAACCTTTTAATCTTTTCGGAATCTTGAACGGATTTAAATTTTCTAAAATCCTCTCGCGTACACCTCAACACATATTCTCTATAATTATAATCCGAAAAAGCCTTTCCTCCTTTCAACAATCCACGATACAATGCAAGTATTTGATTCCGAGTGGGTGTGGAAGTTGTGTTCAGAACAACATTCGAAGCACTTCGCAGTGAAGACATTTTTTTTGGATTCTCTTGACGCGCCCGCACGCACTCCATTTGTCCATGAGGTGTCGGTCTTCTTGCTCAATCGATTTGAAAAGAAGAGAGCACTCTTTCAGAATTTTGAAAATCAAATCGAATTGAGTCGAAGTAGTATTGATAATTACTATTCCATTAGTATTATCCAGGGTATTCAAATACCTAATCCAGGCAATCATTCCCATTGCCATACCCAACATGATGCTTGCGTGAGGACAATAAAAAAAGTGTGAATTATGAATACCTGTCACTCATCACTAATGGAATGTGTCTTCAAGGGAGATTAATAACAACTTTTTTACTGATCAAGAAGGAACGATTTATTACAGCCTACTACTCCTCATAAAATTCTTCTGGAGTGGTGATGAATTTTCTCGTTTCTTCAATTTCTTCTTTCACTCGTTCCACAAAGGTCCAAATTTCTGAGATGCGAGCTCTGTTTCTTTCATGCTCGTCTTTCTTAGTCTTTTCAACAGTGTACAACATTCTGTCTTTTTCATTTTGGATCAATTTAAGTTCCTTCTGTCCAATAATTTCTTTGTGAGCCTCTTTGGAACGCTGAACCATGGTGAACAACTGATCCTTGTCCTCCAAAATCTATGACAGGTTATTGGCACGTGAACAGTTTTGCACAAGTACTTACATCCTTGACTTTTTCATTGGGTTCTTCTGAAACGCTATTCACTTGATCCATGAGTCTATCCCTCAGCTCAATACTGTATTTTTCTTCCATCTTTTTCAGCTTTTTGAAAAAGTTTTGGATTTTGCTGGTACAATCCATTTCCTTGTAGTTAGGGATGAACTCACTAATAACTTCCCAAAAGGCTTCTGACTGATTCACTTCAATTTCTATTAGCTTTTCAGCTAATATTTCAAGCTCTCGTTCGAGAAGATCAAGTTGATGCAAATCTTCCTCTTCGCTTTCGGCTGTCATTTCCTTAACAGCATTAATAATTTCTTTCTTTTGTTTCTCAAATTCCTTGACCATCGTTTTTGAAATATTATTTGTTTCATACTGGCTTTGTTGAAGCGTCGAGTTGAGTTCGTCCAGCTCATTTTCCTTATTTCTCATGATTGTCAGCATTTCCATTTTGAAAGCATCCTTTCTATCTGTGAATTTAGCTCTATATTTTTCAATAATATCAGAAGTACAGTAGAGAAAGATTTTGATCGTTTCATCGGCTTCGCATTCAAACATTTCATTAAACAAGTCATCTATTCCAGTTAAATTGGCTTTCTAAATTACGTGTGACAACAATTGTTGGTCAGATTAGTTAACTTACTTCAAGCATTTGCATCTCAAGCAACTTCTTTTCGTCTTGTTCTTGATTTTTTTCGTACTGCTCTTCGTTGTCACTCACTTTCAGTAGCTCATTGTGGAATCTTTCCTTTGCGGTTTGAACTTCTTCCTCTTCTATTTGACGGTAATCTAAGAATTTTAAGCTTCTTAGAAAAGCAAGCACCATGTTTCTAAAATCTCTTTCTTCGCAGACTGGATTATCGTAGAGAGTGACCATTCCAAGTTTTGGGAACATCCTCAGGTATTGAATCTTTTCATTATCGTTACAGCCTTTCTACTCTCATTGTCATATAATCAATACACTTACACTTGATTTATCCTTAATCTTGTTCTTTGCAATAGACAAACTTTCAAGCGCCATCAAATCTTCCATTCCTTCAATTTTCTCAATTTCATTACTAAATAATTTCAAATATTTTAAATTACGAAGCCCTTTCAGTCCTTCAATTTTCGTGATCTTATTAAAAGAAAGGTCCAAATATTCGAGCAATACGAGATGGGAAAGATTTTCAATTTGGCTGATGTTGTTATTGTCGAGTTGCAGTTTTTTCAGCTTGTCAAATCCTTCAAGATTAGAAATTCGGAATATGTCTATTTGTGCCGATAGATAAAATGTTGATAAAACTACATGCCACACAAGCGAATAGACATACTTTTAAAGGAAAAGCTCAAGTGTTCAATTTCATTAAAATCCATATTTTCGCGTTTTATCTTCATGGCCCGTGTGGTTTTACTTTCTTGATCCACTCCATCTTCTTGTTCAATTTGTTTGAGTTGAATACACTCTCGGATCAACTGGTCATTGATCACAGTATATTTCGAATGAAATTCATTGAGTTCTTCTGCAGCGAGAGAAGCCATTTTTTTACGATTAGATGATTTGATTTGATTGCGGCGGGAGATCCGTCTGGTGATTCTGTCTCAACAGAAGGTCAAGCAAGTGTTTATTCATTAGGCCGTGATACTTTTTCTGCGACAGGTGCTGATCCTCCAATTAACCTACAGAGAACATCCTTGGTGTACTTGAGCCTCTTGGAGATTTCTTGCGATGGGTTTTTGATCACCTTATTGAGAGCATAACACGTTCTGACACCATCTGCAGTTGTAAAGGCCACATTATTGGCCTCTCCACAAAGAATGATTTCTGTTTGATCAAAGAAACACACCTGAACAGCCTTATTGCTCAATCGGAATATGATTGCATGTTGTGTTCTTAGCCATCGTTTCACAAAGATGCCTTCAGCTGCTCGAGTTAGAGGCAAGAGAGGCTCTTTTGGAATGTAGCTTGACTTGCCACTGTCTGAGCTTGAAGATAAAGGTGGCAGTTCAGATTCATTCTGTTTCAACTTTTCTAAATATCCAGTAAAGTACTTGATGAGAGTAATCTTCTTTTGCAATGCCTGTGGGAAGTTGGTGATAGGAAAACTGGTCTTCTCTTCATATACAGTTTCTCCGCTGATTTTTCTTTCATAGTAATTTACTTCTTCGGTTGTTGGATTGAAAAGAATTTTTGTAGAGTCGTTGAATAAAGCACCAACGCTTCCATTATTGAGCATGTAAGCAAGCCCGTATTTAGATGAGAAATCAGCCCAATAGGAGATCCATACAGACGGTAACTCTAAAGTGACAGGACTCGATAAGTCGTCTTCAGCTGTTGCATCAACAGGCATTGGGTCCATGTTAAGACCTGTTGGAGAAAAACCAGAGGAAGGTGAAATGGGAGCGTTGGATGGAGTTCTTGATTTCTTGACTGGTGGATCAAGAGATGCCTCTGTACCGGTGGTTGGAGTTCGTGGCTTACTCTTGTTCTCTTCTTCGCTTGGTGATCTTCTCTTTGGTGTTGGCAAACGGGATGTTTGGCTCGTAGTTTGTACAGGTTGACGATATTCAGGGATGGCAAATACTGAATGAGTGGGTTGAGCAGAGTTGGATCTTTCAGTAGTAGTTGTTGGATATCTATTATTACTTGTTGTTGTGGTAGAAGAAGGTACTTCTGAAGTATGAGTTGTGGTTGTCTTTGTCAGAGCATGAGAATGGAGGTGAAGATGTGAAGAAGGTGGTTTGGTAAAGGTGGAGGTGGTTTGAGTTGGAAGAGGGTTGACATTTTCATTGTTGACAGAGACGGTTGCTAAAGGAGGTCTAAAGCTTGAACCAATAGGCATAGCATGTTGTTGCTTAGATACTCCCATTGTTGTCGTTTGGTCACTAGTGGTAGGTCTTTGATGTAGCATGTTGTCAATTTGTCTGAATGGAACACGTTCTTGTTGCCTTAACTTTTGCAACTGTTGTTGAAGTTCAGGGTTCTTTGAACTATAAGCTGCAATTGTATTTTCTTCCATGTCACCAATTTTTAGGGCATGAGTCCTAGCGTATTCTAACAATGATGGAGGGCATTGATCTACTGGCGCTCCAGCAAAGAATGGATCCATAAGGATTTCTTTCACGGTTGGTCTATCATCAGGGTTACGTCTCAAAATTTTCCTCACGAGGTTCTTGGCCTTGTTACTAATGTCAAGGTCTTCTGGAAAGTCATAGTCATTATGCTTAATCTTTTTGTATGTTTCTTTGACGTCCTTGGTTTCAAAAGGCGGTGTGCCAACAAGCATGGTGTACAGAATAACACCAATAGACCAAATGTCCACTTCATAACTATGTCCCTTGTTCATGAGAACCTCAGGAGCGATATAGTTGGGTGTACCGCAAATAGTCTTCTTTCTTTCTCCATCATATTCTACGGTTGTTGCAAGTCCAAAATCTCCAATCTTGATTTCCATCTTGTCCGTAAGAAACAAGTTTCCCAGTTTCAAATCTCGATGGATTACATGTTGTTCTCCCATATACAAACATGCCATTAATAATTGGTGCAGAAAAAATCGTGCTTCTTGCTCGGTCAATCTCTGTCTATTTTTCATAAGCTCCATCATAGAGCCGCAGTTACATAATTCGAGAAGAATATATACATTTGTTTCATCTTCAAAGTACCTTACAAATTTGACTATATGGCGATGAGAGAGTGAGTTATGGATCTTAATTTCAGAATACAGCTTTTGTTTGACATTTTCCTTTTGTAGTGATTGCTTATCAATAATTTTGGCGGCATATATCTTGTTGTTGCCGACTTGTCTGAAAAGATAGCATTGTGCAAAGCCACCCTTGCCCAGAAATCTTTCTTGATAGTACTTTCGTATTGAAACTTGTCGTTCTCCTCTCTCATTCTTTTTCTGACATCTCTCTTCAACAATGATCTTGTTCATTGCTGATGTTGGTTGCAATTTGTTGTGAGATATTGTAGGAGTAGGATTTCTTCGTGTTGCTGTGATGCCACCGGCTCCGTTGTTGTTATTATTGGTGTTTGGGTTAATAGCGGAGAGTGGTCTTTGGATCTTTTGAACACCCGCAGACAGTCCATGGTGATGATGATTGTTTGATGATGTACCGCTTCCAGCCACAGGCTGCAAAGGACGATACGAAGCAGAGGCGGAAGAGGGTGTTATAGATCGTGTCTGGGAGTACATTTTTTTTTGGCGCTGATGTGTAATTAAATGAGAAATTTGTAACGTTTGTTTGTTGGCGGGAGTTCTAAAACTTTTTTTACAACGATTTGGAGGGAAATGCAAGAACTTTCTTCGGGATACCACGCTGTGGATATTAGAAAGAAAATGTAGTAATCTGAGAGAAACAAATGGCCGTGAGAAGTTCGTGAGAAGCACGAAATCACAAGCACTTCCAGCATCTGCTAAACCTGTTGGAATTTCCAACCTGAAAAATCTTGTTGCGCTTGGAATGGTCACATCAACCACGCACGCCATTTCCAACTCAAAAAATTGTTGTGACCACCACCAAGCAGCAATAATTTTGAAGAAAGAGCTCCGAATATTGTTGTGAACCAAACGTCCAAACGACTTTCGTTGTTATCATCTTACTTTGTTGTTCATGCTGATCTGATTTAATTGGACGTGTGTTCGTGAGTGTTGTTCTTGTGAACAGGAAAATCCATATCGGATTATAAGCGTATTGGATTAAATTCCAATCATCACCATCATCACCAATTCCATCATCATACGGAACGAACAAATTCCTAGTAGAAATATTCTTTCAAGCCTTTCTCAAACCACACATCATATTCTGATCCTTTATCAATTTCCGTAATCATCATCATGTTCTTTGATAGTCCTCCTCGTGATTATAACAACAACGACAGCGATAACAACAAGAAACAACACCATCATCAACTCAAAACCTCAAACACCTTCTTTGATGAAAAATTCTCAAAAGACTTGTTCGCTTCTTTCGCTGATATGAAAACACCAGCCTCTGCTCAGATGAGCGATGAGAAATTTGATAATTTCAATGATCCCATGATGATGTGTTCAACACCAACTCCGACTTCAACATCATCATCCAATTCCAATTCCTCGAGTACCTTTTTTAGCTCCATTCTTGATCATCACGAAACCACATTGGATACTAATCCTTTCTCTGCCGACCATGACAACATTAATCCTTTTCATAATTATACACAAGTAGGAGTTGCAAACAATAATAATACCAGCAATGCACAACTTTATTCTCCATCTAAAGATGCTGATGAACCTTCATTAGCGACAAGAATGAGAGAAAGTATGGGAAAAAAACAAATCATTGAACAAGTTGAGAAGAAAATTATTCATGATGTGGAAAAACCAAAGAATAAGGTAGAAAAGAAAAAACGACCAAAGAAATTCAAACCAACTAATTTACTGTTACAACAAAAAGAAACAGACTCTCAGACAATGAAACCTCCAGCAAATAGACAACAACAAAATGACGACTCGGGTACATACTCGCAAGTGAATTATGAAATTACTTCATCGGGTGCCTTTATGATCGATGATGTTCGTATTACAGAAGAAGGTATCACTAATATGCCACCTTCTCTCTGTACACAAACACAATCACCTTTCAGACCTCAATTACTTCATGTAGCATCTCCCACACGAACAAAAACTCGCTTCATGAATGATCCAGGATCTGAAAATATTGTAACCTTCAAGAAAAAGAAACAAGAGAAGAAGGTTACTCCAATTTCCTTCCAAAATCTACAATCTATTAAAAAGTTGGGAGAAGGAGCTAGTGGAGTTGTAGACCTTGTTGTTGACACTACTACTGGAAAACAATATGCAAGGAAAATTGTAAAATTAGCCAAAGATATCCAGCCCAAATTAATTTTATCAGAAATTACAGCACTATATAACTGTGTAGAATGCCCTAATATCCTTCGATTCTACAATGCCTATTTTGTAGATAGTAAGATTCACATGTTGCTGGAATATATGGACGGAAATTCGTTAGAATCTCTAGCAACTGTTAAAGTGCCAGAAAATATTTTAGAATTGGTCACATGCCAAATTTTAAAAGGTTTATATTTTCTTCATTTCAAGAGGAGAATTGTACATAGAGATTTGGTAAGTGGTGATGATATCATTGTAGCACCTCTGACCAGTCAAATTATTTAGAAACCTGCTAATATTCTTTTTAAGTTAAACGGAGAAGTGAAAATCAGTGATATGGGCTTGACTGGAATTTTCAGCAAATCTCAATCTCAAAAAACGGCTGCAGGAAAATATGGAATTAGCAACAATCATGTTTTCAATACTTGTCAAGGTACAATTGTTTACATGTCACCAGAGAGAATTGAAGAAAAAGAACACTCTTACAATAGTGATATTTGGTCATTAGGTATAACTTTGGTTGAGCTGGCTCTAGGATATTTCCCTTTCAAAGTTGGCACATATTTTGATGCTTTGGAAGATATCAAAAATGTAGAAAATCAAAATCCACTTGCTGGCAAGGGATTTTCAGAAGTGTTTCAAGATTTTATCTATCATTGTTTACGAGTTAATCCAGATGAAAGATACTCAAGTAGAGATCTGCTGTGTCACCAATTTGTTTATCGCCATTTGAAAGAGCCTGAAGAAGAAATTTGTTCACAAATTGCCAAGTACATTCAACAGGTGCAAACTCAGAAATTGCATAGTGATTCAAGCGAAGCAAACAAGGCAGAAAAATAAATGAAAATTGTTGGCAATAAGGAATCGATTCCAAACACTCGTTGAGCTCACTGTTATTCCCTACAAATAAAAAGAACGTCAAGTGGCTATTCACAGCTCACAATCTTTTTAATTTTTCCTTCAGAAATATTCTTTCCACACAGTACTGCAATTCGAATAGCTTGTTCTGTTGAATCCTCCATGTAATCCTTTTTCACACCAGCCAAAGCACAAGCTGCTGCTCCCTCTACAAGCAATCTTTCACTCATTAACAAAAATCTCAACATTTCATAAATTTCGTCCTCGCTCAATAACACATATCGATCCACAAGTGCTTGACAAAGGTCAAACGTGAGAGAATCTTCTTCAATACCACCTGCTGTACCATCACTGATCGTATCAAATTCTTCGACATTGTCCAGAATTTTGTTGGCAAGAGATGAATAATACATGACAGCACTATTCGATGGTTGACACGCAATGATTTTACATTTTGGGTAAACATGTTTCATGTAAGTGGCAATACCTGATATTAATCCTCCTCCTCCAACACTCACATACACATAAACATTCGATCCATCTTGCATCATTTGAATTCCATTCACACTTCCTCTCTTTTGCACCATTTCTTGCAACTGTTCACAAATTTCAACTCCAATACTTCCCTGACCAATCACAATATCCACATCATTATAGGGTGAAATATATGGAATATTTCTCTCACGTGCATACTCCTTTGCAAACATTTCTGCTTTCAAACAATTATCGCCATGAAGAATCACTTGACCTCCCATGACTTTTTGAATATTTTCAATTTTTGAAGGATCTGCATTTGTGGGAACGACGACAATTGCTGAGAATGTTCCGAGTGCTTTGGCAGCATAGCTCACTGCGAATCCATGATTTCCAGTGGAGGCTGTACAGACTTGGAAAGTGGTTTCGTTGTTTTGAAATTTTCTTAAATGAATTTCTTGCTCTCCGTTGTGATGATCAGTATGACCTAAATTATTATTATTTAAATTATTATTTAATGATGACACGTGAGGATTATCGGAATAATTGTCATTATCATCTCTCTTTATCGATGATAAATATTTCATCATCTTGTGTGTCGCTCCTCTCAATTTAAACGATCCTGTATACTGTTCATTTTCACATTTGAGTAAAAGTGTTCCCTTGAAATCGGGAAAATGTTTTTGAAAACTCAAACACGTGTCGAGAGAGGTTCTTTTGACAATGTTGCGAATCAATCGTTCACCTTCGAGAATGGTTTGAGGTGTCACTCGTGCTACCTGCGAGTGATTGGTCATTTTTTTTAAAAAATGTTTTTAATTTAAATACGGAAATACCATTCCAACAATTATCAAGTTTTAAAAGCACATGTAAAAATTGTATGAAGATCATGTGAAATATAGCATGCAGGGTGTAAATGTTGTAAAATTAAAATAATTTTGAATCACAATGATGAGATTGGACCTCATTAAATACGTTTCCCTATATTGATCGTGATTAAAAGTTGAAAATCAACCTTAATTGTTCGTGAATTTCATGGATACTCTTGTTTTCATCTAATAAAACACACCCTCCCAATGATTCCTGTCTCCAGCATTCAATCTTCGAAGATAAGGACTACTTTCCAATAAGGCAACAGTTTGTTTTTTCAGATTTTTCTCAGTCACACCAGGAAGAAATAGACTCGAAAGTTTCGCAAGTTTTGGATTGGAGGTGAGAATTTGAACATCCTCTAAATTCAAGCATGGACCTCGAAGGTTCAAGTGTGTTAAATTTTCTAGTTTCGAGAACGTTCCAAATAAATAAGAAATGAATCCATGTTGATGTGTGCAACAGAGAGATTTGAGTCTTGTTGCAGCAGGATGACAAGCAAATTGTTGAACCTTTTCACAAGAGACCAAATCAATGGCTTGTATATACAGTGTTTCTAAACACTCAAAATTATTAAGAGATTCAATAACGCTCTCAAAGGAAATTTCAGTCTGGGAAATATTTAACACTTTGAGTTTTGGGAAAGTTTTAGAAATTGCTAATAAATTACTTGAATTCATTTTCAAGTCACTAACATCCAATAAGGTGAGATTTTTCATGTATTCGATGGCGATCAGTGGTGTGTAATCAGAAATGTTTGTATATCCAATTTTGAGACTTTCTAACTGTGACAACTTTTGACAATTCATCACCAATTTCAGGAAGTCATTCGAAACGGATCTACAAAAACCCATGTCCAGAGATTTCAATGAGGTAATATTCTTGCAGGTGATGAATTCTTGAAATTCATCATAGGTGTTTGGTGAAACTCGAATACTCTTGATTTTTTTCATGGGTCCATTAAAAATTGCAAAAATTATATTCATAGGCAATAGGTAAATTTTTGCATTGGTTTCAACAGAAAATTCCTCAAGATTGGATAGATTTTCGCAGCATGTTAAATATTCAATACCCTCTGTAGAATTATTATTATTATTTAGCGAGAGGCAAGTCAGATTATTAAAGTTTGAACTCTGGCAAATGCATTTCACTCCCTCGATTGAAATGTTATTTCTAGCCAAATTAAGAGATGTCAAATTTTTCAAATGAGAGCTTTGTGAAATTTCAAAGAGAACAACATTTCCAAGATTGCACCAAGCAAGGTTCAAATCCTTCAATTTTGATAGGTAAGGAGATGAACAAATAAATTTTACACTCTTTCTTCCAATCTTTGTATCACTCAAATTCAAAAACGTTAAATTTGAAAATAATGGACTTGATGCAATAATTTGAACGGAGTGGTCATGAATTCTCGAGTACTGGAGATTGAGATGAGTTAAATTGTTCAAATTCTGACATTTGGCCATTCCCTTCACAATAGAATCATCGAAATATCGTTTCATTAATTCTAATTTTTGTAAATTCGGGAAACAATTTAAATATCGATCTGTTCTTGTCGTGTCTTGTTGATCCATTTCATCATTGTCATCATCATTAACAAGATCCATATCTTTTGAATATTGAGAAAGTTCTTGTCCTCCACAAACTCTCAATGCTTTCAAATGATGAAAATATCCCTTCTCACAACATTCTACAAACTTTCTGGTTCGGATAGTGTTATTATCCAAATAGACAATAAATTCATTTCCGAAGGAATAGGAAGTGGTTTTCGTAACCATTCGATCACACGCTTTACAAATGAGTCGGAATACTCTGTATACCCATGAATAATCGTTTTCGAAATGAATGAATATTTGGCAATGAAAGATTTCAATAGGAATGTCACAAAATGCAGGAGGTGATATTCTGGACATTTTTTTTAAATGTTTCAATTCTCTTCCTATTTGAAAATGCATTCTTTAGATTTGGCATCCAACATCTAGAGATGAGAGGATTTCAAAGTCAAGCAACTAGGGAGTTAGTGGATCCTATTGAACCCAAAGTCCTTTAAAGTTCTTTCCTCAAAAAGTATCATCATTGATTTATTCAATTAATGGAGGCTTGTTGTTACAATGTATATACGAAGTGTATTGGGTAAAAATGTATGATGGGTCTGATGATTCAAATCGAAGGTTTTTTGCAATTTCCAACAAAAAAAAACGCGCTTGTGTCTCACCGTGTGGGGAAGATTGCATTTTGTCTTGTGTGATTCTGAACATTCAGTTCTCGTCTACTTTGTGATAGATTCAATTTTCTGTTGGGTCTCATTCATCATCATAGAAAGAGTGTCGGTGGCTGTTTATCATTTGGGATTTTCACTCACATTCAAATAGACTCGTTCCGATTCCTAACCAATAATTATTGTTGATAATCCGAAAGTTTGAAGGAGTATTGTACAAGATGAGTAAGAGGTATTATAACGAAAGTAGTGGTGGTAGAGGAGGATATCATCAAGAGTACTACCGAGAAAGTAGTGGAGGTGGCTATTCTTCAGGAAGCAGTTATGGCCAAAGATCCGAAGGCCTTCAAATTAAACGCTACAAGGACACTCACCATCCACCACAAGCAAGTTCTTCATCAGGATCCATTTTGAAAACCAACTTTTATCCCATACGAATGCTACCCAATCGTCAATTTTACGTTTATAGCGTTTCAGTTGCAATCAATGCAGCAAGAGAATCTTTACCTTCGGCAGACTATGGTTGGGCAGATTCCATGTTGAAAAATGTCTACTTTAAGAACAAGTTATTTTACGTGTTGAGACGACAAGGCTTGTTAAACTTGGATAGTCCAAGCCAACGAGAAAACATTAAGGGTTTGCCATTCTTTGATGGATCTATTTTAGTGTCCATATTTGAATTGGAGCAGTTTAAGGAAGCACAAATACCTGGTAGCTTGCCACCCCTGTATCAACAGCCACCACCTTCTAAAGTGTTTGACATTTCTTATAAGAGAAGAGAGAGCATTATTCCATTTCGTATCACAATCTCAAAAATTACGAGTATTGGGCTCAATCAAAAGATTCAAGATGTCAAATTAGATCAAGCTATTTCCTTCTGTTTAGAAACTCTATTTTTCAATCATTTGGATATGGTCTTGTTAGGAAAAGGTAAGTCTTTGTATCGTTTCTGTTTCTTTTCTCATACTCTCAATTTGTGAAAAAACCAGTCATGTGCGAAAAGCAAGGTAAACGGGAAAACAATTTCAATATTAGAAAAGGAATAATTCCATCACTCATATTTGTCACTTATGGCCTTCATCTGAATCTAACATTCAAACAAAGGATTTCTTCTTTCACTCCGATTATTCACAACATTTATCACTATGTAAAAAACGGAACACCACGTGACAAAATCTCTGATTCATACAGAGGCTGCAGTGTAATAGTTAACTACAATAACAAATCGTATGTGATTAAGGAGATTGATTTTTCACAAACACCACTGAGTACCTTTAAAAAGAATGGCAATGATATTGCATATGTAGATTACTACAAGCAAACATATGGAATTGAAATTACAGACTTGAAACAGCCTCTCATTGCAAGTATTGTCAAGATGCGAAACCAGAAAAAGCAAAAGATTTATCTAATTCCAGAGTTGTGCTATGTGTCGGGAGTGCAACGGTCAGAGTTGAGAAAAATTCCAAAATCAACCGTACAACAAAAAGAAATGTTTGTCAAGGACATTGTCCAGAGAGCTAATTCGGGAAAGGCTAAAGAATATTGTGATTCTGTTGGGCTGGCCATTGATCAAACTCCTATTCAATTGAATTTAGAGGTATTGGATACATGTAGAATTGTGTCGCCAGAGGTAATACAAAAAAAAGACAAGTGGACCATATCTATCAAAAATTTGGATAACTACTTTTACCAAATGCAAGACAACTGGGTCGTTATTGGCGATTCTCGAGATGTTGACGAATTACTCCATGTCAGTGAAAGGCATCAACTACCTCGACCAATAGACATAAGAATTCGCTCTAGTTCTAACTACAGACAAGACGAATACATTAGCGAGTTGGAACGAATTAAGGACTGGAGTAGGATCAAATTCGTTTTTTGTCTTTTAAAGGATACCAACAAAATTCGTTATGCAAACATTAAGAGGTTTTTGAGCACAGAAATCGGAGTACCTTCCCAGTGTATTGTTTGTAATTCAGGAGATTGGACAAAACGACTACCAAATAGCTTATTTCAAATTGCAGCTAAATCAGGATGTATCATTTGGACAGTAGAGAAGAAGGAAGAGGAAGGTTTCTTATCCGTTTGTGGTGTTGAACTTCAAAGAAGAGGAAGAATGGCAAAAGGAGCAGTCACAGTGAGTTTAAATTCCACTTGTACTCTCTATCACACAGTTACCTTCAAAAATGTGGATATTGATGTTGCAAAACTTGAAATTATCAAAGGTATCAGAGAAGGCCTCGACCGTTTCGTCGAAAGAAATCTCGATTTACCTCCTAACTTAATCATTTATTATTCAGGACAAGATTTTTTAGACATTTCAGAGGCCATTAATGATTTAAGGGAGCGGTTGCAATCCCAGCAACGTGAACGATATCAGAGCGACGAGATTAATAACCACTTGTTCAATGTGTGTCTGATTAGCGTAAATAAGGATACAAATGCAAGATTTAATACTGGTAACTATGACAATACGCCCGTAGGAACATGTGTAACAACGCTCTCGAGAGTATTCACACAGGAATTTTATTTGACCTCTTGTTTTATTTCAGCAAATATTGGATATAGCAGGCCAGTACGATATCAAATTTTGAGCAACACTACAAAATTCAGCGTCGATCAATTGACAAATATTACATTCAAGCAAACCCACCTGTACTTCAATTGGAATGGTACGGTGAGGTTACCTGCAGCTTGTCTCTATGCTAAGAAGGCCACAGAGGCAGTCGATACCACTCACGAAAAACCACATCCCAATCTACAAAACTCACTTCACTATCTGTAATATTAAGGCCACCAAATTTATATGCCTTAATTCAACCATGGCTGTCACAGAACAATTTCATTAAATCATATCTCATTATGTGTAACGTATCAGATTGATTTATTCCCCTGTTACATCTCATGTCTTCAAAGTCCTTATAATTCGATCAACGATATTGGCTGTGTACGGCTGGAGTTGTCAACAACTTTGGCAGCGAGGACCATCCTGGCTGAATGGCTGTTCATGTGAGAGAAAGAGTGATGACCAAGGTATTACCTTAATCTCAAAAAACTCACACTCCGAGGCAACGTCAGTTGTCACCAAGTTCAAAAAAATGTCTTCTCCTCCCATTCGCTTCCTCTCCAATTTTCTTCCCAAATCTCCACAAGGTCTCTCACCTCTCGCCACAAGTCCATCCAATCAGCGAAGTGGTTCTTCTTCCTCGTTTCTACAATCACCAATCACTACATTCACTACTGCAAACAACTCTTCGGCACTCACCACTACCACACAACAACAACAACTCCTTCTTTCTTCTTCCACTCCCGTCTACACATTGAATGACGTTCCAGATGATGTCTATTTTCTGATTGCTTCCTTCCTCATCCCTCGAGTCCCACAACTCTGTGATGCCAATGTCAGACTCTATATTAGTCTCATGATTAATCTCTCTTCCATCAGTATGCGTTGGAGAGAGTGGGCAGAGACCATCACGGTTCAACAAAACTTTTGGAGAGATTTTCTCTTTCAAGAGATGATTCGAAGAAATATTCGGTTGAGTCTTGTTCATGCTTCAACGTTTTTTCATAGAGATTCTTCATCGTCATCTTCTTCTTTTGGATCATCATCTTCATCATCTTCTAATAATAATAATTCAAGAATGAATGGAGGAGGAGGAAATCTTACCATCATCACGAAAAAGAATTCCGTGCTGGAGGATGTCGTGCGTCGAGAGAAGGAACTCCGATTGGATTACATGATGAATGGTGGTGCTGTTCATGATGACAATGACCATGAGGAGGATGAGGAGGAGGATGATTACTTTGCGGATGATGTGGGAGGTGTTGTGGGTGGATTTAATGATATGAATTCCTTGTTGAGAAGAGGTAAGTGTTGTTGAATTGAGAGAGAGAGAGAGGAAAATGTCGATTGAATGAAATTTATTAATGGATGGCATGGTCACACATTCCAAACGGCATGATTCATGATGAATGGTCAAATATTTTGTTTTCGAAAAATCTATATTTGGAATTGTCCTGTTGGTTTAACATAATTCATCTTGAATTTCACTTGTATGCGAAAAACAATATCATGATTGACACTCACTACTACTACTACTATGACTACTACTACTACGACTACGACTACGATTTATTTGATTCATTTCATTCAACAACAAAGGCGATTATTTGTCTTACACAAGTGGAGGACCTGCCACCACACAGAGAATTCTTCTTAAAATTGCCATGTATCCTGAACAAATCAAACACATGCTTTTTAATATTTCAACTTATTTCCATCATGAAATTCATGTGAATGCTAAAAAGGGATCTTATGGAAAACTTGAAAATGATTCCAGAAGAAGTAATGATATGTTTTTGTTGTAAATGATCATGATCGTGTGTCATCGTGATGCCATTGGTTGACAGGACAGATCGGAGTAGCATCATGTTGTCAAGATTGAATTTTTAAAAAGAATTTTTTGTTCCATCGAATTCACACACCACAACATGAATCGGTTGATCTTGTTGTTGTTAATATACGACCTTACAAAATTTAAATTAATAACAAAAGAGTTGTATTATTTTGATGTGACACACAATTTTTCAAACAGACTGTCAATTAAAGTTGTCTAACATTTGTCTCAATAATTCTAAATAATTTGTCCAGTGGCAAGTTGAGTTTGCATTCTCAAAGCTTCAATGACAGGAATGACTCGACCTGCAAGTTTGGAAGGTTCTTTGTCATTCAATTTTTTAGATTCCTGAACCAAGAGACACATATCGACAGGAATACTCACAACTGGAATGGCTCCCTTAATGAGAAGACTAACTAAGCTGGTTGCTCCTGCGTTACCATGAGTCAATTTACCACTTGTAATACAACCTGATTGGTGAGAGGTACTTTTTCCATTTCCAACCAATGCATTCACAAATTGCATGACCGTGACTTGACAATTGTCAAAATTCAAAGTTCGATATTCAAGATAGGTATCGTAGGAACGATATTCATAGATTTGACGAAGCATTTCATTCATTTCTTGGGTGTCCTTTTCCAATTCGATTTGTATTAATTTTGCCATCTTTTTGGCATGTTTCCACTCAGCAATGGAAGAACCAACAGTGACTGCAGTTCCAGCACCAACTAAACCAATACCAGCAGCCGAAGCAAGCAAAGAACTTCCAAAAGTAAATGGAGCTGCGACTATACCACCCACCAACAAACCTGTTCCAACAATATTTGTGGCTGTTCCACCAATCTTTGTTTTTGTGGTGTTGGTGGCCACTCGATTCAAATCATTGACCAAAGATTGCAACATTTCAATCACTTTGCGTCTTTGATATAACCATCTTTTAGCATTACTTTCCAATTGGACAAGATGGAATTTTTGTTCCATGTCTGGTGGTGGAACATTGAAGGTTAGCACTCCATGTTGTTGACAAGTGACAGTGGTGGAGGTGAAACCTTGAGTTAATAATTGTTGAGGTGTTACATTGGTGGTCATCATCATTGGTTTCATGGGAGGAAGTGGAGGCAAGAATGGATACATGGATGATCCTTGTGGTTGTGGTGGATTTGCATTCCATTCAGCATGATGGGAATGTTGATCACCATTTGGGTTTGCCTGTGGGTTTCCCCTCTGATTATTCATTTGTAGTGGATGATTCATCATCTCAGCAAAATGGTTCACTTTTGGTTGCTGAGGTTGTTGTGGTTGTGGACACTGAAATTGTTGCTGTGTTTGAGAATTCATGAAATCTTGACAAGGTTGAGTGTGGATCATGGTGGGCTGCATACTTTGAATGAGCTGTACTATTAGATTTGATTTTTTGTTTTTTGTTGTTGAGTAACAAGTGGTGCAAAGCTTGGTGTGATGTTAAATAGGTTTTGAACTCGTGGACACATGAACTTGCTTGATTTGGGATATTTCCTTGTAGTGTTGTTATCAAGCTTACAGGAGACGTTATTCCTTGTGGATAACGACATTTACATCAATTAATCATCAGAATTGGTAACTATTGGAATCATCAATTAGAAACGAAGGATCTGTCGCAAGGAAGTTTGGAAATACATGTTTCAAAGCTGTTTTATGGACACTGTTCGTTGGATTCAACTCTTTGACAATATGGATTCGCCATTATCCAACGCTTAGCCTCATCGTAGAAATAGTGTTTGATCTGGAGAGATCTCAGTTTACTATTAAAACTTCATTCATACTTTTATTGTTCCTCAAAAAATTGGAAAAACAAAAACTTATTGATGCCTCAATTTGAAAAAGTTCTTCAATTAATATTTACAATGCAAAATACTTTCCCAAGAAAAAAGCGCCAACTGCAATCATTCCCATTGCCATACCCAACATGATGCTTGCGTGAGGACATGATCGTTTGGAAGTGATTGTCTTATCGGAAGATGATGCATTGGAGGAACCAAAAGCAAAGCAACATCCTCCCGAAGAGGCTTTTTCTGAATGAGTCTTGTTGTTGGCGTTGTTGTTGTTGTTTTCTGAATGAGTCTTGTTGTTGTTTGGTTGAACAATTCCATTTCTTTCCTCATCATGGACATAATGTTTGGTAAACAAATCATTTTGAATCCATAACAACTTGTTGAAAGCTTGAATGGTCTTGATTCGTTGTTCCTCACTTAATTGAGTACATGAATACAAGAGTTCGAAAATAACATCACTCACATATCCAAATAATGCATTGATATGAATATAATCGACAATAATCTTCTTATTTCCAGCTTTGGCAGTGTGAATTTTTCCAACCCAATCCAAGTAATTCAAAAATCCTTTGGATGAATAATCTGCAGTGACCAATTTAACCAAATATTTGCTCAACATGTCTTTTCGAAATTTAATTTGTTCCGATTTAGTGTCACTCAATTCATCGAGAGAAGTTTCCATCTTTCCTGAAAATTGATCATTTCGAATAAGGAAGACCTTTTTCGTAATATCGAAAGAGAAGAGTTTCACATAGACACGATCCACAATGGTTGGAACGAGAGGAGCCAAAACAGATGCTGATTCATGAATGTATTTGATATCTTCTTCACCAAAACCAACAAATTTGCAAACATAGTTGAATCTGTATTGAAGATCTGTGAAGAGTTTGTTGTTTTCAATGTGTTCAATGGATGGACATGACATTTTGTTGTATATTAGAGTGTGTGTGCGTGTGTGTGTTTGGAGAGTTGATGGTTGCTTGTTTTCAAGTGATTTTTTTAATGTGATGTTGTGAAATTTGTACATGCAATTACTTGTTTGTTTAAATAGTCCTTCATTGATGAGAGGATTGCAGCTCAGAGGTTATTATTAATCCATTCATGAAAGGATAATGATCCAAGCGGAGTTTTTATTTTTGGCTTCGTTTGGCATTTAGATTCTTTGCCTAAAATCTTCAGAACAAACTTGGTAATTTTTTGAAATATGTTTCGTTGAAGTTTTTTAAGTTTTCGTTTTGTTTGAATTCACTAGTACAATTGAATCTTGAAAAGAGATCATGTTCAAATTGAACAAGAGACAAGAAATTTACTGAAAAAAGTGTATGAAGTGAAGGGCATGTAGTTAAGATTGTGATGATTGGTTTGCACTTATTGCACTTGTCACTCCCTCATTCTTGAGCTTGTTTTGTAACTTTTTTTCGCTGATCTTAATGTTTTTAGGATGTTATGACGTTTTATCATTCTTAAAATCCCTTATCTTCATTAGCTCCCTGTGAAAGTCAAATCCACAGGCTGTTTTGTGTCGGTCACACGTGTTCCTCTCAATTGTTACAAAATCACTTTTAAAGTCCCTTAGAAAATCTCATTAATCAATGAGAAATACACCACCCTTCGCACGTAGTATGGACACCATTTCATCCTCTTTCCGATTTTAAAAATGGTTTCAAAAAGGAAAAAAAATGATTCCGAACAACTCCCGATCCTCACGTGGAGATGTTGAGGGTGCCAACAATTTCTTCTTATCCTTCGTGAAGAGGTCTCGGATGAGATTTTCGGGTTCTTTGATTTTTCTCATTGTGATCATGTTCGGAATGATGATGATGATGGGAATTTGTATTCATGGATTGCAACTGGAGGATTTATTGAATATTCGGCCTTCATCGGCCATTGGTGATTCAAACCAGATTTTGGAGGATGCTAATTGTACAATTGCAACGATAGAGAAAAATAATAATGAGTTTATCTATCCACTTTTAAAAGAAATAGTTGTATGTGTTGTTTCGGAATGATGTTCATCATCAAAATTAATTTAATGATAGTCCAAACAATTTTTTAAAATATTTAAAGTAGATCTTTCGAGTCCGTGCCCATTCTGGGCAATGAAAAAAGTTTGTACTGGAAAGGGAGGATGTTCTGTTTGTGAATGTGATGAAAATGAGATTCCGATTTCATGGAAAAAAACTGCTCCAGTTGTCACAGACAAGGTCAACAAATTTCTGGGGTTAAGTTCTCAAGGTAAAAAAAGTGCAGAAATGGCAAGATGATGAGTCCAATTCTTGGACAAAGCAAGAAGGTGACGGCTCTAGACTGACCTATGTCAATTTATTGAGAAATCCTGAAACTAGAACTGGCTACAGCGGAGAAGAGGCCTCTAGAGTTTGGAAGGCCATTTACAGCGTTAATTGCTTCAACAATAGGAGTGTTAAAGATATGTGTTTTGAGGAACGAGTATTTTATAAGCTAATTTCTGGACTCCATGTTTCGATAACCATGAAAATAGCCCGATATTTCACACTTAAATTTGGCCATGATGAAAATCCTACTTACGATTCATATACACCAAATTATGAAATGTTTGAAAAGGCCATCCTTCCTTTCCCTGATAGAGTGAAGAACTTGTATTTCCTGTACACGTTCATGTTGAGAGCCATTGAAAAGGCAGCTCCTTTCCTCAAGTCATATAATTTTAATACTGGCAATGAAATTGAGGACAGAGAAACATCTATACTTGTCAACAATTTGTTTAACAATAGCAAGTTATGTGGAACAACATTTGACGAGAAATTAATGTTTAGAACAGAAGACATGAATCACCTGAGAGCTCAAATGAAAACTTCATTCAGGAATATCAGCTCAATCATGGATTGTGTGGCTTGTGAAAAATGTAAAATGTGGGCTAAATTGGATATTCTCGGATTGGCAACTGCACTCAAAATTAATCTGGATGGAGATAATGTCTTTTCCACTCTCCAACGAAATGAGATTATAGCACTTATCAATGCCTTCAAGCAACACTCTCAGGCCATTTATAATTTCCATGAAATGCTTGTCTTTCACCAGCGAAAAGATGCTTCGCCAAAAATTGCCATTGGTTTTGGAGTCATTGTGGGTGCCTTAATAGTTGCATTCGTCCAGAATATTCTCTTCACGAAGAAGGAAAAGGATAAGAAAAGAATAAATGTTAGAAAATTTTATATTGATGGGGTTACTTCCTAAATGTTGATCGCGTCACTCGTTCCTTGTACTTGTCAATAAGGAATCTGAATGGCTCAACAAATTTGTTCAAACGTTTGTGAGGAATAATGAATTCTTCCAATAAATTGCTCATCTCAGCTCGTGCCATTAATTTTGATTTGTACGTCTCAATTTCTGGGCCAGTCAAGAATGTAAAGGACGTTCCTTCTTTTCCAGCTCTAGAGGTACGACCAATTCTGTGAATGTAGGTCTTTAAAGTTAGAGGAGCATCATAATTGATCACAAAATCAACTTCGATATCAAAACCTCTTCCAATGACGTCTGTACAAATCATGACATTAAATACTCCTTTCTTAAATTGAGAAAGAATGCTTGTTGACTTCTTGTCCTTTGGATTATAATATCTAGAAAACTTTGTGTTGAGTTCAGGAGCTACGCCAAAAGCATCTTTCGAGTTAAATGCTCCCTCACTTACTGCTGTCTCTAACAGCATGTTTAATCGCATAGCAGTTGAAGCATCATTGCAGAACACAAGAGTCTTTTTACTTCGACACTTGTTGTCCAGCAGAAGAGCAATTAAATACAGTGGTTTTGTGACGGCTTCATATTTAACAATAAATTGCTAAATTGGATGTTAGAACTTGTCAATCAGGTGCATAAAAAACTTACAGCTAGAGTGTCTGGAATGTAGTATTTCTTTCCAACCAAAGGATCCTCAAGAGAGCTAGAAATGTCTAAGGAAGCCCTCAATTTTGCAGGTGCAAGATATGTGAAAAATTGAGGTCTAAATAATTTGATGATATCCAGTTTACCAGCATGAGGTGTAATAGTCGCAGAACAACAAATGGTTCTTGCAAAGGAATAAGCAACTGGGAGTGGAATGTTTGGAATTATTTGAGTTTTTGCTCGTCGATTGATCACAGCATCACTAAAGAAAAAATTATTTTCGTAAGTACATGAAGTGGTCATCATGAAAAATTGATACCTACCAATTATGATAAGCGTCAGAAATTCCTTTAACAAAGGAAGAATGTTCGTCAGAAAGTAACGCATCAACTTCATCATACACAATGAATCGCAAATTTTCTAAGGTGAAGCCTTTGGTCTTTTTGATATGTTCATAAATTAGATAAGGTTGTCCAACAACAATGTCAACTTTTGCGTCTCCTGTGTTAGGATCGATTAATTCTGCTTGTTCAATCTCGAATCGATTGTGTGGATTGAGCGCCTTCACTGTTAGAGAAGTGCAACTTTCAAATGAGCGAAATACTGAAGCCACTTGGTTCACTAATTGGTGTGTTGGTGTCACAACAATGGCCCTCAGTTTCGTGAACTTGAGTGATGACAACACTTCAACAATAGGCAAAACATAGGCAAGCGTTTTACCACTACCAGTTGGTGAGCCAATACAAATGTCACCAGGAGTTCCACTCTTGCTCATAGCTATCAAAACTGGAACGACAGCTCTCTGGACAGCAAATAGCTCATGAATTGGATTTGGTCGATTCTGCAATGCATCGGTAATATTTTTCGAAAGTGATGCCTTATCCACAGGCACCCGAGCATTGCTCATGACCCAAACATTTCCCAACCGCACATCCTTATGCTCATTAATTTTCTGTTTCTTTGCCCAAATATTAATGACTGCAGCTGTTGTAGCATCGTTGGTTCGTTCAGAAATGTCGAGTTCTCTTTCGTCCTCTTCTTGTTCAGATTCAACATCATCATCAAATAATCGAGGGGTATCATCAAGTTCTTCATCATCTTCCTCGCTGCTATATTTTCGTTTTTTTCTATTTTCATTGTTATCTTGCTCATGTGTTTCATCATTCTCTTGGGTGATTGTTGGCTCATTACTTTTGAGTTCTTCCTCATCATCCAAAAATTGTAAAGCTAAATCTCGGGATTGATTCGTTCTAAACCGTTCATCAACTTTATTCACTCGAGTGAGTCCGAGCCAAGATACACTCTTGTTGTTAAAGCTAGATTCGGAAGAAGAAGATTGAGCCTTGTTCGGAAAAGTTGAATTTTCTACTTGTTCATTATTCTCATCTCTATGATATCTATTATTTCCATAAAAATCATTCTTGTTGAACTGATGATGGTTGGAATGTTTTCCATGTGTTGTTGGGTGATGATGATGATTCAGAAACGAAGAATGGACATTAAAGGAATGTTTCTTCATTTTTTTTGATGAATATATTCTTCCAATTCTTAAATGATAACTTTCATCTAATGATGAACAGCATCGTTCTTGAGAAAAGAGAGTCAATTGTACATTCCTTTCAAATTTCATTCATTCATTCGTAGTTGTACCTTGGTGAGTTTGATTTGACTCTTCCAAAGGACCAAATATATTCTTCCTCAAAAATTCTTGAGTTGCAATTTGCAAATTATAACCTGTTTGGGGGTGTCTTGATTACAAAAGAATCACGCAACAACAAAAAAACTGCCCTACTCCTTCTCTCGCTAATTTTCATGTTCTCCCCTCATCTCACAAACTCCTTTTCACATCTGCCAAATGTCAACGGCAGTTCCCATCAAAGACAACCTCAAGCAATAGAAATTACATGGGAATACCTTGAACCAGGTATAGACAATGAACACCTCTTTCATCACATGCATGTATCAAAATCTCTGCTTGGAGAACCATGTGCTCGCCTCGATTGCAAAATTAAAGGAAGAAAAGTCCCAATCGATTTACAGCACTTTTCAGAAGAGTTCCAAATTACATGTTTCATGGCATCTGACTTTTCTTGTTCGAATCATTCATTAATTACTTCTCAATTATTGAATCCAAACAAATCTCCTCATGCACACTTTCCTAATGAATTTATTCAATTTTCAACTCAACTTCAAAGAACGAAAGAAACTTCACTCATGTTGTGTGTGCCATACAAGTGGTGGTTGGGAGTGTCAAAATTCCGACGAATGCATGTGCACGGTGCATGTATCACAAGTGAGGAAAAGTTTGTTGGGTATTTGGATTTATCCAATATTCCCATAGAAAAGTTGTTGGAAGCTCATCTTCATGCCCTTGTTGGACCATGAAAATGTGAAAATTGGAGTAGTTTTTACTTTTTTGGTTGCAAACCATAGATGGTGACTATCGCACAATTTTCAAAACATGCACATGTTTGACTTCAAATTTCATTCTCGAGTGGATGACTTGAGAAGAGCATGAATTCATATTTAAATAATGTGATTCATTTATATCTTCAAACACTTTAATGACAACACTTTCATCGTTGCCTTATAATAATCTGAAGAAACATCTTTCATCGTCAATCGTTTCGAAACATCCTCAACGACTTTCTTAATCACTTTTTCTACTTGCTCTTTTCCAAACATTTCATTCTGACTCTCAATGAAGAGCGTAATTTTCATCAATTTCCCAAAATCTAACTTCTTTGAATCCGTGTAGGCCAAAAGTTTTTTCACAACCTCTTTCTTTCCTTGATTTCTATTGAGCAAGTAAATTTTCAATTTTCTCGTTTCATATCTCTGTGCAATGGCTGCCTCAATAAGAGATTCAAGTTTGTCGTCAATTCCTTCTTCCTTGTTTTTGCTTCTAGTGGATTTGATGATTTTAGCTCGACTGGCATATCGTAAGGTGGATAAAGTTTCAGAACAGTTCTTTTCTGTTGGAGAAGCCGTTGCAATCTTTGAACAATAACTGGTCACCAGGTCACACCATGCGCTTGAACAGAATACTTACCATGATTGTTTTTGCTGTTCCTCCGAGCGTTCCTTGCAACATGCTGGTCAGAACAGAATCCCTGTAAGGAATGTGATAACTTTGGATCATTTCTTCAATTTGCTTCTTATCCGAGAGTTTTGAAACTCTTTCAGAAAGATCTGCTAACTTGTTAATGACTCGTCCTAAATGTAACAAACTCTTATTAATGGATGTTCCTTCTTTTCGTTCTTCCAATGAGGTTGCAACTTGAATGATCAATCTCGTGTTAGACATTTGACATTGTGATAATCACTTACTTTTTCCTGTTTGTTCTGAACCTGCCAAATCAACCAGATTAACAGTTGCTGAAATTAAACTAGCAGAGGAAGGATCTGGCTGAAAGCTGACACGAATTGTGAACACTGCATGTGATCGAGAAGAAACATCATTCATAATTGTTGCTCGTGTGGCTCTATTGGATAATCCAATGGTCACTAATTCTCGAGCTTCTTGCCAATTTCTTATCGTGTATTGGCCATTGTAATCAGGCCGTAAATTCTTATTCCTAGACGACGACTTCTTTTCTAACAAGTCTGTAATTTTCTCATTATATATCTCGACAAAATTACAAGTGACAGAGTAGAAGTGATATTTTCGGATAGAAGAAAACAATTCCTTAACAACTCTGGGAATAATACCTTAATACGAACAAGTCATTCCATAATTACAATTCATTCGAAACCTATGAAAGTTATTACCTACCATGATTCGAAATGTCCATTCCAGTCATTTCATAAATCGAGTAAATAATATCATATGGAAAAATAAAGAACAACGGTTTGAAACAATCAAAGATGAGTGGTTTCAAAGCTTCGTATTTGTTTTTGCAAGTTTCAATGGTTGAATATAAATCATGTCCTAACATGGTGTGTGTTTTTCCACTTGTTTCATGATAACGAAAAAGACCAATTCCATACAAGGGAAAGAGATGCGATAGAGTTCCATAATGTCATCTCAACCATTAGATTCCGAGAGAGATTGATCATAAAACCTACCTTGAGGTTTGTCCATAAGCAAACAAGCAACAATTCACTCCGCACACGGCATTTTCAACAATTACTTTTCCTAAATCTTCATAGATTTGTGTTTGTGGAGTGTTGCCTTCATAGACGTAATCAAATTTGAAATGATCTTTGGTGGTTCGTTTGTCCCCAGTGAGAGAAGTGGAAGCACGTTTCACTTCCACAATGTCCGAATTCTTTTTCATGGTTACAAGTGGTTGTTGGTCCTTACCCACCATTTCCGAGAATTTGGGAGGTCGAATTCGAACAGCAACAGTAATGGATTCCATTTGTCAATGAGTGGTGATGATAGGTTGACGAGAGAGAATGTTTTTTTTTAACTGTGAATAATCTGTGTGTGTGATTTAAGGGAACACATAATTAGGCAAGTACAGAGTTCTGTTCGGTTAGGCGGTTATTAGTTCAGTTTTCAGTTTTAGTTCCGAGCTGTTTCAGATCACAAGAATAAGCGCTCACGAAAGAATTGCATCAATTTGTTTTTATTAATGTAACAGGTTTGTTGGATGAGAATCGGTGAGGAGGATTTCTCATTGATCGTGCTTATTCTCTGCTCTTCTTCTTACACTTGTCAATGTGGAAAATATCAACCATTCCATCCATCATGTGGCCATCAATGTGACTATAAAGTCCAATGAAAGAGTTCAGTTGTAACAAACATATTGACAGATCGATCACAAACCAGTGGTCAATGATTGAGTAAAACTTACCAGTGGAACAACCATGATCCTGGATTATCTGCCTCAGTATCCAACACACGAGCAATACCAGGTGCCACAAACACTGTATCGACTCTACGAACTCCATCTTCCGAACCTACAATCCCATGCCAGTGGACAGGGTGCAAATCAAAGGCACCAATAGTACCAGCATACCATCTGAATAAGTGTCACAACAGCGTTAGAACTATATTTTAAAACTCTTCAAAAATAGGAACGACATCCTTACCTTACACGCTCTCCCTCACACATACGAATACCTGGATTGTTAATGAATATGTATCCATTAATGCTATCCTTTTGATTACTTGCTCTAATGGCACCATTCTTGAATGATTGGAACTGAGCATCAGTAAGTTTACCTGTATCGTTTAGATACTTTAAAATGTTTTGTTCTGGAAATCAACCATATTAGACACAATTATCCCCCAGTATTGACTTTCAATTTGACTTACCTAAAAATCCAGAAGTTTGTTCATCGAAGATTTTAGGCATGACGAAAAACTCTCGATCAACATCCTTTGGTGCGCCATTCTTCTTTGCTTTACCTTTTCTGGTAATCACAATAAAACCAATTAATCCAGCTTGGGTTTCTTTTGGTTCATCCATGGCATGTGAGTGATACATCCAAGCAATGGAGCTCAAAGGATTGCCTGTCAAAGGTCCAGCTCTTTCTGGAACATTGAAAACATATTCAAATTCTTCTCCTGGCATGACAGCGTCACCAGAATTTGGAGAAACGAAGGGACCACCAGGTTTTTCCACATACCCAGCTCCTTCACTGGCCTTATCATAGAGAACACCATGAGGATGAATGCTTGCAGGGAAAGGAAGCTTGTTTCTAAAGAGAATTCTCAACTGCTCTCCAACGACACCTCGAATGACTGGCCCCAAAATACCCATGTCTGCAGGTTGATGCTTTTTCGTGGTAAAGGTTTCATCCGTGTATTCCACATATTTGGCTTTGAGGTATTTGGTTCCTATTTGATTGGGTTTCTTGTGGTGAATGGCTGGAAGTTCCATTCCCATAAAGTTGTCCATACCGGTGGGTGCATAGTCCCATTCAATAGTTTCTGCCTAATTCGTCATGACGAGTTATGGAATTAAGATGGGGTGTTGTGATATTGCAACAACAGTTCATCAATGATGTTGATTCAAATTGCAACCAACTACTTCTACTTACTTGAATGTAGTATCGACGAATCTTGGGCATTTTACAAGGCTTTCTGTGCTTTCGACCTTCTGTAAAGAGAATGGCTAAAGAGAGAGCAATGAGAGCTCCTACCACCATCAACATGCCAAGTGTTTTGAGAGATGGAGAAATCATGGCAAAGAAAAGGAGAGGTTTCAATAAAATTATATGATTATAATAATTCTGATATTTGTTTTTTAATGGTGGTGAGAATAGTACCTTTGAATTCATCACCGTTGAGTAAATTTAAAAAGCCAAACGAACGAGTAATATACGAAATCATTCATGGCAAGACAAGAGAAATAAGTAGCAAGGAAAGGCTGTCCGAGAAACGAGATAAAATCAGGAGCCTAAAAAGAAGATCGAGTTGAAAAGTATAGAAGTTGGTATTATTAGTCCTTGTGGAGGTTTACCAAAGATTGACCACTACTCAATTTGATCCATTCTGTTTTATTTGTAACGGCTAGTGGCTAGTGAAGGAGGCACAAGATGTGCTTTTCTCCTATTGTCCTTTATTTCGATTGCATTGAATCTCGGCTCTGCAAGGATATCCTTGTTGACATCGCACAATAAAAAAATAAAGACGACTCGCGCATCACTCCCGATTTCATCATCCTGTCTCCTATTCTTTCGGGATTGAATTTTTACTTTTCATCATCACAATATTTTTAATCAATAACAACAACAACAACATCATCACCAAACAAAATGTTCGGAGTGAAAGATCCTCGAGTGCAAGAAGCCAAGCGAATGTTTCGCTTCACGATGGAAAAGACTTCCCTCACTTCGGATACTCATGGATTGAAAGAAATAAGCCTCATCAAGCAAATGAAAGCCGATCCTGAAAGATATCATCGATTGAGTTGGGAATTCAATTTTCCTAAACTAGTTGATGTGAATATTCAAAAAAGCTTGGGAAGAAAAGGAGGCGCTTTTGCAGTGTATAGTATTCAACGTTTAATGTTTTGGGATAAACAAGAAAATAAGATTGTTGGAGCTGTTGCATTTGGAATTGATTGTGAAGGCCCACCTGGATGCGTGCATGGTGAGTAGCCAAATATTTTCGCCTCGTGTTGTGACACTTTTCAACAATTATTATTTGTGATTTAAAATGCTGTCACAAACTCAGGTGGTGCTATTGCCACTGCTTTGGATGAGGCATTTGGATGGTGTTGCATTCGAAATATTGGATTTAGTGGTGTAACCTTGAATTTAAGTGTGAATTATTTTAAATTCATTCCCCTCAAACGAGCTGTGGTTGGATTAGAAATTGAGACAGAACGTGTCGAGGGAAAGAAAGTGTTTATGAAAGGAAAATTGTATAATTTAGATAATCCACAAGAAGTTCACAACACAGCCACAGCATTATTTTACAAGGCAAATGAACACATGCCCACATGGGATGAAGCTGTGAAATTGTTTGGCGAAGACTCCACTCTTTCCAAGGAAGAAATATTATCATATTTCAAAAAGAGAATTAAGAAGAAAATTCAAGAAAAACAACAAAAGGAAACAAAAAATCTTGACGTTCAACCACAACCTGGGACAGAACCATCCCATAGATTATCAAAGCTTTAAAGAAGACCATATAAAATTTTAATTTATTTTGTTGACAGGATGCTCTTCTATTAATGCTCAATGGCACAATGAGGTATGATGAATTGAGGGATCATGAAGAACGTGGAACCATTTAACAACATCTACATTTTTTTCGATGTCTTTAACGCCATGATTATCTTGATGCAAATAAGGACCAATCAGTAGTATTAATCGACCTTGACAAAAAAAGCCACCTTTCCTTTTCCAAACACGTGAACCTCGTTCCATGTCGAATTCAATCTATACTTCTTCATGAGCCAATGAGAAGTAAACAGACATAACGCCGTGTATCACAACATGGTTTCTTCTTGTTACTCGACATTGGGCTTTTTGAATCGATCGGAACCGCAAATCAAATCAGAACGTTTTTTTAATAATTTTTTAGGTAACAAAAAAAATTCATCACAACGTTGTGTCTTCCCTCTCGAGGCTGCTCTTGCCTTTTTCTTCTTTCTGCATTTATTCTCTCTCCCAAGTTCAACTACCGTCATCGAATAATAATAATAACTGCGTGCGTGAGTGCGTGTGATTTTTGTTGAGAGGATCCTGTCTGGCTGTTTGATAACTTCTTTCGGTCTGTCCCACTCTCATTATTGTTATAATTGTTGTTGGTTATTGCCTTTCCTCCTCCCGATATTGTTATTTGAATGCTACAGTAACAATGGCTCCTCCTTCATCATCCTCTTCATCATCGACATCTTCAAATGCGGGCTCTACCAACGAGCTATTGGGAATGTTGATGAATATCAATCATCTACAACAGCAACAGCAGCAACAAACACGAAACACCACCACATCTTCGTCATCCCAGAATGCTCCATTCCTTATCCAAAACCACGCTAATCTCATGAACAATAATAATTTTAGGCAACAACATGAATCACTTGTCAACTATGGTGCACTTACTTCAAACATCCAACCAACGATTTTCACCAACAATGGTCAATTAGCTGCGAATTCTCCGGCTTCCAATAATAATTTCACCATGTTGAATTTACAAAATAATCCAAATCAACCCCATCCCAATGACTTGTCAAATTTAATGAACAATCTAGGACAAAATATTGATTTGAATCAACTATTGCAACAAAACAATGTAAATTATGGATCTCCATCACAATCTGACAACACACCCCAATTACTGCTGAATGATGCTCACAATTTTATGAACCATGACACAACAATCGAAGGTTTAAAACCACAACATAAAGAATTACTACAGCAAATTATTTCCACAACCGTGCATCATCAGCAACCATTAGATTCCACTCAGCAACAGACCTCTCACCCACAACCACAACAGAAACAGTCACCCCCTCAACCATCAACCCAACATCAAGACTTAACCCAGAAAGAGGCAAGTGTTGCCTCAAAAAGAAGTGCCAAGAAATCGGCAAGTCAAACAACAACTGACACACCAGACGAGCACGTGCCACACCTTGGAAATGTGGAACTAAATCAAGATCCAACCCAAATGTATTTTCCGATTGCTTGCGTGAATTGCAGATCCAGACATAAGTATGTATTCTTTATGATTTTAATGTGCTAACAAAATCTCTTCACTCTTTAATGATGCTAACGGAAACATCATCGTCATGATTCCAAACAATCAATCCATATAGAAAGTGTGAAAAGAATTATCCTTCTTGCGCCCAATGCATTAAGCGTGGCGTAGAATGTTCATATAGGTCTCCAAAGAAGAAAGGACGACACAATCAGTCATCAAGCTCAAAACAAGAACAAGCAACCACAGTACAGACCATTTCTTCCTCTTCTCCGAGATTTACACCCTATCCAGCTTCTACGAGTGTTACTGCCAGTGATTCCAGCACAAATAACAAAAATGTTAATCTAGAGGTATCCGAAGAACTGCTTAGATATCTTACAAGTCAACTAGGCCCTAATTTTGTGCAACAATATCCAAATGTTTCAGAATTACTTTCCACTATTCAATTATCAATTATGAATAACAACGTGAACGAACGATTGATAATATCTGCTCAACGAAAGAAAACTATTGATCTCTATGAGGGCGTAATTTCTTTAGGGTACTCATTGGTGGACATTAATGTGATTGAACAAGCTCTTTTCGAAACAGACAATTTAGAATCATACAACTACTCTCACGAGTTTTTATCACTGCTCTATGCTATTCATGCTGTCACTTGCCAAGCTTTGGGTCAAGAGGAACAAGCCTTATTATCGTTTCAAAAAACAAAGAGCTGCCTTGCCAATTGTTTTGATTCATGGAAGAACATTCTAGTTGCAAATACGTACAGTCATTTGGCCCTCTATTGTGCAAGCTCTGGAGACACAGAAACTGCACGGTTTTATTTGAATTTTGTGGACTTTTATTTTGGAAACAGACACAAAATTGATTTCGATCGTCTTGATGAGTATGTGATTGATGCAAGCGAAACAAACTCTTTAAGAGAATTCTTGCTGAAAAACGCTGACAACCCTAACGTAAAACAAGCCATGTCGAATTTAGGAATCAACTCTGCTGAGTTCTTGCAAAATACTTTACGTGAGGAACAAACAAGAGCGGTTGCAACCAGACATATTTTTGAAAAGATGCCAAAAGAGGCAGATTTCAAACTTTTGAAGTTCAGAATACTGTGTGGAGTCACAATCGATGCTTGTGGAAAGGATCAATATCCAGTAATGATTAAGGCTGACCCCCCTTCATTTTTACCAACATCTCAATATACTTTTGAAAGCGGAAATGATCTATCTATTCTTGGATCTGTCAGCCCAGAGGGAACCTTTCATTTGTCAACAAATACACAAACGAAAGGTCAAGCTGAATCATCAAACTTTAAAGGCTACAGCTTTAGTTCCTACTTTTGCAGAATATTGGCAGATATTAACCTGTATATTACCGGAAGAATTCCAAAACATGTACTTTATATACTAACACAAATGTCCCCATCATTGGAGAATATGAATGAATACATGCAAATAATCGATAGTGTTGGAAAAGTATATAGAGAACACGAAAAGAGAAGAACATTTAATGAGGTTCAGCTTCCCCTGGCTTTATGTATTTTCAACTTGTTTTTGTTTGGAGATAAGCTCTTCCTTCTCAAGGAAGTTTATCGAAAGACTAATGGTGGAGTGATTTTGTCGAGAAATATTGCCAACACTCATAGCCCAGAAAAGAAGAATATTCTAGACTTTTTACATTCAGAAATATTGAAATTAGCACAAGTGGTAACAAAATGCACAACCATCGAAAACTTTGACTTGTTGAAACCCAACCTCTGGAATTGTGTTGCTGCCGGAGCTGAAGTAGTATTAGAAGTTTTAGAATCCATTTCAGAATGTTCACACATGCCTTTCTCAGCCATGACTGATGCTTTGGAACTGAATCACTATTTCTCAACTACTTACAAGGCACATGATTTACAAAATCCAATAACTCAAAAACAAATAATGGATCAATTCGAACAACAACTTTTGGAGATGCTTGATCAAAATATTAAGGCACTGAACACGTGGACTACCAGATACCATAATGACAAGTATGCTTACTTGATTGAGAGAATGCAACATTTTAAGCAAATGAAATCCAATCAAGCATTCCAAAACATCCACAATTTGCACATACCTCAATTTCTCGATAATTCTAATATTAACAAAACCTATGATCACAACTACCCACCAATTTCAATGCCATCTGAGTTGCAATCAAATGCTAGTTTGCAAAGTGCAGATTTATTCAAGCTTGCAACTTATTTATTTGGCGAAATTGGAAAAAACAACCCTTCACAACAACACTAAACAACGATTTACAAGAAATTACAAAACTCTTTTCATCTGAACTAAACAAACGACTACTTTAAAGATTTAGCAAAACATTTAGCGAGTAACATTCCCTTCTTCACAATATTAAACGTTGTGGGATTGATAATGTTGGGCACGTCCACATATGTTCGTTGTGATTTAATTCCCTGATTCAGCAAAACCATTCTTGCAGCCATGGCACAAACACTTCCTCCAAGATTCACATCACTCGCAAGTTGAGGCCAAGTGGTGATGGATTTTCCAATTTCCAAAAAGGACTCGAGTCCTCTTTCACTTGCTTCTACTGGATCCAAAAAGGAGAAGAGAAGTTTTTTCGCTTGCTCTGGTGTGAATTCTTTCAAATCAAGAAATTCTTTGGGCACTCGACCGTGAAGAATGGGATATGTTTGATCGAGGTCATATCTTTCAACATCCAAGAGACCCCTGTCACTTGCTTCCATCACCACTGGAATCCCTAACTTTCTGCATTCTTTTCTGAGAAGAACTTTGACTGGAAAGTTGTCACATTCATCGACAATCAAGTCCAATTGATTCTCTCCGCTTCCAATAAATGTTGAAATATTTTCGTGAGAAAGAGATTCATTGAAAAAGGTGACTTTTAAAAAGGGATCAATTTCTGCAATTTCTCTCTTTGTAATGATTGCCTTTGATTGTGTTTTGTTTTTCAAATGTAATTAAGTTAACACCTCCCAAAAGGAACGTTTCCCACACTTACCTTTGAAATTCCAAGTTCATGAACACGTGTTCTTAATCGATTCATATTGGTCAATTCCAAATGATCAAAATCCACCAATCTCAATTCTCCACAACCTCTCTCCATAGCCATGGTGAGAGTCACTGCATGTCCAGCGCTCAATCCAACCACACCAATTTTCTTGGTTTTCAACAATTCTAGTTCCTCTTGAGTGATTTTATACAAGTTTCGAATGGTTCTCACTCGAATGAATTCCTTTTCATCCAACAAATGGATCAATGTATTCTTCCATGGATAATACACCCAAACACCATATTCTTCTTGAGGTCTTCCATTCAACTTTTCATTAATGAATTGATTCGTCTCTTCTTGTGTGAGTGTTGGAGAAGGATTCTCCAATTTTATTAATTCTTTCAATTGAGAAAGAATGGTGTCCAACACAAGACAATCTGCACGTAAGGACAATAATTGAGAGAAAGATTCTCGATCTTGCTCATTGGCCAATCGAAAGAAGATGGGATCTGCACTTGTGGTGTGAATGGGATTTAACATGGTGGTGCACACACGTTGTTTCAAAGTTTCGTATAAACACGATGATGATGGTTGTGAATCTTCTTGTTTCAATGATTCCACATGAGAAGGAGAGGAGTTTGTTGATGTTGAAGACATTTGCATGTTGTTGTCTGTTGTGAGTCAGTTGTAATTACGCGTGTGTGTGTTCGTAAATAAACGATTTAATGTTCAATTTTCTTTTTGTGTGAATTCCACTCTGATCTGATGATCAGTAAAATGTTTGGATTCCAAACTGGAGGGAGAGGAGAGAAAAATCCAAAATTATCGAACGAATCGATCATTTTGATCCAAGTGGAACGTTTTGAAGAGATCTTCACAGCTTGGAGTTGTTTTCGATAGTTGTCACACAAGAGAGATGAAAATCACAATATCATTGTATATTTCCTTTTCGATTGTTGATGAAAATCACAATACATGTGTGTCATTATGCAAAAATTCCTTCCTTCTCTTGAATGAATTCTTTTGCATCTTTGAGTCGACCCATCAAATCCGTCAAATCATTCACACAATGAATTTCAATGTCATGAAATAACTCGACTTGAGAAATGTCATTGAAATCCACACTATTGTTGCTCTTTGAAAACATAACATCTATTTGCTTTAACAATGCCTCTCTTCGTTGTTCCAATAAAGAAATATTAATTTCTAATGGAGCTCCCAATGTTAAAAATGTCTCTATAATGTACATGGCAATTTTCTTTCGTGTCATTTCCTTTTTTGTCTTTTTGTAACGTTGAATTTCATGATAACACAAAACACCTTCTGGACAATAACTTCGACGAGCATGATCCAACAAGATTTTAAAAGTTTTTGGAGTTTTTCAATAATTGTTCCACATACGAGTCGACATGTTCATCCTCATGTTTTTGTCTTTTCCAATCCTTTAACCAATCATTTCGAATTTCATAAATGGCAGGCATCAAAACACTAATGATACTTTCCACAGAGAATGAAAAGAAGAGAATGAGACCATAAGGGACTAGAAAATCTATCAAACTTTGAACTTGTGGAACGAGACCCAAAATGATAAAACAAGCAAGACCGATGACTTCCACAATCAAGACGACAAAATTTTCTTTTTTGATCTGCCAAGTGTCACGATCGGCTCGAATACTCAAAATGATAGCAATGGCTTCAAATAAACAATAGACCATAGCCAATGATAAAATTAAGATTAAACAATTGGTCGTCAGAGTACATCCTAATTTAAATTCCAAAAATCCAGCGAATGTGAAAATTTTAGGTTTCGTTCCATGTTGTGACACATAAATTCCTTCTTCAATGCCACCCATCAACAACCATAGACATGTTGAAAAGATGAGACTAATGATATAAATTAGTACCACAAATTTGTAACTTGTGAGAAATTGATAAATTTTGATGAGTCTCTTCTCATGATCCGAAACGGAAATGTCACTTGTCGAAATTTCTTTGTTTTGTGTGGGTTCTTCCATTGTAAGAAGAGAATGTTTGGGAGCTATCTCTGCATTGCTTGAACAAGGTGATTTTGTTGTTAAGGCATTATTATTGAGCGAAGGAATAGAAGGAGAAAGCGACATTAAAAGTTCAACATTTCCATTCGTGTCATCACTAATCGTCTTTGACACACTTTGAGGTGTTTGAGGAAATAGAATTGTTTCTGAAGTTGTGGATAACGAAAATGGCGTGTTTCCAGAGATTGATGAGCAAGATTGAATCATTGGAAATGTCTTTTCTCCAATCTCCACAGAAGGCATCTTCCCACCACTGTCACTTGTCATGGATCCTTCAACCTCTTCCTCCACATCTTCCTCTTGCGTCACGGATCTTCTCCTCGTTCCCAACTTCATCTTGATCAAATTCAACTTGTAACTAAAATACAACAACAAACTTCGACATGTCGTTGGCAATGTCGCAAGAGGAGACAAACAAAAGCACCAACTATATAATCCACATGGAAAATATTTCCTTCCAATTATAATTCTTAAACAAAAGATGGTAATAAAGAAGAAACTGGAACCGAGAGTGAGAAACATGTGAATGATGTTTCTGGCTTTGACATGTTTGGAATGTCTTTTCCAGAGGATACCAAAAGAGGAAATGACAAGAAGAAGAAGATAATAGATGAGAAAGAGGAGTGTGATGGAGAAGGAGACTGAGGAGGTGTCAAAGATTCAAATGTTGGGTGGACATCACGCAAATGTTGGTGAAGAGAGGAGGACATCACGCCAAATGTCAAAAAGTATAAGTACAAAAAACTTGTTGTGAACATACCATAAGTATCGGGACAAATAGAGTTTTCAATGGTAGGTGTTTCTTCTCGGCTCAATCCAGTGGTGAATAATAATGGATGACAATTGGCAGTCGAGTTCAAAGTGTTGTTAAAGGTTGTGGCCAAGAGAGAGAACAAGATCGATGAATCACCACCATCCTGCTGGAAGGACAAAAAGCGAGGGATTAGATTCATTGTTTTGTATCAGGAAACTCATGAGTTTCTGGTTGTGGGTCGCATCGCCTTGAAAGTCTAACACACATTTTGACATCTGACAGGACCTCACGAAAATGTAAAGACACAATTCATTCAAGGTTCACAACCTTACCACAATGATTTTTTGGACAGAAATAAACCTGTGCTTAATAACGCTTAATACAGTAAATTGTATGGCCATTATTGTTCAAATATTGTAAATCCGATTAAAATAATTGCTTTTAATAATTCAATTCAAATACGAACACCAAATCAGTCAAACGTCGTGTTAATCGAAAAAAATCTTTTCAAAAAACTGACCATTTCCCGTCGCGCACGACAACACGAATGACAAGCACCACCACAAGCCATGTGTTGTCTTATTGCTCTGACCATTCCTCTACCAATCCTTCACGCCAAATGTCATCCATAGAAACCCTTCTCCACGAACCAATTCTCCATTCCGCACACCAAGGCCACCACAACTTTCTCACCAAATCAATCAATTCTTCATCATCATCATCAACCAATTGCTCCGAATATTATGAATCTGTGAAAGACAACAACAAACTTTCATTGTTATGGAGAACTTGTAACAAAATGACAACACCGCATCATTCTCACACCACTGCATCTTTCAAAAATAATTTTCCGATCCATGGTGTGGTGGATGACCATCGTGATGATGATGATGAAATATTCGCATCACCAACAAGACAAAACAACACATTTTCACATCAGAGGTCATGTCACATTCTCTTGACAGGCATGTCCATCTTGTATTTACTGTTTGTGGTGATTGGTATGATTCTACTGCCCATGTTGATTTATATCCATGTCATATCTGCCAAAGATGAAAGTATTTTTCACAACACTCAACACTCCTCGTCATTGCCATATTTGAAAACATTTTTTACGAGTGAAAAATTTCTAAATTCAGAAATACACAAAATTGAGAATTCTCTCTTATCAATGGCGAATAATGATCATGAAAGAGAGGACGTGATGGAACCTTTTTTCGTGTTGACCAATGAATCTCTTCAAAATTCAACATCCAATAATTCAACCAATTCGACATTTGACATTTTGTTTTTTAGAACCAAGACAATTACTGAAGTGAGCTCTTATTTCCAATTGATATTTGCTTCATTGAGCTTTTTTTCATGTGGTGTGACATTGGTGGTCTATTGTGGATTTTCTGAACTGAGAGGCAGAAAAAACTTTCCAATTTTAGTTGCGTTTATCATCACAGAAGGATTAAGTTTTGTGAAACATTTCTTAATTTTATTTGGATACTTTTTTGGAGTTGGATATGTTGAACAACATCCAACAAGAACAGACAAGAATCTGTGTTTAGCTATTGGGATTTTCGAATATGTCTTTAATTTCGCTTCCTATTGTTTTGGATTTTGCATTGTTTTGGACTTGTTAAGAGTCGTCTCTAATCCAATTAAGGGAAACAGAAATTTCATTCTCTATCACGTTATCATGTGGTCATTAGCTCTATTTTCACTTGTTGGTGTTGTGACAGAAAGTATTGTGAAAGAAGACAGCAACAACTCGTGTATTATTCTTCCAGATAATTTAATTCTGGGTTACGTTATTTATTCCATTAATTTATTGATGGCTTTTATTGGACTATGTATTTGTGCCTATGTTTGGACAAGTTTAAGAAATGGTCTTCCTGGTACTCAACAACTTCGAAATGGAATTATTGTTCGACAAGTCTTATTTAGTATTGTCATTACTATATCATTAATTGGAACTTTGCTTTCAAGTGTAATTCTTAAAAGTAGAATTAGTGACATTATGAATAGTATGGATAATGAAAAGATGGAAGACATTGCAATTGTCTATTTTGTACTATTTGCTCGTTACATGTCCTTACTAGTTTCTGGTATTGAAGGTTTTGTCCTTTCCATCATTCTCCTCTCAGATCCAATTGTTTTGAGACATTTGAAACGATTGAAGAGTTTCCTTTGCATGCTCACAGAAAATGAAAAGGGTGTGAATCTTTGGGATAGAATTAAAAAAAAGACAACAAAAAGCACCACCATTCGATCTCTCTATGCTCACATGTTGGATGGATTGGACGACGATTATGAACTCGCCTCTCGAAGAAGAAATCAAATTCAAAAAGCAAAAGATTCATTATATCATCAAAGATTACTCTTTGAAGGAATTATGGATGATGAAGGTTCTGAAGCTGATCGTGAATTGTTCTTGAAATACTTGGCACGAGAAGATGAACGATTTTTTGAAGACTCTCTATCGAATGTTGCCATTGATTATTTAGTGAGAAGAGATTTGATTTTTTGTGTCTTGTTGGGAACACAACATTGCATGAAACAATCTGCTCATCATGATCAAATTGTGAAACAATTTAGTAATTTAGAAATTACTTCTCATAGAAATACTTCTTATGGTTCACCAATTATGAAGAAACTGTTCCATGCCTCTTATCGATCCATCACTCACAAAGGTTTATTTAATTGTGTCACAAAACACAAAATTAGCATCACTGAGTATTATCCAATTGCTTTCCATCATTTGAGAGCGTATTATTGGGTCGATAATTTAAGTGGAACAATGAACATGGAAGGCATTGTTGAAATGTACAAACGTCCATTTGAACCAACTTCAGTAATTCTCGAATCGGTGAGAAATAATTTCAGTGAAGGAAAATCAGGTAGTTTCTTCTTGTTTACCTATGATTCACAATTTATGATCAAAACGATCACGGATGAGGAATTGAAATTTTTGTTGGAAAATATTCAATTCTTTTACAAGCATTACACGACATTTAGAGATACCTTAATTGTGAAAATATTTGGAATTTATGAGTTACGAATGACTGCAAACTTTAAAGTGAAATTCATTGTGGTAAATAATGCATTACACAATCGATTAGCCAAAGATCGTGGCTCACATTACGATGCTCTTTCCATTGACACTAAATTTGATTTGAAAGGAAGTTGGGTGAATCGAACCAATCTTCCAGAACTCGATCACTATTCACAAACATTGAAAAAACGTGGAGGATTAACAACTAGCGAAGGAGTTCAAGAAATTTCATCTTCTTCCTCTCGCCCAAACACTTTGCTGTTGGATAATGATTTTCACAAGAAACGAAAACTCGTATTGGAAAATAAGCAAATTTATACTCGTCTCATCCAACAATTAGTGATCGATTCCAACTTTTTAAAGAGTGTGAATATTATGGATTATTCTTTATTAGTTGGAATTGCTGAAGATGATCCAACAGTATTCTCTGTGGAACCTCTTCCAAATGAAATTCAATTTTATGAACCCTTCCACAAACTGTATAAGGGAGGAATTGAAGCAGTCGATTTGGATACAACATTCAACCGCTCTGTGATTCTCTTTCTTTCCGTTATTGACATTTTACAATTATTTAATATTGAAAAGAAAGTTGAAACTCTATTCAAAACTAAAATATTAAGAAAAGATCCAAATGGAATTAGTAGTATCGAGCCACTTCAATACGCAGAGAGATTCCAAACCAATGTTCTCTCGAAATTCGCATGTCGAGAAGATTTTTATCTCAACAAATTGAATTCCAATCAAACGTCATTAAGCTCTGGTTCACCGACACCTTCTTACATGTCGAGTGGAATTTCCATTTCAAGTAACGATGCAAATGGTTCAAGAAATTATCGAACGGGAAGTGAAATTGCATTTTCAGCAACACCTGTGGTTTCCTCTTTTGCGAGTGTGGATCGATTCAATCATTTGCATTCCCAGCTACAACAACCATTTGCAACAAGACAAGGAGATGCACATAATGATGGAGAAGAGCAAGGAAATCATCGAGATCATAGTAATGAGATTTTATTGACTGAATACAAAAACATCAAACTTTAGTTTGGTGCTTTTGTCAAAACTTGGTGATACTTTGACACCTGACACTTTGGCGCCACTTTGGACTGTTTTCTGTAAACTTTAAAAAAAAATGATTGAAAATCCGAAAACGAGAGGAGCCTCAGTTCCGGTTCATGTTGCTTCATCTCCCAATAATTTGGGAACACTTCATGGAAGAGCTTTCGGAATGAGTACTTGCGGATTGAATAATGATATCAGTTTGATGACTCGGGCAGAACACTCACTTTCTAAGGCACAATATGGACAAGATCCACCTGAGGAAAAACGGGAAATACCTTCGACCCGATTTGGAGTTACTATTGAGAGCAATGGGACAGCAGGAGAAGTGATACATCCTTCCGAACCACCTCTTGTATCCTATTTTAGAGAAAAGAAAGAAGCGCTGTACAAGAGAGAGCCTGTGGGTCACTCAAGCAAACACGTAAAATTTGTCAAAGAACATCACAAGGGAACCCTCACGTTTGGAGTAAAAACTCAATACAATGAGAGCGCAAAGAATGTGTTGTATCCCATTGACCAATACGAGCAAAATGAAATGGAAAAGGAACGTAATGAATTGTACAAAATATCTCACCAAGCATGGGAAGCTGGAGAGCAGATCAATAGAAATTACGACTGGGAGAATACACCAATCAAAGATCCACAAAGGCATCGATTTGGAAAAACTCTTCCACCTGAAATAGATGGAGCAAAGCAAACACTCTCTAATTATTACCAACCTCCTACCCCTCAACAATTAATTCATGATGAGCCAGTTCCCACCACGTCACAATTTGAAGGTAAAACCTTTGGAATGCGAAACAAAGTCGATGAATGGGGATCTATCGATTGTATTAGAGGCTACAATTACGGTGTTGACAAATATCCTGATCGTGGATTTACTGCTCCCATCATTCCTGGAACAGAACATATGGTTTTTGGTGTCAAATCCAAGCAAGACCTTGGTGCCATTGCAGTCCTTTCAAATCGAGTTGACATTCCAGAACGAGACAAGCCTCTTTCCAAAATCGAATTGCAAGAGTTTGTACAAGATGTAGTGGCTCAAGAAGGAGTAGAGTTTGATTCTGTTTTTCAGTACGCGACCGAGAAAATCGGTTCTGACCAGCTCTCTATTAATCAATTCCTCAATATTTTCAATAGTCTTTACAATTCATAAGACAATAAAAGTAACAGTTTAAATTATGTCCCATCAAGAAGGAATCTTAGTTTATTGACCGAAAGTCATCGCATAAATATTAATAACAAAAGTAGCTACAATTTCATCATCTTAAAATCTCTTCTTTCCCTTGACAATATCAATAATATTGAAAGGATAGAAAGTACTGTAGTATTTCCGAAGAAAAAGTGTTGTTATGATTCATTAATATTATCATCATCAAATTATGAAACAAATCCGTTACAGATCATGGAAGATAAAATTCGTATTGGCAAACAAAACGAACGAAATTCAATACATAATGCAACTAAAATAACGTACATTTCTGCCATCAACATGACAAGATTCCACACATACAAGCCACGCAAACAAATAGAAACCATGGCTCCTCGCAAAGCAGTATATTGTGCCAAGTTTGGTGATTCATAAGTCCAACCAGTAGAGGTAATTCTAGACTTATCTCCGGATGGTGTTGTTGTTGCCGATGAACGCTTTTGGAATCTTGCTTGTCCAAGTGTGCTGTTGGTGTTGTTGGTTCGACGGAGGATGGTTCTGCTGTTTTGGATGAGTTTCTTGAGCATTTTTATTTGATGATTTCGTTTGAAAAAAAATTCTATTCCTTCAATTCCATCACCCTTACTCCTGTTGTTACAGATCTGTAACCTTGAAAGATGAGTTTCAATATTAGAAAGGCTTTGTTGGGCATGAATCCATCCACTGAAAAAGTTGAAGGAATATCAGAGGTGAATTCAAAACATGAATTGGAAACGGTACCTCTTCAGAGGGAGAGAACGCTTGAACCGGTGATTATGAGCGAGGAAAGAGTTGATATTCCTGCTCAATTCGATGCAACAAGAAGAAATGATCCTCAACAAGAACGGACTCTAAGACTCAAAGATACAGAAAACACAAGTCATCTCATCAATGAAATGATGAATAACAACCACGTTCCTTCTCTTCCATTGGAGTGCTCCTTGTTTCATGAAAACTCTAATAACTTGATGACTCCAGGCGCATCATTATCCTCGGAAAAGCAACTCAACAAGCCAACACCCACTCCAAATTCATTCAAGGAAAGAGCATTGGAAAGACAAAAACATATCAATAGCCTTGCTCAAAGGATTCATCATTTGGGAGTTGCAAAGAATGGATCTTCTTCCAACTTAACCCTCTCTCCTGTACCAATAGCAAAGCCTTCCACTACTCAACAACCATCAAGGCCCAACCAATCACCGTTCGATTTCCAAACCATGAACAAAAAGAAAGAGATTGAGAAACGTTCGTACTTAATGTCAAGATCATTCAATCGGTTGCATGTTGAACCAACGCCTCTGATAAGGATGCATGCTGAGTCCCTAAGAGAAAATTCTCGCAAAAGATTTCTACCATCCTGTAAGCAAAGAAGAATGATTTCAAGCACTGGTGCTGCTTCGCTAGCGTTAAAGGCCACACACCAGTTGGAAACTATTTTGGCAGATTTAGAGCTGAGTGGAAGTGATAATGAGAGGAGGGTCATTGCTGGCACACATATCAATGAGGTGGCTCGTAACCTATTCGAAACAACTGATCCAATCTCAACGACATCCCGAACAACAAGGAATAGTTCCATGAATGTTGTAAGGCCAGAGGTACCAGAATTTGTGCTTGAGAATCATGTCTCTAAGGACACTTCAGTCAAAGTGATTCGACCTGGGTCAGAGGAAATTCGATTCTCTCAATGGAGAAGCGTTTATCGAAAACTCTGAAGAAGCCTCTCACTCATTCAGAAGATCATTGTCTTTGCTTTTTCTCATAAACAAAATATGAGATCGTAATTCTAACACCTACCACATGCTCATTATTTTCAAAGAATTCTTTTCCTTACGAGAAATCATTTGGTTGACCAAATCGTTACAAAATTAAGAATGCAACAATTTAACTCAAGTATAATTTAGCTTGCGAGTTTGTTGGACATGGTACCTTCGTAATTTAGCAAAGACCAATTCGAATAACAAATCGATTTGAAAAATGAGTCGAAAGCTCATAAGCCAGTTCAAGGTGTTTTCTGCACTTGTTGGACGTGAGAAGAATAGCACTACTGCTTCATCATCATCAAAACCAATGGTCAGCACATGTTCAACCATTCTGATTGCAGGACAGTTGTTTAAACCTCTGAAACCCATCATGGATGAGACGAGTAAAATCATTTGGCTGTGCGAAAATGATCGGCACGAATTCACTGTGATCAAAATTATTCATGTTGAAGAGTTGGATCAATACGAGTCAGGAGAAGCGAATGAAGAGCTCTTGGAATTGTATAAAAAGATATTTACTTCCCATGTGCTTCATATCCGAACTGAGATTATTGGTAATGAAATTGTGGTCATTTCGCCATACTATGGAGAGAACTTACAAGAATACAGGGATCGATTAAGAGAGAGGTTCGTCCATGATGGTGAAAATGTTGTTCCTGAAGCCTCGACAGTATTACAGATCATTCACCAATGTTCAGTAGCTTTGAAGTCTTTACATGATCGTTATCTCATACATCGTGATGTCAAACAAACAAATATCTTCATAACAGATTCGAATGGTTATGTGAATGTTGTTGTTGGAGATATGGATATGGTAAAGAATGTGGTGGAGGTTAATGATGAAGACCTTGAAAAATTGCGTGAAAAATTGGGAAGTAACTCGTCTCTTTTTAACCGAAGTACCGAATCGATTGGTACTCCTGGATTCATTGCTCCTGAGCTGATTTACGAAGAAAAGTTTTGTGCAAAGAGTGACATTTGGAGTTTAGGGATGACCATGTTAATGTTTATATTTAACAAACAAGAAACACTGGACATTTCAAAGAAAGACCCAAGGAAAATTAATGACCAATACTTAGAACTGCTCTTCAGTAGTCACCAACATTTAGATGATCAAGACACATGGAATGACATTCACCACCTGTTACGAAAAATGTTAGATAATAATACCGAAGAACGCTATGATGCAGACGATATTATTACTTTCATATTTTCTGAGAATTATACCCAACATAGTACTTCAACCCTATTCTCGGGGTATCTCTTCCTTAGAGATTCATTTAGAAACAACCACAAGATTTCCTTGATGGCGATTGAAAAGAATGGATCAATGTTGAGTGCTGCACCTCCAGAATTTAAAGAATCAAAAGAGGTTGTGTTAAAAGCTGTCACAGCCAATCCTACTTCACTCCAATATGCAGCAGAACGATTCAAAAACGATAAAGACGTACTAATGGCTGCTATTGGTTCAGAAAATGGTTGGATGTTGCAAATGGCCTCCAAGGACCTTTGTAACGATTTTCAGCTCGTTCTTTGCGCTGTCGAAAAAACAGGTTGGGCTCTCCAGTTTACCAGTGAGGAATTGAGAAGTAATCGACAAATTGTGGAAGCGGCTGTTCGTAATTATCCTCTCTCGCTTTCTTTTGCATCACAGGAATTGCAACAAGAATTGAAAGATCTTGTCTCTCAATATGACCCCCTGCAAAATCTAATTGAACAAAGAAATGCATTACAAACAGATGATCATCGTCCTGAATCATGGTACTTCAACAAACAGGAAGTTTTCGACTGGGCCCAAAGTCCCAATGTCGATGCTGAAATTATTAGAAATATATTCTCCAAATACTATTTTGACCTGGAGATTATGGTCGAACTTATCAAAAAGATTCATTATTCAACAAGCTTATCTATTGAGGAGAAGCAAGATCTTTTACGTTTAGCTCCACATGAAAAGGAATTTTGGATTCAAATGGTCCAAAATGATGTTGTCACATTTCAATATGTACCAGAGAAATTAAGAAATGATCGAACGCTTGCACTCATCGCAGTTATTAATTATGGAAACAATTTAGAATTTGTTTCTCAAGAGTTAAAGAAAGACAAAGAAATAGTACTTCAATCACTTCGTTCGAACTTTGGTGCGTTTATGTTTGCTTCTCCAGAATGTCGTAATGATTTTGAAATTGCCTCGACAGCTGTTGGTAGCTACGGATTATTACTGCAACATTGTTCAGAAGAGCTTCAAAATAATAGAGATCTCGTCTTGAATGCTGTGCGAAAAGATGCGAGAGCCATTTATTTTACCTCGCCACAGCTTCATATGGATAAAGAGATTGTATTGACAGCCCTGTCAAAGGGTTTAGACTATCTTCCCCCTGAACTTGCCAATGACATGGAATTCATTGAAAAAGCAGTTCAAACCAATGGGTTGATCTTGCAATATGTTTCTCATGATATACAAGAGAAGCAAAAAGAAATTACGAAAACTGCTGTAAAACAATGTGGTCTGGCTATTCAGTATGCACCACTTTCCATGAGAGAAAACAAATCACTTGCTTTAATTGCTGTTGAAAACAATGGACAAGCTCTTCAGTTCTTGTCTGAAGATTTGAGAAACGATGAAGAGATTTGTATGAAAGCCGTGAGAAACGATGGAGATGCTTTACAATTTTGTTCTTCCATTCTTCAAAACAGAAAAGATATTGTCATGACTGCAGTTACAAGCACTCCAAAAGTCCTTAGATATTGCCCAGAAGAGTTTCGAAATGATTATGAGGTCGTTTTACAAGCGGTAAAAGTCGATGGAATGTTATTGGAGTATGCTTCGCAAGAATTGCAAAACAATAGCGACATTGTTCATGCAGCAGCAAAATCTAATGGATATTCTCTGAAATATGTAACAAAGGAGGAGGTGAAATGTGACAGAGAAATTCTTATGGATGCAGCCGCAAGTAATCGATTTACATTAACACTCATTCCATCGTCATGCACATTTTACAAATATGATCGAGAATTTATGTTGTACGTGGTAACAAGAAACGGATTGGTTTTGGAATATGCCACCCCAGATCTTCAAGATGATTTCGAGATTGCCTTAGCTGCTGTGAAAGAATCTGTCCATGCTTTCGAGTACGTTTCAAAAAGATTGAAAGGGGATAGAGAATTTATTTGGCATGCTGTCAGTATGACTCGATCAATTGCATTTTGTGGGGCCTCTGAGGATCTTAGGAAAGATAAAGAATTGGTCTTGCAGGCTGTTAAATTCAATGGAAATGCTCTTCAATATGCTCTGAATGATTTAAGAAATGATTTTGAAGTCGTACTTGAGTCCGTGAAAGAGTTTGGCTTTGCTCTGAGGTTTGCTTCTCCTGAAATGAGAAACAACAAACAAATTGTATTGGAAGCGGTGAAAAGAACAGGAGAGGCTTTGCAATATGCTTCTAAGTCTTTGAGACATGACAAGGAAATTATTTTGGAAGCACTAAAGGAAACAAGAAAAGCAGTCAACTTTATTCCACATTCTCTACTCTCCAACCTGCATGACTATTTACAAGAGTGTTCTGTTGACCATGAATCAAGAATCTCTCTTGAGGTACAAAAATTGACATGACAGACCGTACTACAAAAGTTGTAATGTCAATGCCATGTCGTATGTCTTGTAATATTTTTCTCGAGTGAACAATCTTAAAAGACGGACAATACAGGGAAGAGGAGCACCCAAAACAATACGAGTCCAGTAATGTAGGCACATGCCAACACAGGTCTACTCATGTTGAAACTTGGAAGTCCCATCAAATTACAATAGGCATGCAACACAATCGCAGCAATAATGCTTTTGGTTTTTCCATAAATATATCCACAATAAAGTCCAAAAACAAATGTATAGGTCAATTGAACAGCAACATTCAAAATAGCAGCTCTCAGCTCCATGTCACCATGTAACACATGTTCAATAATGTGATGGCAATGGGCGACTCCAAAAAGAATGGCACTAACTAGAAATGACGTCATCATGGAAAATCCACCAAAATAATGTAAAATAAAGTAGAGACAACTTCTGAAAACAACTTCCTCAGTGATTGGACCAATCACAATGGATCGAAACGAAAATATTGCCTCTTCTGATTTATCAAATCCACCTCTCTCATATTTGATGACATTTTCTTCATTCATTAAAAACTTTGGATATTGTTTTAAAATTTCAAATAAATCATGGCAAAGCTCAATAAATTCCCTTTTCAGATATTGAACAGATTTTTGTAAGAATGGAATAATCTCTGACACGGAAGTCACACTCTCAACATTCAATGCTTCAGCAATAGGACCTAAAAACAAACACGAGTTCAAAAACAATGCTGCTATCACACCAAATAGTTGTGAAAATATTCTATAAAAGTCAATTCCCATCATAGCACTAAATCCTAACGATTCCGATCCTATGAATTCGTTACTATTTTGAGTAGTACTAATGGTGGTGGTGGTAGTGATTGTATGATTAATACTAGTGCTCATTAAATATACAATCCAACAATACACAATCGAAATGACCGTAGAAGCTAACGCTGAAATGGTTCGTTTTCGAATTTGTGAAGGATCATTCCGAGATTTTGCTAAACTTCCTTTCCACATGTAGAGTGATCCGACATACAAACCCGAGAGGATCACCGAATGAAAGAGAGACAACACGATGGATGTTGTTGTGGATGACATTTTTTTTGTGAAATGCCA